AGATGTACGTTTAATTAGCTCAACATAGAAGTCTTGATCAAAAGAACTAATTATTTATTCACGAGAAAGGCTCTTTCCGAAAATTTCAGTCTAACATTAATGAGTATTTCTCATGTATGAAATATTTTTTGAAGATAGTAATTCATTAATTCTATCGTACTGCATACTATTGGGTAGTTGCATAATTAATTACGAAGTTGTATAGGAGTGAAGATAATTTGATAAGAAGGAATCTGTAACGCAGACTAATTGTTTATGGCTTGATAAAACATGTGGCAATCAACGTTAATTACTTTAAACGTGTTAGATTGTCCCGTATCAATTTTATTAAATTGAAATCAGCACTTCCGCCTACACTGGCGCAAACGCATTTTTGTAAAAATTCCAATATTTCAGAAACTGCTCGTTCGATTTGGTTCAGAGCTAGACAAAAGGTAGGTATTTGGGAAAAAATAATGTAGGGTCAATTTTATTGAATTATGTCCATTTTTTCCTCTTATATATGCGCAAACGTGTTTTCCTTGATACGTCTATATCTTTAAAACCACAAGTTCGATTTGGCTTGAATTTGAAGGAATTTTTACTCTGAATTTGTAAACAACGTCTTATTTGTGATTGTGTTTATTTCCATTGAATAACCAGTATAACGAAAACCAGTCCGTCTTGGTCTCGATTTTACTCCTTAAACATCGAAGCTGTGTGGACTTCACCCATATTTTTATATTCAAGCTTAATTAGTTTTGTTCTGAGTGAAGAAAAGTATTGGTCTCGTTAAATCCATAAAAGTATAATTAATTATTATCATCTCTAGTAAAACACTCAATTTTTACATGTGATCTTTTGCACTAACAGCAGTGAGATTCATGCTCAGTATACACTGGATTTTATTTTTAATCACGAAACATCAAATATCGTATCTGAAAATGTTGAACTCTTTTGCATTTTAATACTCGCTGACGAACGAAACCCGTGGGTATCAAACCTTTATAAATTGAGGGATCAATAAATTTCCAAAAAAGACTTCTCCCAGATATTTTATTCTCATATTAAAAATTTTAGACCTTGTAAAATAGGTACTTTTATAGCCAATGAAAACGGTGAGGAAGATATACCGACCTCACATGGCAGACGTTTTTTAATTTAATTCGAGAGGAGAAGGTCTGATAGGAGCAAAACCTATTGGAAGGTGAATGGTAAAGTGAGGAGGGGATATTGAAATACTTGCCCACTCTGAGCCACTAGATGACAGAGCTCATATCGATGTTATGCCGAACCCCTTTCCAACTCTTAGCAATACCTCTGCCTATGTTAGGGACCGAATCTTCTTTCGGGAGCCATCCACTGTTTTATTTGTTCTTCCTTCCATCGCCTTTTGCCGATTCTATTCGTCTATCATAGCCAGCAGATATAAAAATAAGCGATTCAACAACATTCCTATGGAAAGCTACAATAATTCTCCGTTAATAATACATTTAAAATATCATCGTTAATAACTAAATGATGATCCAACACGTATTTTACAAAATAAAAAAAATATAATGAAAGGAGAGTAGTGAATTCTGCCTTTTTATAAATAACTTTTTTGTTATCACCAAAGTACCGATTTTTATGCTGTAAAATCCAAAAAAAATATCATATAATATAAAATTAAATTACGTCAAATATGCATTGTAAAAAAAAAAAAAAATTGAAAACCAAATCGTCATATTGAACGAAAACCAAACAGAAATATTTTTATAATATGAAAATTTTATTCCTTATAACAAAATGACAGTAGCATATTTGTATCCGCTTAAATTATTTACTATTTGTTTCCAATAAAAATTTCTTTTGGACCATATAAGTAAAAATGAACCTTTCAATCAGTTTTAAAAACTTTTTCATTCTTAGAATCGCATAGGCCAATCCAGAATTTCAAATGTATTTATATTCTAAGAAGACATTACTGAGGGCAGCTTTATTTTGTTGTTGTTTATTGATTTAAAATCAGCTTATTTTTGTATTATGGAATTTCATCTTGAATATTCTATTTTAGTTTTTAAGATGTAGAAGTATCACGAAAAATACGTTTGGACATATTTAAGAGACAGCAGTTGATGGAATGCAATGCAATCGGCATAACATTATATTTTTACCAACATCTACCTTTCTGCAAACTTTGAATCAAATTGAATGAACAGTTTCTAAGCATGCGTAAGGGTGTAGGATGGAATTTGATGAAATTGATATGGGACCATTTAGGCACAAATTTGCTCATTCTCTGAAAGTTTCATGAACATCGGATAAACTGTAGTATGTGATATGCCCGATACATCGATTTGACTACAGACAGACGCCGAACCAAATTTGATCCTTGATGTCTTAAACGCAAAAAACACGAGTGGAATTTTTCGATTCTGAGCACATTTTTTTTTTTAATCTCCCTCTCGAATAATTTTGTTAATCTTCCCTAAATTCAGTAGTAAGGATCAAAATATTGCGGAAAATGATCATATAATATACTTGAGTCTCTGATGCTGTTGCTAAATAAGCGCTTAATATTCTATACCCCTCTGAAGTACCACAAGTTCAAGGTTAAACAATTCGCCCACTTGATGCTAGTATTGAGTTTAAATGTTAGAGCGTTTCTTTGACATTTTTATAATGAAACATAAAACGGATTGTGAAGAAATTTTCCAGCGAAATAAAAATTATTACAAAAACGTATTCAATACCAGCGTTTGAAATTATCAGGCCAACCTCTACTGATGTTAAAATCTTCTTTGTCACCCATCTTAGAAAAATGATTAAAGAAAAACTTCGATTTTTATGAGCTCATTTATCCACGGGAATCTCTGCTACAAAAATCATATATAAAAACATTTCTCAAATTCTGGATGAGCGTCTAGTTTTAATTTTTTCCCTTTAGAGACTCCACAATACTCTATTCGTCACTACCATACCAAGAAATTGCAGTTATATGTACTGATAAACAGAACCATTTCCACTGCGTCTGTAGATAGTCAACTTTAACCTCTTTTTTTTCGGATAACTAGGGGTTACGGATTATCGTGACCTTCCTGTATACTGTTTTTTCAATAAATAAAGTAAATGTTTTGGTTAAATAAAAGTGGCTTGTTTCCATTTCCAATATAATGCTGTGTAAATGAGAAGTTTCAAGTCGGCGTAAATGGTACAAGATAACACATTTTTAAATACTTTTTACAGAAGTAACACTTATACTTCTTTTTAATATAAAAAGTTAGATTTTATTGGATATACTTATTCTAATTAACAGATACAATAAAATGATTTCTTAATTATGAATTATCTGTAATATTTTCTGACATTATCTGTATTGAGCTCTAAAGGGAAACGAAAGCTTTTTACTTGATCCCCAAGCTTTCCATCATAATTTATGTCGAATATAATTACATTTCCCCCTGCGGATAAATTAGTAACGTAGAAAAGGCTCAATGATTTATTTCGTGGATTAAAGATGATTCATTTTGGATATAATCCTTTAATAATTTTAAGTACCCAGTTTGGTATTATACTTTTGTTTGTCCCTCGCCTCATAAAGGTACTTAATACAACTGAGAATAGCTATTGTGTATTATTCCATATTGTTTTGATTTTTTGATGTATTTGTTCATTGTAAAAAGAGTCGGTGAATTATTTTTTTCACCATTCACCATAAATACACAATAATACATAATATCCAGCATCAATTCATGATTTTTACTTAATATACGCCAGTTCATGGAAAAAAATCTGGTGCGCGCAATACACAACTTTTACTTACCGCTTAACTTCAAATATTTTCTGGCCATTTTAGTCTGTAAAAAAATTTTTGAAGTGCATTTTTAATCGAACTAAAGCTAAAAAATTACAGCTAACAAATCATAAATACCATTAAAATAATAAAAGTCCTATTTATAATATCACCGGGTGATTATGGATTGTACGGACCGTTGATTATGGATTGTACGACTATTAGTTATTAATCTGTTATTTTCCATTGCAAAGTTTATTAAAACGGAATTGAGAGATTTGCATTGACTGTCATAGACAGGTCAAAAGTTGAAACACTGGTTTTAAGTAGATATTGTTAGAATATTACAAAGGGAAGATTCATAAAATTATTCACTAATTTAATTTTCTAATATGTTACATGAAAATATTTCGGAATACACGGACGTTGATACCTAATTATTTAAATATAATATCAGATCTAGGATTAGTAAATTACAGTAAATGTATTTAAGGTTGTAAGCATATACTTCGTACATCCATGAAATTATTTTATATTTTAGTTTTTCTTCTACACAGGTACAATGAAATAGTTTTTTTTAACAATGTCATTGCTTTAATTAGATGGATTTTAAATACCGTTTTCAAACTTAAAAAATATTTTAAAAGCTTACATTTATTTAGTAAACTTTATTTAATTTCCTTGAAAACATGTGATTTACGTTAAAGATTATTAGTTTTCTAAAATCATTATTTATATATTTTTTTCCACTCTCCGTTACCTTCTACAACTTTATATATTAGATATTGTTTTTTTCTAAAATTCTCTGCTTTCCAATGATATATTATAACTATACCTTCTGAATAGTATTTCCGGAGATTAATTTTTGACCCCCCTTACTTAGCCCCTTGGAACACTTACCCTTACTATATATTACATATATATGTAAGCGAAACTAAAAAAATTAAAGCGTTGAAATAATTTATTTTCACCCGCTGAAAAGACGGGTACTTTTAGGTGACAGGATATCAAATATCATCATTATTTTACACATCATGAAAAGAAAGAAGAGGTTAAAGCCTCTAAATATAAAACCTCTAAAATCAAGAAAAAATATATTATTATTCAAATCGGTCCAAAAATTATTCATTTATAACTATAACAATTATGATGTCCAGTTCTTAATTAAACTAGTTATATCTGCAATATTATACATTAAATTGGAACTATGCGGTTACATAGGGCCCCTTCACGCCCTTGATCCTACCTCTTCACGGTAATATCTCGGAAAGTGATTATCTCCTCAGCAGGTTCTGTAGGTATCTGTAGGTATCCTGAAGGCACAAGTCTCAGCGGGCAAAACTGAATTAATACTGATCCGAGACTTATTAGATAACCTCGTCCCGATACCCCTTCCCAGCTCTAGAGTTATGACAATGGAACTCTCATCATAGATTACAAAGGTCAATGCTCCTTTACACTTTGCCTTTGATTAGAAACTTCACCTCTGCACAACCTGTGCTGGCTGGGTACCAGAGGTGTGACGTTAGTAGCAGACCTGTGCAGAAAGTATTTTAATTACCATGTCTTTCAAACACTTACAGGAAAATTATTTTAAATACAAAATAAATTTAGTATTTTCTATTTAAAATGCATAAAAATAAAATACAAATACAAAATACACACTTGTTAAATATATGGTTGCAGTTTACCTGTAAACAACTTGTTTTATAAATTATATTTTTAATTTTTATTTTTACTTTCACTTAATCCAGATACCACCTGTCCTTTCATAATAAACTTCTGAACCAACCGAACCCTCTTGTTTCCAACCTTGCTTCCTCTTCTATTCTCTGAGGCGTCTGAAAAGAAGATGGCGTCGGGACCTTCTAATATAGAAATATAATTGGAGTGCTACCAATGGGAAGTTTCTCTTCATGTTGTAGATGTCATATTAGTTGTTCATATTTACTTGTTGTATTTATTATTTAATACAGTTGTAAAGTTCTATAAAAAAACAAGACAAAAAAACTTTCGCTTACCTGTATATATAATATATAGTAAGGGTAAGTATTGCGATCGTGAAAAGTTTTCAATCTGAATTTTTAACGGAAATACATGTTTTGAGGTCCCCTGAGTCCAAATAACCAAGTCCCGCAAAATGGTCTGTGTGAGTGTGTGTTAACAGTCTGGTTCAAAAACAAAGTCGTACGGAAGTGAAACTGCATATTTACGGTTTTTATATGCTAGTGATGTTACAACTTTTTGGCCAAAATCGGCTAATCGGAAGTGGCACTTTATATAATGTACTAAATGCATTTTTACAATTATTTCGAAAATCGCTCTAACGATTTTGATTAAATTCGTCATATCTGTGTAAACGTAAACAGTTTTAAATAAAATGTTATTATTCTGATTGATGTTCTATAACAGAGCTTAAATGGCTAATTTTCAATATTAGCTTCCTCTAAAGTACCTTTGATTTTTTTTTATTTGAAAAAATTAATCATTCCATAATAATCCTTGATATAAAACATAAGTCAATATAAAATATGAAAGAATTTTACAATTAACTAAAGGATAAATAAGAGATCGTAACCAATAATAGTTGTAATGCAGGAGCCAAGAAAATACTAGCGCGCATGAGCTCACCCGAAACATTAGAACAGGCTTTCATACATAACATGAGATTTATATAATACGGACTCCGACAATATACATATAAATATACATATGTTGTTTTCATAAAAGCTATTGTTGGTATTTTTTAATATTCAATTGTATTTATTACAGCGATATAAATATTAAAATTTGTAAATATGAAGGTTCTTACTCAAATAAAAATACCCACAATGAAATATAAATAAATATAGAGTCTATAATTTTTTCTTTCACTTCGCTTTGCCTGAAAATACTTTTTTCTGTTAAGAAGAGGGTGGCAAGTTAAAGTTGTGTTCATGCACAATGAATATTTTATGCAATTTATATTTCTTTAAAGAACGATTAATCATAAAAGTTATAATTAATCAATAACAAACAAATTAATTTATAAAAAACAAATAATAGACTACGCAGATATTAATTTCAAATAAAATTTTCAGGTTATTAGCTTTTAATAATGTCTGTTTCTCAAAGCAATTGATCATCCAATAATTTCATTTTTTTAATATTTCTATAATTTCAACAAATTATAGAACTGATACCTACCAGTTTTATTGCCAAAGATAATTAATTTAGTACCGTCGATCTTAAAAAATTATGAAGCTCAATTTTCATGGACGAGTTCTTGTGCGAACGTTCAGCCCTATTATATAACTTAAAGGCCCCTTCTTAATTTGATAATGTATTTAAAATACAAAATCAAATATATTTCGTTGCATTTTGTATTTTCAAAATAAAATACGGTTACAATCAATGTATTTTAGTTCTTAAATATGAAATACAAAAACATTATTTTAAAATACTTCATTTAAAATACCGCCCAAGTCTGGTTAGTATTAAACGACATGGCATGTAATTGATACCATGTTTAAGTAACAAATGTAGAAATAATTTCAATGAATTTACCAAAAAACATTTTTGTAAAATGACTCAAAATGAAAAGCGCGAAGATAAATATATATCAACATACATTTTATGTTTTTACTTGGCTGTTGTATATTGTATATTTATTTATTTATTATATTTTTCTGTGATTCGTAAGGTTTAGTGAATAAATAAATAACTATGTTTTGGTGAAGTTTCGAGATTTAATTGTTCTCATATTCTTGTCTAAAAAATATTTACAAAGAATTTTCAAAAAATGAACATTGATCACTAAAATTAGAAACAATAATAAAACTGCAAACACTGCCAAATGACTCCAACGACTATTTTACTCCTATTCTTACATTAACATTTGGCTAATGTAGTTTTATATTTTTTTTTAATAGATGGATGTAGTCAATATCAATTTCCAACATTTGTGAGTATTTTTTTTTTTAAATTGTATTTCTTTACGGTTGTCGGTAAGAACAGTAGTAAGGCGTCGATAGGTGGCAGGAAGAAGGAGGCACTTAGGCACTAACAGCATTATTCCTATCATGATTTTAGAATTCATATTTTAACTTTAATATCCCTCACCCAGCTTCTTTTGAGCCTCATAAGCATCAGTCATAGGTTTATCGTACAATCGAAAATTAATTTTGTTGAGTTTCAACCAAAACTCCATGACGAACACTTCCTAAGTTGGGTCAAAACATTGACTTGAAATAAAAAAAAAGTTTTTTCTTATTTTATTCTCTTTATCATATCCTTACTCAATAATGTACCATGGTCAACCATCAAGTTATTTACCGTATTTAAATTTAACCAACTCCTGAAGCCTTGCTTTCCTTCCACGTGTGGGGGGATAAGTATGGTTCGGAGTTCCCATGGCCGAATGTAAATAGTGTAAATAGGTATGCCTGCATCTAAGATGTTTATTTTCATTACTTTTTTTTTTTTTTAAGATAATTTTAATTCTATTTTATTCATTTATTTTCATTCTATTATTACTATTATTTATATTTTCTTTCTTCACTATGATATTTTATTTTGTTCTATTGTAGCTTTATATTATTTGAAGTTAGCTTTTTTTTTTTAATTTGTAAATATGGTGCGAATGTGCTCTCAGAAATCTATTATAAATGTCCTTTATTGAGACAGATTGTTATATTTATCAATAAACAAATAAAATATTTAAAAAAATTAACTGAAAACCGACCTGAGTAAATCTAAGCATTTATTCTTCTGTTTTTCTGCAGTCGCCAATATATCATGTGCTATGTAATTTCATCATATTTATCTTGAGCTCAAACAATAGCCCCACCAGGAAAATTGAGCTGACCATTATTCTCCATATTATTAACTTCGTCTTTTGCTTACCTCATAATGTATTATTTATTAAATAAATTCATTGTTTAACACTCTATAGATTTGATTCATACATTCCACTTAAATTCAAAAGGGCATGAGAGCCTTACCATTTATTTGAAGACATGCAATCCCATACAGTGGGAACAATGAGATCTTTTTTTTAACGTTGGTCGTTTATTTATTAAATATAATTTTTTATATTTATTTATATTCTGGAAATCATAAACCTCCAATTATAAGGGGTTGCCTGGCAATCTGATAAACCGAAGATTACAAGTTCCAATCCCGGTGCCGGGGAAGGGAGGAGGACTTTTTTGCTTTTGAGGGAGGACTTTTGCTTAATTGCCCAGCCCTTTCCTCAGAACCGGGAAAAACCACGTATAGCTTAAAAGAGGAGGAGAGGGAGAAAAGGAAAAAAAATATCTCTAGTTCTTACCCCAAACTCTGTGTAATTTATTGAAGTTAAAAGTTCTTCAGGCTTGCTTTGCACCTTTTTTGTGGGTAGTGAATCAGATTGAGCCAGCACACTCGGATATTTAATGCTTATTCGCGTAAATTTGGCTCGAGTAGACTAATTGAAATGTTTTTGAATTCAGATTAAAATATTTCAGAAACTAAAAATCGGACCTACATACTGTAAGCGAGAGATATTATCAGTACTTCATCTTATTTTTAATGACTTATTATTCAAAATAGTATCTTAACTTGACGACGAGTTAGAGTTTGAATAAGAAAAAGGTAGTACCGAAAAACCAAAATTAACGAATGTTTTGAGTATTTGCACTAAAATTTCTAAAAATAATCCATGATATTATGAAAAACGGGACCTAGATTTTTGTGATTTCAATTTTCAATGGTTATTTTCTGAAAATTCTCCATAAATCATTTTTCTTGTTAGTTGGTTTTGTTTTTACAACAGGAGGTAAATATGATATCATTCAAGTTTCAAAGCTTGGTAAATAGAATTGTTTATTTATTTACTGCTGCAATCCTAAACGTCAGAATTCATGGGTCAACGTGAAATAAGAGTTGATAAGAGAGTAGTTTTATATGTACCCGTGATCCCTTGGTCTTATCTTGTTGACTCCGGCAGTATAAATATTTACACTTTACCGTTGAACCCAATTTGTACCCTTTTATATATTAATAAAAAATAAATGGAAATAGGAATAATTCTGTGCATTCTAAAGTACACGATAATTCATTACCAAAGTACACGGAAAATAAATATTAGCAATGTCATGGTGTCATATATTATAGGAAATAAAAAAAATATCTTAAACTAGTTTCCATGTTTAAGAAAATTATTTGGAAATTAGAAGTAAGTTTCTACTAATAACAAAATCTTCGCTGGTATTGATTGTAGCGCCTAAATGAATGTTCCGATTTTAATTTAACTCGGCTAGTTTTCTTCTTGGTGCCCTTCAGTACCCGAAGTCCTTCACCAGAAGTACTTTCCTTTCAAGATGAGGGACCAGAAAAACCTGTGTCATATGGACTGTAGCGATTGAAAAAATGACCGATAATAATGAAAATTGGATTAAGTCTTCTCCTCCAAAGCCCTTTAGATTTATCTGTATAACATAGTCATTTAAAAATCTAAGAAATTTCCTAAAAGAAAAAAAGAAAAAAAAATCGTTGAAATTTGACAATTTGGTATAAAGAGATGATGTTATAAATATTTTCTTTATGTTCTACTGCAGTAGAGAATCCAGGATTTATTATTATTATCATTTTTTTTTTTAAGGTGGCCTTCAGCCCGAAAGCTTCTTTTTACTTCCCTACCTTTACTAGGTAAGAAAAGTATAACGATCGGGTCGAATTTCCGATATCCGGTTTTCGATGGATCTATACGTTTCAGAGCCCCCTGAATCCGAAAAACACATTTTTAGCCATTAGTTTGTCTGTCATTCTGTCTATCTGTCTGTACCAAGCTTTTCTTGGGAACTAGGGAACCAATTTTGTTACATCTTTTGTTATTTTATAGAGTTTTGACTACTTATGCCTGTGACACAATTTGATGCTCCATGCGCTATAGCTGCTGTGCAATAAATGAAAAACATGTTTTTATATAGACTGCAGAACAGAACGGCTCTAACGATTTTGATGACACTTTCCCATAATGTTCTAATAATTGTCCTTTCAATTTTCGTACATGAACTTAATTTCTGAGAAAATTCAGGAAAAAAATTGTTGGGCCTAATAGCCGTGGAGCCAGGGCCCAAAAATCGACCTGATCGCAGGTGAAGGTTTGATTGTAAATTACGAAAGTTTATGTTATTCTGAGTAAAAAAAAACCTTGTCTGCCGTTCCGGAGCCGCTACTTTCGAAAATGGCGGTTGATTTAAAGAATATTAGGCCAATAATTTGAGGATTGAAACGGGAAATTCATTACGAAAAATGTGAGAAAGGTTTCTATTTTTTTAACTTGCATATATGGGTTTAGACATGTAAAAAAACAAAATTTCTAACGCAGGCCACCAAGGGAAAACTTTTTACAGCCAAAAAAGTCAGATTTTTTCGATATTTTTTGGGTTTTTCATCTATAACTCCTAAACAATGCATCAAAGCGAAAAATGTGTTCTTTAATAAATTAATGAGTTCCCTAAGAGGAAAAACCCATAGAATCAAAGTTGTGGAGCATCAAATTTCGCGTAAACTGGTTACTGACATTTTTATTGTTGGTCAATTATATATCTCGAATCGGGATTCGTTATTCCTTTATAAAATCAGTATCATTCGGCTCATCGTTTACCAAAATGTTTTGCTGTTGAGAGGTGGAAAAGAGGCTTATACTGCATGTAACAGACTTTAAACAAAACTAACTCAGTAGAATAGACACCCATACTGGTGGCCTTCCATGTTACAGGGCCAATTATAGTAATTTGTCCCAGTTTTTGGCAAATTTGGTAAAACTCAGAGTTGGTTGACGTTGTTTTATATCTTACCACGAAACCAAATGTTAAAGTTTATGTATTCGTTTGCGTATGTAACGTTGCAAAATTTAACGTTCTTTGATTTATTAAAGAACACATTTTTCGCTTTGATGCATGGTTTAAGAGTTATAGATGAAAAACCCAAAAAATATCGAAAAAATCTGACTTTTTTGGCTGTAAAAAGTTTTCCCTTGGTGGCCTGCGTTAGCAATTTTGTTTTTTACATGTCTAAACCCATATACACAAGTTAAAAAAATAGAAACTTTTCTCACATTTTTCATAATGGATTTTCCATTTCGATCCCAAATTATGGGCCTAATATTCTTTAAATCAGTCGCCATTTTCGGAAGCAGCGGCTCCGGAACGACAGACAAGGTTTTTTTTACTCAGAATAACGTACACTTTTGTAATTTACAATCAAACCTTCACCTGCGATCAGGTCGATTTTTGGGCCCTGGCTCCAGGGCTATAACTGGCTAAGCATATAATCTATGATAAAATTTATAATAAAACTTTTGAAAGATAATTAAATAACCAACAGAACAAAAAAAAAAAAATCACCGGAATCGAACTAGTATTAGCGATGATACATTTTTCCAGAGCTCCTTGAGTCCGAAAAAACATTTTTAGAAATTGATCTGTCTGTCAGCCTTTATTTTATTTTTTATTTTTGATAAGTAATGAAATTCCCTATAAAACTATATAAAAATCGTTCATTTCTGACGACTATTATCGACTTCATAACCATCCCAACCCTCTTGTTTCTAACCTTGCTTCCTATTCAATTCCTGATAACCCTCTGAGGCGTCTGAAAAGGAGATGGCCACGTGATCTCCTAATATAGACATATTATAAGAGTGCTACGAATGGGTAGTTTCTCAACATGTGTTTCATGTGCGAATTTACTAGATGTATTTTTTGTATACAGTTGTAAATATCATATAAATAAATAAATAAAAATAAACCATTATCGAAGTTACAGCTATTCAATTTCCAATGTAAGATTAAGGGTTCATATCCTGGTGTCAGAAAGGGATGAATGAGAAAAAAAAAATAACTAAGTGAAAGCAAGAAAATCTGTTGTCCGAATCACACATGCTTCACAATTTCCTCTACTTTTAACAGAAATTATTGTTTGATAAAATTATGCTATGGCAAAAAGTTTTTGATCAGCAATATTTGAGAGTATTGAAATGTTTACACTGATCTACCTTAAGCCGGTTTACATTGCTTTAGTTTATAGAATACATCGTACTCAAATCTTTTCTTTGATCAATTTTCAGAAAAATAAATCTAATTCAATTTTATTTTGTTTCTTGATGGACATATGTAAAGATATAAAAACTTTTCAGAAATATGTAGGAAAGTTGTGTGGGTGGACACTACAGGTTTTTTAAAAATATTTATAATGATCATTACTTTGGATGAAAAATAAAGAAACTAACTACCTTTATGAAATGGTGTTTAGGTGATTCTTGAAGTCCTATTAAAATGTAATTATACTAACAATAATACTTTTAGAGATTATATTTTAATACTTTTTTCATAATACTTTTCCATTTTGGGGAGTCTCAATCCCTCTCTTACGTAGATCCGCCTTATACAGCAAAGCTTGTGTCGTAAATTTTGGTTCTTGATTTTTGGAAAGTGTTACATCAACTGAACTAATCAGGGTAGTGATCTATTTTTCTTAGGAAATTAATAATGATGAAAATATATATTTATATCTCAGCCAATATTAGGAATCACCTCTTATATTTTTTCCTTTATATGACAAGAAAAGTAATGTTACATAGATTTTTATATAACATATATTACATATATATGTGTACGTGTGTGTGTGTGTATGTGTGTGTGTGATATCTATACACATATAGATATATAACTGTTTGAAAATAATAAAATATTTCACTGCCAAAAAATATAATATTTTAATATTTCAACAGTTTTGTCACAAAAAAAAAGAAGAAAAAAAAACTGTAATGGACATTTGTTTTAAATAGTTATTAAGATCGAATCTGCCTGAGCTTCATGAATGGAGTATTAGTTTAAGAATAGACTTAGAGAGTCATTAGAATAAATTAACTCTTTTCTTATTTGTTCAGAAGATTTATATAATTATCTAAAAATTTTATTCATTTTTACTAAAACTTTTTAAAATAAAATAGTGATAGTAGTATGGTATCGAAGCAACGAAAAATCTTAGTTATTTGTAACCTATACCTTTTGAAATTTCAATTGTTTGGAATAAAAATACTTATAAATTATATTACTTACATAAATATTTGTCTTTGGCTTCATTTATGCATGATTAATGCGTATTTTTTTACTTAATATTTTTTTTTTGGGAGGGGGATTAAACATATTTTACAATATAATAAATTAACTAACACAACAGCTCATGATTATAATATTTAAATTAGAAAATTAAAAGACAAAATGGACGTCTGATGACTGGATTGTCTCATTTAATACTTTTTCATTAATAATAAATATTTTTATGCTAAATGCTGAACAAGTTTACTGGTTTCTAAAAACTGTTCATCATGATAGTTTTTCTTTTTTCTTGCTAATATGTTTCGACTTCTTAAATATAGCCATAATACATTTCAACAATATATACATTAGAATTATCGTTAGGATGAAGAAAGTCCCAACATCGAATATCCTCTTCTCCCAGAAGGACATGAAGGCAGACCTTGGAGTCAGTGAGTTGGGGTACTTAATGGCGTGTTCCACCCAATAGATTGCTTCTTCTTGTGCCGTGTGTCTTCTGTCACGCAGCATTTGGGATTTGTACTTTACGACATCTCTATAACTGCATAAATAAAATAATATGATAAATACAATAAATATATTTATTATAAGAAATACTCAAGATAAGCATTTATTAAATGGTACATATCAATTTACAACCTCACCTCATATTATATTTTCTTGAACTAGTTTCATTGAAACTTTTTACTAATAATATATTATTTAAAAGGTATACAATATAATATTATTTATTAGTATACTAGAGATTATGGATTTAAAATATTACAAAAATTGTAAATAAATCTTTGATTCATGTCTACATAACGTTTGTAAAAAAATATATATGGTGCGGTGCGAGGATCACACAACCTTTACTTGCTCTTAATATACCATACTCACACCTGGCAAACCATTTTGTGAAACTTTTGATGAAAAACAAATTTTAAATTTAAAAGAAGGAAAAATTTAATTAAGTTTTAATTTTTTTTCGCATTCTAAACCTGCATTATAAGGGTATTGCAACTTCTCATTTAAATTAGCATAATTAAATATATGTAAATAGATATATCTAACTATATATACATATATCTTATATGTTCTTACATATATCATATACTTAGATTTTCTTGCAACCTGAGTATTATTTTTTATGTCGGCTTGAAATAATTAATTTAGAATTAATGTTCAGAGTAGAATAATGTTTTTTTTTTTACGTATATATTGCTATGAGAATATTTAAAAACAAAACAAAAATATATACATAAAATTACTTGATTTAAAGTTAATAACGCAAATTACTTTTGAAATAAACCTTAATATAATGTCACTAAATATATATGTATATATATATATATTTTCATTTATTATATTCATTTATGATAAACCTGCTGCTATCATACGTTACAAAGAATACGTGGTTACAAAGACATTATTTATTTCATATATAGATAATTAGAATTCCGATTGGAAGAAAAATAAATTCCAGAAAAATTGAAATAGGCTGTTTTTTTTTTTGTTTTTTTTTTTTTGTAAATAATATATTTATTTCTGCAATAAACCTAAACTTTATCGAAAGAAAAATTTTCTTGACTACATTCAGCATTATACGTTTAAAAAGTTTCATCTTAAAACTCAAAATTAGTATCCCGATTTTTATAATTCTATTTTCAAAAGTGAAACGTACGTGATATTGAATACGTAATCTATAACAAAATTGTCTATAACAAAGTTGTGACAGACACATTATCATTTATTAACGGTAAGTAAAATATGAAAAATAAACCAATTACATGAAAAAATTCAAGCCATGAACTTAAAAATACATACAAAAGATCAGGAAATATTATTCCTGTCCTTTCGTCCATAGGCGTAAGTGACAATGAAATAGCTAATGAAGAAGCAAAGGAAGCAGTGAGGAGCTCTGATTTATCTCATTTAAGGTCTACATTTCTTAAAAAATGGGCTCAAGTAATTACAAGCCAAGTGGACAAACTTTGGAAAGAACAGTGGGAAAGGCTACCATTCAATCACCTCTGCCTCTACAAAGGGAACAAATTGCTCAGACACCTTCGAAAAACCGCACATACCACAGCGCCCGCATTAGTATACATGAAAAGTCTTCTGTTTACATGCTTGAATTGACAGCGGTATTAGTAGTTCTAGATCATTTGGAAGACAGCAATCATTATAAAACTTTAATTCTAACTGACACTTTAAGTGCCACCAAAAATCTATAACAAAATTACAATTAAAAATCATCATATCGATTTTAGAAAAACAATTTTTAGTTTAACGACAAGGAAAAACTATTATATTTGATTGGGTTAGGGACCAAACAGGTGTTAAAACTTCGGTTGATTATTTGGCAAAGGAAGCAACAAAGAGTAGATAGTTATCACATACTTTTTTCAGACATCATAAGTGAATTAAAAATTTCTATGTAGACCGAAGGGCAGGAAATTTATGAAAAAGAAGAAAAAGGGAGGTATTATAAATCTCACTGACTAAAGGTAACAATATGCCAAAAAGATATCTGTAATCTGTAAATAAAACAAAAATACATACCTAGGGTTCTTGGTGATCTCGTTGAGCGCCCATGACACAGATTCCTCGGTGATGTTTTCGTACTTGATGATCAACCCGTAACCCATACTTTGGGCATGGAACATATTTTTAAATTGATCGCTGAAAAAAGGAACACCGACGATAGGTACCCCATAGTAAACGGTCTCCGTCAAGCTCAGAAAGCCGCCATGTGTAATGAACAGTATACAATTCTTGTGCGCTTTAAAAAAAAAAAAAAAAAATCTTCGAATTAAGAATGATTGTATTTGTTTTCAGTATTTTAGTAATCATTGATACAGTATATGTATAAACTGCTATGTATTGTAAAGACCGTCGGTGGAATAATTAGTTTAAAGGTATAAACAAATAAACATCAGAAGTGCTAACATCTGGCGGTTGGGTACCTGAGGGAGGGTAACCCATTAGGACAACCTTTTGTAAGTGGTAATAAAAACCTTTAAGGACCACCGACAAAGACCGACAACTAAGTGTTTAAAAAGGATCCCGAAAGACCTTTTCACACCTTCCACCAGAAATATGGTAATCTGTACCTGCTGATTTACCTTGGCCTGGGGGAGAGGGCGTGGTCATCCCTTAGGCTGAGAATATTCAGCCAATCAGGAGAAAGACTACCAAAAGAGAGGGGGATGAAAAAAGGTGGGAAATAGAGAATTGGGACTGAACACTTCTTCTTGGGACTCGGAGAGGAGGAGACTTCTTCTTGGGACTCGGCTGAGGACACTTTTTCTTGGAACGCAGCTGAAGACACTTCTTCTTGGGGCTCGGCGGAGAAGACACTTCTTTATGGGACTCAGCTGAGGACAGCTGGATGAGGAGAGGCTGATAGAAGAGAGGCCTGATGGACTGCCCGGCACTGAGGAGGTCCCTGATGTTTTCTTCCAACTTGGAGACTGAAGCCTTGGCCCTACCTGATTCATATCCAGATGATCTCGACTTATTAGATAAGTAATCCCCAACAATTCCTTTTTAAAGATGTATAAATATTTAATGGCAATGTAATTTTAAATTCCATCCATCTGAATCATGCCTTCACAACCAATTGTATAGTTCATTAATTTTTGTAAATATAATGTATGTAACATTCTTTCTCATCACTTGTAAATAAATATAATTTGTACATAAAAGTTATTTTAATCATGCCACCTATTTCTTTCATTATAAGCACAGGTAATGTTTGGTAATTAGTGAACAGATAAACACACAACAAGCCTTTGTGAGAAGTAATCCAATAAATTAATCAAGGACCAATATGTCAAATGATATAATTTGTTTAGCTAATATTTTTATTAATTAATTCTGGATAATTATCTTCAATAATTACCAGTGGCATCCCGTGATATAAAAATCTATCAAAAACCATTTTGATACGTAGCAAAACATATTAATTTTGAGATTTCATTTAACCAAATATATATTTTATATATATAGGGTGTTTCAGGGTTAAGTGAAGAAACTGAAAATATGAATTAAGGACCTCAAAATAAGAAAAAACAAATCTATGAAGGTATTTCCGCAAACGCTTTGTTTAGGAGATATTCATTGTTATAAATTATTTCCGTTATATTAAGTAAATAAAACTTATTTATTTGTTACAACTACTTTATTAATTAAACGTAAACATTAAATTCATATTCAATGTTGTTCAAGTGATTTTCCTGAGCATTAAGACAGGCTTGGAATCTTTCTTCAGCAGCAGCAGTGGCAGAACGGCGCTGGATAGGTGCTATTATTCACAAGATTCAATTATTCTATATCGTAAGGAATTAAGGACCTCAAATTATGAAAAAAAAATCCTATGAAGGTATGTCCGGATTGATTTACGCATTGGTCGGACTTAGTTCATTTTTTGCAGTTTGGCCACTTAACCACTTAACTTTAATCAATATACTTAATTTCTTTAAATAAAGCCTTAGTTTATTTTATTTTTTTCAAAGAAGAAACATGACAGTATTCCACGAAATTCTCGTAATTTTAAGATATTATTAGAAAACCAATTCACAACCGTTGAAGCAAATCGTGAAATCATTAAATATGAAGGGGAAGGTGTCCTGGAGCAGCAAACTGCGCGGCGTTGGTTTGACAAAGTCTGAAGTTGAGTGGAAAGAGAGAAGGGTTTCGGGTGAACATCCATGGATATTGACGAGATGCTGTTTGAATCTGTAGTGTCAAATCCTTCCACTAATACTCGCGAACTTGCCAGATAGCGAGGTGTGTCGAAAGATGCTGTTAGTCGGCATCTACTCTCCATGGTGAAGGTAAAAAAGAGCAGAAGTCTGGTCTCTCACGAACTTATTCCTTAGAAATCAGCATAAGAAAGAGGTTAGAAATTTGTGAAAATATATTAAAAACCCATGCCTGAAAAACTTCCTCATCCACCGTATAGTCCAGACCTGGCACCATCGGATTACTACTTATTTAGACCCATGGCCCATTTTCTTCAAGGGAAAAAAATTGATAATTCTGCGAAAGTTGGAATCGCGGTCCAAGAGTTCTTTGAGAGCCATCCCAAAGAATAGTATCAGCGTGGGATCGAGCACTTGGCTGGCAGATGGCTCTTACTGTAGATAAAAATGGAGTATATTTTGTTTAGTATTAATTGTATTTTATTTCAAAGAAATGATAATAATATGTGGTTGAAAAACGGTCACTTTTTATATATATCCTATTCATTTTAATATTTTATTATTTATTTATTGAGTAATATATCATTCTGTCTATTTGCCAATAGGTATAGTGTGATAAGACCACATTCACACAATATATATATATAAAATGAACAAAAACAAAATAACGACTAAATCGTTATTCAATATTGAACATGTTTTGGATTGAAGGTGAAATTTCGCCTTATTGACTAAGGGTTAATAGTCAATAAGACGAAATTCCATGAAAGTTGAGAAGGTGGGTCATATCTGACTGAGCCTCAACTCTTTTTCTTGGGAAAATACACTTGTAAAATGATGTTTTTTACTTAAAGTAATACAAATATAATAACTTATTACTAAATGTGCCTTACGAGAGGTTTAGGTTCAAGGCAAATATAAGTTTTTAATTAATTTTAGTGTGTTAGACACAATAATTGTATCTGGTTGGTTTCAACTTCCATTCATACTTGGAAAAAATTTGGTAATTTTAAAGTTGTTTTTTTTTTTTTTAAGATGGATATTTTTTTATTAAAATTCTGTTTATAACATGATTAATGCTATAAAATTTAAATAAAAATGCTTTTCTTGATTGCCGAATACCACAGTTCAAAACATATAATTATATTTATCTAGAGAGAAAAAAAATATGTGAATGTTCTCTGAAGCTGTGATATTTAGAAATTGCAGGGTCAATTTTTTATTGATATTTGTGACAGTTCATTAAACGTATTTAAATAAAAAAGTAAATAAGTAAAAGGAAACATTCAAATCAAGAGGATATTAATCGGAATTTCTACGTTAAAAACAACGTAATATTTGATCCATCTATGTTACCCTAGTACACATAATGTAACCTAAAAGTGATAAAAGGAGAGAAAATACACTGAGATTGAAGTTCCTACTTGGCCAACTACCAAAAAACATTTAAAGGAAAGGTTGTCTTCAGATATCATTAAGTTCCATTGCTGTTTTATTCATGTTCACGGGTCGTATCCGAAAACCCTCCTTGTTGACTGAATGTTAGCAATATAAAATATCCGATCGAAGCTTGGAAGGAGTATCTGTTATAATTTTCAATGTATCTTTCCTTTTCAGATAGAAGTGTTTGCTTAATAACATGGGAAAATCTGACTAACAATTGGTTATCTCTTTTGTGTATGAGTCAATAGATGAAAAACTGAACTTCCAGCCCTTATAGCTTCGATATCGGTTACGAAAGTAGACTTAGAAGCAGAATTAAGACATATAAATAACGCTGAGCATAATATAGTAAATGTGATCAATCATTTTTATTTTGGGTTAAATATTTGTTATCATTATCTTTCAAATTTATCACATTCTGCGATGTTTATTTGATTGATGACATCTCACAGCTGTGTTTTCAAATCAGAAATTTTTCAGATCAAAGATAAGATTTGGTGTAATTGTCAATCGAGTCAATGAGATGTTCAATTCATACTAGGCTCTCAGTAGTACTTATCTAATCAGCTCTGTATAATTGAGTATTGAATATTCAGTTTATCACTATTATAATTTTATTTACATAAAAATTTTCTAAAAAAAAAAAACTCAAGAACGGGCATGAATAAAAGTTAGAAAGTTACCCATTAGAAATTATGATTTCTAATAACAAGTAACAAAAAAAACAAAAAAAAAACACCAATTTCATATTAACATAAACCCGTAATAAATATTAGGGTTAAGGACATTTATTTGGTCACTCATGAAATTGAGATCAATTCCTATAAAAAGATCAATGGAAAAAAGACTGATGTTACTATAGATAGAAAATATTTGAAAAATGCAGTATAATTTTACAATTTTATAATTATTTTTTTTAGAATTCAAAGTGGATTTTTATAATTAATTGATTTTAATACACTCGGGCCAAAAGGATATAAATAAAAGCATTACAATTATTTATTTTAGTTATTTTTTCTTACAAAATATCAAACAACAAAAGTTTTTACATAATTAAAGCTAGTCATCAACTTATTTGAAAACAATTCCCAACTTTATGTGGTTTTAAACCGACAGTTTAATTTGCTGGATGTAAAAAAAATCGCAAATATTCCATGTTTTTATGAAAAAGTGAACTTTCTGTAGTTTGAAAAGTTTCAAGTCCCTATTAAATGGTCAAAAAAGTCTATTTGCATTTCAAGGAAATCCATCAAGCTAAATAAGCAAATGTTGTGGACAAATCTAATTGTTATTCCGTATTGAGGCCACTCTAATAATAAACGTTTAACTGTCGTGAGATGTATTGTTAACTATGGGCGCATCTACACCCATTAGGAAGGTACCCGTATGTAATAAGATTTAAAAGAGCCCAATGCTTAAAAGTGCTCGATGCTTTGGATTGCAATGCTTAAAAATGCTTTAAAAAGTGCCCAGTGCTCTAAAAAGTGCCCAATTCATGTTCGGGATAATATTATTCTTCCATTTTAGATTTATCTCGTTTTGTTTTCCGCTGGCCTTTGTAATTTTCGAAAAGCTTTTCAACGGTGATGTCATGTATGTCTGATACTACTGTATGTCTGATACTACTCACTTCCTAGCCAAATGAGCTGTTTGGTCTGCTTTTTCATTGGCCAATATGCCGCTATGGGATGGAACCATGACAAAGACCACTCTCACTGGTCTTTTTCTTATCTCCTACCATACGTTCAATATTTCTCTGATAAGGTAGTTGTTTGGCTATGGGTTACGAATTGCAGCTACATCGCTTTTGGAGACTGTTGCTATGATCCAGTTTTTATCTTTGGATTTTGATATCCGATAGAGGGCTTTCATTATGGCTATTATTTTTCAATTAAGCATGGACCAGTCTTTTATTAAGTTAAATAGTAGCTGTAATTGATTTTCGGTAACATCGCAAACAACACTATTTTCTTCTTTGGAAGAAGGTCTGTATGATCTTAAAACCTTTGTAGCTTTCTATTATTGGAACGAAATAATTTTTTATTTCTAGTGGGCACTCTTTGGAATATGTAGTCATCAATATGCCTATTAGTCGGTCTACATTTCTTTCAGTAAGGCAATTTGAGATCAGGAATGGCTATTATTGTGTTCAGATCCATGTCCATTTCACATTATGTTTTATAAATTGTTTGTTTGAATTGGCTTCCCTTTATTTCTGTAAGTCAACGCATTTTGGATTCCTCAAAACTGGTTTTATAGTTAATGGATGCTGTGGACGTGTTTTCAATTTTGAGACATATTGTATTGATAAGTAATCTCGTCTCATCTCCTCTCTTGGAGAGAGTTCTCTAGATTCGGCGTATATACTATCGACTGGAGAAGTTCGGAAAAAAAGAGCGGAGGGCTCTCAAATCCAAACACCTTAACAAGAACTTAAGTGGACAGGAAGAGATATTATTTCTCAATCAATACAATGCACATCCAAATATCATAGGTATAAAAGGTTAAGGCAATTTAGAGTATCGTTCCATCAGTATGTAATGGTCCGGATATCACACTTATCTCATGTTTTCTTTTTCAGAGAGATCGAAAAAAAAAAAAAGTTCGGAAAGCTCCTCTGAGGATTCTAAGAGCCGAATTGCTGATGGAATCTAGCATTTTCAGTAACGTTTTATGGCCTGTTCCATATACTTGGAAACCATGTGACAGATTGTTGTAATACTCAATAAGAAATAAGAAAAAAACGTTTTTATGAGAAGGGTGATGAACAATTTCTTGCAAGCTTCATCGTTTTATTTTTACAATTTGGGTCAATACCAGATTTTACTGAATTATATTATGAAATATATGATTAGAAATTGAACTACGTCACATACCTAAGATGTCCCTCTGTGGAAACCACTTTCCGATCCTAACGTTGCTTGGGATTTTCAGGTCCGGATTGTCTGTTTCCCACTTCATGAGGATTCGCTGTGGCATTTTTTCAAAAGTTTTCATGAGCGCTTTGCCTTTTTCACCCACTAACACATCCGATGCTTTTAGATTAGATCCGAAGGAAAAGTATATAACTCCGTGCTCAGCCTCGTCCATGTACGTCTGAATATCCTGGATAAAAAAAATATTTCATAATGTTACAACACATGATTGTATAAATAATACCTTGACCAACAATTAATATTATTTTTTAAAAATTAAAAACATTAAGAGTTGATTTTTAATTCTAACCTTAGTTTCCACTCCAGCAAATGCCTAGGAATGCTCCAATGTTCCTTACGAAAATGTACAACTGCATTGTGGGGACTACTAACTTACAATCAAAACATTCTCTTTACAAGATGATACAAAAAAGGGACAAAGACATTTTCAATTCCTCATCCCATCGACATATCAGTCTCCTTCCGATATTTTCCAAAGTTTTCGAAAAAATAATATAGAGAAGACTGGTTGACATACTGACAGACCAAAAAATAATTCCTGACCATCAATTCCGTTTTCGTACATTTCATTCAACTACAAATCAATTACACAGAGTTGGCGACTACATTGCTGGAGCGCTTGAGCAAAAAAAATATGCTGGTGTGTTTGAGAATGTTGCCCAGACGTTCGATAAAGTATGCCACAAGGGACTTCTTTTTAAAATCAAAACTATACTACCTCATGCATACTATCTCATTCTTCGGTCTCTCCTTTTCGACAGGTTTTTTTTTCTGTCCGGCAGGGCTTAGAAATTTCCTCAATTCGACCAATGTCTGCATTGGTGCCTCAAGGATTAATATTGGCTCCTTTACTCTACCCTATCTATACCCATGACATGCCTACCACCCTCGAAATATTGGCTGCTATATACGCTGACGATACAAAAATATTAACAAAACAACATCCCCACAGACTAACCTCACTAAATTTACACAATTGGTATTTACTTTGGCAAATTAGATTAAATCATGAGAAATCACAACACAGAACATTCCCACTTCGACGAGAAACATGCAAAACAGTTTATATCCGCGACAATCAAATTTCTCAGACGGACACTGTCCTTTACCTTGAGCTGATATTAAACAGAGTGACTTGGGGCCCACACCTCAAAATGAAACGAATGGTTTTAAACAAGCGACTGAAAATACTATACTCACTTTTTTCTAATAAAAATTGAAAAACTAACTACTAACACTGACCTGCTCAAACCCATTTGGACATACGCCTCACATATTTACGGTTCAGCAAAAATGACTCACTTACAAAAACTACAATCTTTTCTATCTAAAATTTTAACACTAATATCTTCAGCCCTCTACGTCAACAACAAAACTTTATATACCGACCTAAGACAACCAAATATTGACCAGCTGGTGGGTCTTTCTACTCATAATTTCATCTTAAACTCTCTATTGTTAACATGCTCATTATTAGGAGACTGAAAAAGAGTTGGATAAGAGATCTCTTTCCCTTAATTAAGGATGTAATGACACCATACAAGAGGTGCTGCTGAGTACCTAGGAACCATGCCTATCATGCCAATTTTTAACGTAACAACAAATCTGCTAATTATCTCTACCATGACAGATGTGATTTGAATATTAGAAAAAAAAGTTTCATTATACATAAAACACTGATTGACTATGAATAAAATTTCACTAAAAGTAATATGGAAATGCGAAACCTAAATCCCTACATCCAAATAATTGATTGTATTGAAATTACATGCTACTATAAATAATACTTCAGATAAATATTAACAAAATAACTTACAGTAATGTTATTTTCAGCTGGTAGTTTGTTTTCTTATTTTAGATTCCGTTTGTTGTTAGGTGATTAATAAAGAAATAAAATTATTCTACAATAAATAATTTTCTATAATTGAGTTTAATCTTCAATATATCGTCGTAAACCAAGACTAGACTTCCTGTAGACTAGACTGTAGACTTCCTGTCCTACAGTTTCCTTTAACAATACTCCACTTATCCCTGTTGAGCAAATCCGATACCTAGGACTCCATCTGGACAAACGACTATCTTGGAATCCTCATACTAGGTTGAATCGACAAGAAACCGCTCGACGTTTCCGATTACTTCAGCACTTATTAGACAAACGCTCTAAACTTCCCATTAATTACAAAATACTCATATACTTGACTATAATAAGACCTATTTGGACTTACGGAGTTGAGCTATGGGGCTCCACTAAACCATCGAATTCCTCTCGCATCCAATCCTTACAATCCAAAATTCTTCGTAAAATCCTCAATGCTCCTTACTTTGTCACTAATAAAATTATCCATAAAGATCTTAATGTTCCTTATGTTTCAGATCTGGCCCAATCCAGATACCTATCCTTCCATAATAAACTTCAGAATCATCCCAACCCTCTCGTTTCTAACTTTGCTTCCTCTTCAATTCCTGATAACCCTCCGAGGCGTCTGAAAAGAAGATGGCCCCGTCATCTCTTAATGTAGTCATATCATTAGAGTGCTACCATTGGGTAGTTACTCAGCAAGTGTATTTATGTCATTATGTCAATTATGTCCAAATTTACTTGATGTATTTATGTAATACAGTTGTAAATGTCATAAAGAAATTAAAAAAAAAAAAATCTTCAATATAGACTGTTTGAAATTAAAATAAAATGAATAATGAAATTTATATGTTTATTATCTATTCTAAAGGCATAAGTATTATATTGATCCAAGATCAATGAAAAGTGCGTGAAAATCGGTTTTTTGCTAATTTTTTTATTTTGTAGAGGGAATCAAGTGCTCTTTTTATAGAATGGGCTACGCTATTAGACAAAAACATGTTTTTTTCAAAGACTATAAAGACTATAACTTTCATATATTTTTGAACTTTAATTTCCTTTAAATTCTAAGTACTTTCAATTTTTGTATACGTAGTGATTTCCTGAGAAAAATCAGGAAATAAAATTTTAAAGAACAGAAAAATATGTTGGGCCTAATCCTGAAATATATTATTTTATTTTAATTATTTATTTATTTAAAGGTAATTAAATCCCTACAAAAATGATCACAATCAAACCATTAATATCAATAATACAGCATATTCTGCTTTCCGTGTTTCATTACTTTCCTACCGCAACTAGTACGGAACTTATTGTAATCGGGTCAGATTTTCTATGAGCGGTTTTAAATGGATTCTTTTAGAGATCCCTCGTTCCGAAAAGCCCATTTCTTGAAAGGTTATTAAATATTCGACAAAGCTAAAACTAATCCCTAAAAAACTGGCCAATTTTAGGCATGTTACAGTGCGTTGAATTAAATTAAAGCAGGTCTTCAAGAAAAAAGCCGGTCTGCTTTTTTTTCCCTTGTACATTAAACAATGTTTCACATGCTCCTTTTAATTACTTTAATAAAAGAAAATGTACTATAACCATTTTTCTTATTGGCTGTTCAAGAAAATGAATCTAATAAATTATCCTTTTTAATGGACATACTCAAAGTTGTTTAAATATGTCAAATATCGGTAGAAAAATCATAGACATAGCAAATATTTTTTTATATTAGTAACCATTACAATTATTACTAAAAATTATGAAATGATAAGCTTAAAAAACTTACGTACATTTGGTAAAGGTTTATTCGGCATCAAGTTCAAGCCAGCGATATTCTTGACGTGGGGTGCAGTCGGATATGGATAGCTGAGGACTGGATCAGAGTTGAGCAATATGAGACTCCTGTTGGCCATCAAGGTATCCAGTGGGGGCCTAGTCTCCCAGCCGGTATAGTTGAAGTACTTGTCCATGATGCCCTGCATCGCGTACAGATGGTAGTAGCTGACAGCGAGCGTCGAAGCGATCACATATACGTTGAAGGTCCTTTGCCATACCGTCATATCCTGACTAAGATCTTCTGATTTAAAGTCTACTTGAAAAGCTGGATTTGACGGAACACCTGAAAACAGCATAAAAGTAGCTCTTATCCCATGAAATAAAATAAAGATTATAGCATTGGCATACACTTTATGAGAACGAAGAATAGTAAATGTTATAAAGCTCACCGGCGAATTCGTTAATCCACGCCGAATCGCCCAGTGTAGATACTTCGATTCCAACGCACCCGAATTTGTGAACCAATGACGAGACTGCCTCTTGATTGAAAAAGGATTCCATTAATACAGCGTCGTATTTGTCCGTGGAATGGATTATTTCCTGAGCTACCTGGTTACCATAATAATGTTCAGAGAATCTTTCTGCAGTTCGGGCAAAAATGTGTGAAACCTCGGGAATAGATTTCCGACGTAACTCGAATACATCCATATCCTCTGAACAAAATGAAAATAATAATAGTATATTATATTGATTTGTTTAAATTAATTAACCATTCTTTCGTAGCTATAGATAACACAGCTTTTCTTTGTTCCATATCTTTTGTCATTATTTCATTTTGACAAATTCTATTTCGTGTTTTAATTTGTTATATTTAATTTTATTATTTTTATCTCCTTTCCTCACACAGTAACCCTGTACAAGGGCTGTGTATTTGTTAAATTTTAGCGTATTTAGTGTCTAATTAAATAAACAATGTTTGACAACATATTAAACTATTTACTGAGTTCCAGGCGGATATTAATAATTTGATAAAAAGATGTCTGTACCACAGACTAACATCGTTCATTTCATTAGACACTAAAAACTCGTAAATACCCATGTGCTTTCCACTTGAACCGTAAGATAATTTGAACTCTAGAACACAGGTGACCTTTAAAAATATTAATATGTTTGGCGTGACCTACACTCCCAAAAGGTTGTATAGGACAAACGGCCCAATATTTTTGTTGGCCATCTTTTTTTCGATATCGTGATAAAATTATCTTACATTCAATTGAAAAGCGAATAGGTGTTCATGAGTTTTTATTACTTCATTAAATATACAAAGTTTACCGATCTACAGATTAAAAACACTCCATTTTCGAGACTTTGCATAAATAACAAAGTTGTTGGTCAAGCCATTTAAAAAGTTTTAGAAGGATGCAAATAATTTAATAAAAAGGATTCAGTATTGCGGACTATTTAGCAAGAAATAAAAGTCAATTAGCTTTGATATTATTCAATAAATAGTAAAATTATATTATTAAAATAGTAGTAAATAGAAAATTAAATTATCAAATTTTTACTATATGGCTTGTCCATAAGCTAATTTTTTTAATGCTCTTATTGTTATTTTATTTTTTATTGAAAGAATAATAATACACTCTACGAAAATCAAGATCATTGGGTTTTAAGGCTCTCTACGTGTACATTCATACTATTATATACAATTGAGAAAAAATAATAATAAGAAAACATGTTGGTAAAAATATCTAAAATAAAAGAATAACAAAAATATAAAATACTTTAAAAAAAAAAACATATTAAAAAGATAATCCAAAGAAAAAGAGAGAAAAAAAATTGCTTGTCACACATTCCTACATGCAATATTTACAATATTCAGCCTCGAGAACCATGAAACATGAATGCTTTGCCGTTCATGCGAAAGGCAAATCAGGGCTCAAAGAGATACTTCTCTCCCAGTTGCATGACTGTAAATAAGCTAATAATGAATTTTAATAAAGAACTATTTCGATTTGATTAAGATCAATTGAAACATTTTATTTTTATATATAATAATAATAATAATAAGGCTTAGCGAACCCGAAGGTTCGATGCCGACACCACCAATCGCTTGTTACACATCTCCCTCCACCGTTCGCCGTCCAAACCCAGTCCCTTCAGATCGGCTTTAATGCAATCTTCCCACCTTTGCTTCGGTCTACCCCTCGGATGCTTACGATTCGGCACAGCAAATATTAACCTTTTAGGAATTCTCTCGTTACTAAGCACAACAACTTTACAAGCCCATTTGATTCGCCGCGATGAAATTACATCAATTATAATACCCGGATACAGCTCTCGCAATTCGGCGTTGTGTAACCGTCTGAACTCTCCGGTAAACTCATCCTTCTTCGGTCCGAATATTCTACGCAATACTTTATTTTCAAAAACCTTAAGACGCTGCTCATCCCTTAATGTAAGCGGCCAAGTTTCGCATCCATAAAGAACTGTATGCAAGATAATTGTTTTATAGATTCTAATTTTTAAGTTTCGGGACAAGAGGCGCGAACTAAGTAGTTTTGTCACAGAAAAATAACAAGCATTTCCCGCCTTCAGTCTAACCTTAATCTCTTCTTCAATTTCGTTTTTTCTAGTTATCGTAGAACCTAGATACCTAAATTTATCTACCTGTTCAAACATATTACCATCTATATCGATATCACCAGTAGTATCGCCATTTTTGCAGCTAACCATATATTTTGTTTTATCCACGTTTATTTCGAGTCCTAGTTCTTTACCGGCTTTCATTAACGTTGTCGTATTTAGTTTTATAGTTTCAACGTCTTCGCTTAACAGTACCAGATCATCAGCATAGCCCAGCACGGATGTTGTCCCGCCCAGATCCAACCCTTTCTCGGTTCGCATTACCTCCCTAATGGCATGTTCTAATGCCAAATTGAACAGGACAGGCGAAAGAGAATCCCCCTGTTTTAAGCCCGAACGAACCTCAAATTTTTCGGACAAATTATTACCGATTCTAACTTTATTGAGTGTCTCCGTCAAGCACATCCTGACTAGATTTACTAGTTTTTTTGGAATCCCCTGCTCGATTAGAATATTATACAGTTTCTGGCGGTCAATAGAATCGTAAGCCTTTTTAAAATCTATATACAGCTGGTGAACAATACCGTTATACTCCAATTTTTTCTCTAATATTTGCCGTAAAGAAAATATTTGATCAATAGTCGAACGATTCCGTCTAAATCCGCATTGGTAGTCTCCGATAATTTCCTCGGCGTATTCCGTGATTCGACTGGTTAAGATTAAAGTGAATATTTTATAACATACCGGAAGGAGTGAAATTCCTCGATAGTTATTACAATCCGTCCTCGGACCCTTTTTGTGAATCGGAATAAGAATAGATTCTTTCCATTCTTCAGGTAATTTCTCGTTCACCCAGATCTTTTTAACCAACCGATGTATTTTAGAAACTCCAGCTTCCCCGCATGCCTTAATTAGTTCAGTAGGAATATTATCGATTCCCGCTGCTTTATATGATTTTAATTTTCCGATAGCTACTTCAACTTCCTCTTTACTTGGTCCTTCTAATAACGGTTCAGCACTCTGGTACTCAGAAGGAGGACACAGATCATAATTTTCCCTATTTAATATATTGTCAAAGTGGTCCTTAAATTTATTCAATATGTCAACCGGATCGGTCAGAATATTGTTATTATCATCCCTAATTCCAGATGTTACGGGCCCTACACATTTACGTGATCTGTTTATACCTTTGTACATGTCTCTTACGTTATTTTCGATTCTATTAGTTTCTATTTCAATTATTTTATTTTTAAGATACTCCCTTTTTTTATTTTTGAGCAATTTTGTCGTTTCGTTCTTTGAGATTCGGAAGTATTCCAGATTGTCTTCGCTAGGATTATTTAGAGCTTTTAATTTAGCGGCTTTTCTTTTTTCGCACATGTATAAGCAATCTTCATCAAACCACGGTTTGTTATTCTCATTTTCCTTTTTTCCTAGGCACGAGTTACCGACCGCTTTAATATTATCCCTGATCTCTACCCATAACTTGTCAATATCCTCGTGGTCCTCGTCAGGAAGCTCTAAAGCTTCAAACCTATTCTTAACATCTAGCTCGAATTGGTTTCTAATTGATGGATTTTTTAATTTTTCCAAATTAAAATTCTCAAAATCGAAACGGTTTTCTTTTCTCTTTTTTTATATTAAGTTTTTGTCGAAGTTTCGCGATTACTAATTCATGATCCGACCCACATTCTGCTCCGCGATAAGACCGTACATTTTTTATACTGCTTTGCCAGCTGTGTTGTATCAAGACATGATCGATTTGATTTCGTGTTTGCGAATTCGGTGATGTCCAAGTATATTTATGAATATCCTTATGTTTAAACGTCGTACTTTTAATTATCAGGTTTCTGAGATGGCAAAGTTTATCAGACGGATCCCATTATCATTACTATATTCGTGCAAACTTTCTTTACCAATCATCGGAATATAAACTTCTTCCCTTCCTACCTTCATAAACCCATTCTAGTTTATCGTAAAATTCAGTTTTGACTTCATCGTCACTGTCTTCGGTCGGACAATGTATGTTTATTAATGCGTTTTTAAACCAACGTCCCTGAAATATAGCTACCGAAATTCTATCACTAAAGAATTGTACGTCCCTCAAAGCGGATGTGGGGATGGCCGGGGGAAATTCCTTGCAAGTTCCTCCCGGCTAAGTCCGATGGACTCGCTGACCAACAATGAGAGGGGCCCTCCAGACTTGATGGAGGGAGGGGACCTCCAGACTTGCTGGAGGTAGGGGCCCACCAGACTTGCTGGAGGGTGTGACGTAGGATTGAACGCCCTACTCACATATCTTTAGTTCACCAAACACCACAAAAAGTCATGGATCTCCCTAAGGTAAAACGCTCATTATACGGAGGTAAACTAGTCCCCCGTTCGGCTCTCCGGGTGGGGACTGCTTTAGGGGATTCATGGCGCAAGTTGAAATATAGATTTAAATATTGGTACGTGGAACGTAAGGAGTTTAAACACAGCAGGGGGCTAAAATCGGTCGCGAATGATTTAAATGGGTACAATTTGGATGTCGTGGCTCTGCAAGAGGTTCGCTGGCCAGGGGAGGGCTCGATGAGGGAAGGAAAGTACACTATTTGGTACGGAGGAAGCGGGAATCATTGTTTAGGTACCGGGTTTCTAATTAGGAGTAGATTACTATCCGCTTTGAGGGACGTACAATTCTTTATTTTTATATATAACATATTAAAATATCATTTTAATATTGCAAGTGCTTTTTTGATTACATTTATTCTCTAACAAATTTTAATGTAAATTAAAAAAATATTAATACATAGCTCATCATATTTCGAGAGATAAGAAAAACTTAACAGAGATGATACAGCACTCCAATACAGTACAAAAAACTTGGGATTAGTTTAGGTGTTATGTATTCCATATAGAATTTAGTGTATACTGTACAGAATACAATTCTGTATTCGGATTCCATACAGGTTTCTGTATCAACTGTATAATAGTATTTTTCGCAGATAGGCATTAATTTTTATTTGATTTTTTTTTTTTTTATACTGATAAAGTAAAATGTATTATCTTTAGTCTGCACTTTTGATTTTATACATTTTAGTCAAGATGCCTGAATTATTCAACATTCCATGTGTAGAAATGTAGACTCGTTTTGAGAGATTACATTTCCTACTTCAGCATATTATAAAAAGTTTAATATAACTACCAAATAACTTACTTAGAAATTCAGCCTTGAAGTTTGGAGTCAATTTGACTGTTATGTTCTGATGAGATAAAGTCGGTTCAATTGATGTGTAGTAGGTGATTTCATGGCCGCGATCTGCTAGAACTTTGATGAGGCCGAGGAAAATGGCATGATGGCTGTTGGAAGGAAATGGTAAAAAGGCCAAAATTTTGTAGGCACGGCATCCCGTAGAAAGACAGATTAAGGATAGCACGAACAATTTCCAGGACATGTATGTATATATTTTGTTAATTTTTTTCTACGTTAGATCGTCTATCGAAACCGTACTCTACCCTGGATTGAATCTGTAAAGAACATCTATGGTTATATAATATGGTTGTGAATAATTAAGTGATATATAATGAACACATATTTACAGTACATAATGGCTAATTTAATATTAAGTCATTCGTAATGCATAGTTAAATACCTGTGAGATCATTGAATTTTCACCATCAGCCAGCTTCATAACTATGTTAAATTCACATAAAATGAATTTTATTTATTCTTACATAATATAGACATTATATATATATATATATAAAAATATTGTTACAAGGAAATATATACAGATTTCAACAGAAAAATTATTATTCAATTATTCAAAAACTTTGTTATAAAGTAAATTTCATATCTATAGACAGTAAAACAAAAAAGAAATTACTCAAAATGTTCCCCGTCTGCCTTCACACAAGCATTTAGTCATCGTGGCCAGTCATCAATAGCACGCAGCACTTCTTGAGGAAAGGTCTGAACAGCTCTGACCAGAGATTGTTTGACACTTTCAAAGTTAGGGTGTGCTCTGTGCCATGCCATCCTCTCCAGTTCGGACCAAAGCCGATAATTTAGTGGGTTGAGATCAGGGCTTCCTGGGGGCCAAACGGATGCAGAGATGAACTCTGGAATGTTCTTTTGCACCCACTGCTGAGTTACCTGGTATTGTGAGCTGTAGCGGAATCATGCAGGAAAGCCCAATGCCTTCCAGCAAAAGTATCATTTAGAATCTTGAAAACAGGTTCCAAAATATCGTCCTGATAGTTTTTAGCGAGTTTTTCCTCCACAAAAATGTGCTTTGTGGTGCCATCAAAGCAAACTCCCCAGCAAACCATCATTACAAAGTTCAACTTTTGTAACAATATTTATGGCAGAACAAGGTACACTAGGGGAAAACGGGCCAAATTCTAATAGTGCGTTCCATATAGGAAAATAATAAAAAAAAAAACATATTGTGCAGTGACACATCAAACACCTTTAGCTTACCAAGATTTTTAAATTGTGAATTATGTATTTGCAAACAAAGAGAGGTAAAAATAAAAATTACAGACAAAAATATAATTTAAAACAATTGATTGTCGTACGATTTTCATGTCCGTCTAATATATTAATTTATGATTTTTTTTCGAGCCAGTTCCTTTTAAGATTGCATATTTATTTATTATTAATATCAATAATTATTTATTTGATTCTAATAAATAGTGAAGTGCTACGAAATATTTTTAGTCCGACAAGAGTGCCACTGATAAAGAAGGTCGCTATTAGTTTATTTTAATTTTATTGTAGGTATTTTTATTTGTTGAGGTATTGTAAATTTTTTTATTTTTTTATTCCTGTAATCTATAATTAAATAATATCAACGCTAGATAAGAAAACCGCACATGTTTATGTATCTAATATTATAGAAGCCCGTATTTTATTAACAGAGCCAACCTATGGGAGCCAGTTTTAACCTACCCGCCAAATTCGGGTGAGCTCTATGGTTTCATTGGTTCACTATCGCGGTCCCTTTTTTCTCCTTTAGTTGTTAAAATCTACATATTTTATATTTAAACATTTTTAATAGCAGGTTACAACGTGAAATTGTTAATTATTTCAAACAATAAAAAATAATAGTACTTTAAATTAAGGAATTTTAGATAACATCAATGACCTAAATTATATTAGAAATCTTTAATTTTTCATTGATGTAATATACTTAATCAAAATTCTTAGAGCCATTCTCGAGAAAAATGGCACTGTATTATCGATTTTACACATTTTCCTGCGGTTAGCCGATTTAGACGAAATAGTTGCTGTATACAAACCTTAAAACTTCAGTTTCTTTCATGCTTTATTTTTTGAACTAGACTGTCTACATATACACTGTCAAACACATAACTTAAAAAGTTCCTTAATTCCAAAGAGCAAAAATAACTGAGATAAATACGTTGACGATTCAAAATTTCTAAGCCCTGAAACCCAAACGAGCACCATTTAGCAAGATTTGGTTATTTGGACTCAGGGGACCTCAAAAAGTAGATTTCCGTTGAAAACTCAGATTCGAAAATCTTTACCGTCGTGGTAATTTTCCTTGTTATATATTTTATACGAACCTATCAGTCGACAGAATGACTAAACTCAATTTTAACATTTTTTAGTAAATTCATTTTAGTGATATTTCTGGAAGGAAAATTTATAATATATGTACAGAAAGTGAGTAAGTTTATTCCAGAGTAGGTGATTGCAGTGTTGAAATATTCAAGTGTGATTACAGATATCAAATTTTCCACTAGAAATATCACTGAAATTAATAATGGAAAATATCTAACTTGGGGTTAGTCATTCGGTCAACTGAAAGGTTCATATCATGCAATTATTTTATTGCCTAATTACAAATAAAAAATATTTTACACGTGCATTTTGTTTTTATTGAAACAGATTGTAAATTATAATTAACACATTTGATGATTTGCTGATAGTTCTGGCATCCGTGAGAGGTGGGAATATAGATATGTGGTGAAAAAAAAATATCAATTATATGCAAAACTTGAGGGATTTTTTCTATAAAACCAGAACTTGATAACAATAATTATATATTTTTGAATTGATAGGATTTGACAATTTCCTATATTTTTTTTAATCTTCAAATCTTCGCCATAAAAATACGTTTATAGTTTGATTGAAAGTAACAAAAAATATAGTAAAATAAACAGAAATAATCGAAATTAACGACTGACCAAATAAAACAGGAGCACCTTCAGCAGACGATATTGACTTCCGACTGCAGTATCAGTCTTCTTTTATCTTCCGTATACTCAACAAGCGTGGGTCATATCAGATATTATACAAACTGAAACATACTACACATGAGATTACTGAATGTACGATTACGTAATTAATACTTCCAATATTTTACTTTAAAACGCTCTTTATACTAGATATATCGTAGATAAGCTATAGAGTAAAAAGACTCTTTTAAACAAAGCACTCCCAGCTATAAGGCAGATTATATCAGATTTTATTAAAGTAGGGTAAAAAATTTTAAAATACTTCTTTCTATAAAATATTGAAATTAAAATAAAAGATTTGGTGTCTAGATTATTGTCCTGTCTTATACTTTATACTTTTTATTTATACTTCGAGGCAGAAAGTAAAGGATCTTAGGATTCAGTAGAAGTGTCTGATACTGATCACCACAAATCATTAGGTTTAAGCAGAAAATACGCCTGTGTTTTTAGGACAGGTCTGCCTAGACCTGTCCTAAAAACAAAAAATATGATTTTTCTTCCGCCAACTATTATTTATTATGAAGACGTTATTAATGCGGCAGTTATATTAAAAATTGCTGGACACGTCGGGATAACTATACTGTTTTATCACTAATACCGTGGAACTTCCAAATTTTAATTTTTGTTTTCTTTCCCTATACTCAACAGCACCGAATGCACGCACCAAATGTAGTCACGTATGATTTCCAGGTCAGTCGTCTATCCATTGTGAGCCCCAAATATTTTGTCTCTGTATGATTTAGCAAATGGATCTTGTGAAGTGTCAATGGTGGGCAATCCGAACGTTTAAGTGTATATGTAACCTGATTTAATTTTAGTATGTTAATTTTTGTGCATCATTTATCTAGCCAGGCTGTAGAAGATTTAAATGGATCTATACTTTTTGGGAAGCTGCGATCGGATTAGAGTCAGTCAAGAGCATGGCATTGTCGTCTACGTATGTTGCGAGTAATGTTTCAGAAGCGTAAATAGAGTGCAGAACTGGGCCAAGAATACTGCCCTGCGGTATTCCTGCACCTATTCGGCTATAGTCATCCTGGTTAACTACGAAAAATCTATCTCTAAGATACGATCTGATAATTAAATAGTAAGTATGCGTAAAGATCGATTTCATTTTACAAAGAAGACCATCATGCCATACCATATCAAAGGTCTGTGAGACGTCTAGGAAAGCTGTTGTGCAAAATTTCTTCTTTTTAAATTCCACAACAATTGTATCAAACACTCTATGACATTGATGTATTATGACATTGTTTCCTGTTTGTATAGTAGCTGTTTGTCACTGGGATAGCCAGATATTGTCCATTGGTTGAGTGCACGTCGTTTTTCAATTAAAAATGATCGCATTTCCAGGGAGTAAGTAATGTTTGTCGGTTAGTTTGTTGATTGCCAAGCAGCTGTTTGTACAGTCTTAGTAATCGTCTCTACTGCGTTGTCAATATCAATTTCCGTCTTTAATCATGTATTTAGATAAATTGTATTACTAATAATGGAATGAAATTTATTAATTAATAATGGTCTAGTAGTTAGTCTAGATGTGTAGTTAGTAATAAACATGTGCCTAGAGAGAGATAAAATAACAGCTGAATGGTCTTATGATAAGTCATTACTATTAGAGATATGAGGAGGCAGGTGCTCTGTTACCTCTCTATTCGAAGTGGCAGGCTTCACACATCCAGTCTTCGGTTATGCAATTCTAGGTGTACTCCTCATCCTCTATAATTTGCAGAATGATTGCCACTGTGCAGCGCCCAAACAGGTGGCTTCTGGTGGTTTCTGGCACATATCACTAGGATGATCTTGACCGCACTTCACACATCTCGGTTTGTGATGGCAAAATGTTGTCATGTGTCCGTATTTTTCACATCTCATACATTGAACAATATTTCTTCTTTTGCAAGGTTATTCAATTCTAACTTTAATATAAGCTATGTTGGTGACATTAAAGACTTCAGCATTGTTTGGAGCTGGCTCTAAGACAACAAAGAAAAGTAGGAGCAGTTTTTTTGGTTGCGGATATAACACATTAGGGATGAGACAGACGTTGAACCCATTTCTCTCATGACCATATTTTATATTTTTGTGAGATGTAGAATAATGGAAATTTCTAACAACAAACCTATATGGTCTGTCTTCATGAGATTGGTAAGTGTGAAAGTTGTAATTGTTGCTTTCTAGATATCTAATGCAGACTGCATAGGTGTCACTTGTTTTATTTTTTAATGTAACAATCGATTAGTTAGAAAAACATTCAAAATTATTTTATCCGAAAAGGTTTACTATATCCGTGCATAGTGTTTGGAAGTTAATTATACCTTTTATTTTAATTTGGGGTAGTTGGTGAGCTACTGTTGTATATTCAGGTCTATCTTCCATTTGGAAAGTAAGAGGTTCAAACATATTAATTATTAAAACATTTGGGATACTATTTATTTATTTTTTTTTACTTTCCTACCTATACTAGGTATGGAAAGTATTGCAATCGGGTCAAATTTCCGACATGCGGTTTTCGATGGATCTATGCGTTTCACAGCCCCTTGAGTCCGAAAAACACATTTTTAGCCATTGGTCTGTCTGTCTGTCTGTGCCAAGATTTTCTCGGGAACTACTAAACCGATTTTGTTGCTTCTTTTTTTATTTTGTAGGGTTTTGACTACTGATGGCTATGACAGAAATTCATTGCTCCATGCGCAATAGCTTGAGCGCAATAAATGAAAAACACGTTTTTCTATAGACTGTAGCGCAAAAACGGCTCTAACGATTTTGATGAAACTTTCCTATAATATTCTAATCACTGCTCTTTCAACTTTCGTATATAAACTAAATTCCCAAAAAAATTCAGGAAAAAAAGTTATAAGGAAAAGAAAAATGTTATGGTGCCTAACTCCCTAAGTATATATTATAAGGTGAAATGTATATTAGAACTTTTGAAAGGTAATTAAATTACCAACAAAACAAAAAAAAATCATCGGAATCGAACCAGTATTAGCGATGATACAGCTTATTTTATTTTTTACACATTTTTTTAAAATACATTTTTCTGAAATATAGTCGTGTGAGTGGATACAACAGATGTTTTTTTTTTTTAACTTGAGCTCTGAATAACATTTTCTGGTACTTCATTGTAGTTAACATTCTGTTCTAATGTAGATTCAATGATATGTGGTAATAATAACGTAAAGTTTTTATTTTCAATAGTTAAATTATTCATTTCAGTATTCGTGGAGTTAATGAGGTTATGTAAATTAACATATATTTGTTTTTGATAAGCATTTTTTATGAAGTTTTTATCACAGATTTGTTTTAATTCGCCCTCTTTTTCTCATTTGCTCCGTTTTTCGATGAAATATTTGAATTATACCTTTCCTTTCTCTTCAGCAGTTTTGTCAAAACGGCCTGATCCGACAGTCCGCTCGAGCTAACTGGCGTGCACTCATAAGTAAAGTGTTTGTTTTCACTTTTAAAAACTATACAAAAAGATCATACCTTTAAAGAGAACACATTTTCACTCCAAGAAACATTACGAATATAACATAATAATCGTAACAGCTGTTCTTTTGAAATGAGGATAGTCATTTATTTATTGTTTCAATACAGCTCTATGAACTATTAATATATCTGGGCAAAATTGTTTTAAGATATTTTCGTAAATTTAATATTTCTTGACTGCTAGAATGGTTATTTATTTTTCGAGTCTAGTATTATTCTAAATGAATTGAGCCACTTCTTGTTTTGTTTATTATTTGAAGTTAGATTGACAGGATGGGTTTATTTGGCATGACCGGCTTGGTTACACCATACAGTAGTCACCTAAACTAAATTAAGATCACCACTAACGGAGTTATTCAAGACAAATTAACAAAAAAAATTACCACACCAAAGGATAATAATGCTAATAGTATTCATTCATACAATATATAAATACAGGGTAAAACAATATTCATATATAATAAGGGATAAAAAAAAATAAATTATATAAAACATAGATAAAATGAACATAAAACAAATATATGAAGTAATAATAATGATAAGCAGTAATAAAGAAAGAATAATGATAAAATATATTAATGTATCAAGTGTACGAAGAGATGGATTTATATAAATAAATAATGATAACAAAAAGTAGAATAAAATTTAATATTTAATAAATAAATAAAAGTCATCTGTAATTCAAATCATAAGAAATCATAAAATATTAAATTATTTTAACAATAAATTTTACCTATTTTCAATTTTTTCAAAACTTAAATACATAATTTTATTATTTCATGGTATGATTTTTCTTTTGAATTTTTCTGTAAATGGCGGGAGGAGTGAGTGAGTTTATTTTAATGAGTCAGTGAAACCGAATTTTCAATAACCTCTCTGACTACGACTAGATGCGAAACAATCACGAATAAACAGAATTAAAATTTCATTACGAATATTATTTTATAGAAACTTACTTGCATTTGCTAAAAGCACTTCCAAGTCATTGACATCAAAAAGCAATTGGAAGTTTTCAGGAGTGATATTTGGTCTTTGCAACAATGTCCTCGCTTATCAGCTGACTTGGCTTCCGGTCATCATCCGCTAATCCCCCCCTCTTGTTTTCCTCGGGTTCGTGCCAACTCTAATCTCGCACATTGTCAAAGTAGTTATTTTCAGTATTTGGGTTTGACGTCTGCTTCGAAATAATGTTAAAAAAGAAAATCAACCATTTTCAGATCCGTTATTATTTACTATTCTCCTTAAGTCAGAAATAACAAAGAATAAATAATCTGTAAAGAATAATTTAAAAATATAATTCATAAATAAAAATTAAAATTATCAACTAAAAATTAAGATGAGTTTATTATTATATATTTACACACATAAATATATAATAATAAAAAAATAATCAAAAAAGTAATTATGAATATTACCCGATGTATGAGGATTACAGAAATTGTCACATATCTTTAATTATGATGATTATGATGAAAAAAAAATAGAATACTATCTTTAATATCTCTTGATGCACTAGGAAAGGAAAGATGTACTTTTAATTAGCTCAATATAGAAATATTGATCAAATGGACTGATAACGTATTGATATTAAAAGCTCTGATCCGAAAGATTCGGTCTAATATTAATGAATGTTTCTCATGAATAAAATATTTGTTGATGATAGTTATTCAATTATTCTATCGTACTGTATACCATTGGATAGATAGTGATACCTCTAATTTTTATACATTGGGGAAATAATTATTAATTGGTATAGAACATCGGGCATTTTAAAATGTCACAATGAACACTTGTCAATTTGTTTAATTATAAAAAAAACTTGAGTGTAAAGTGTTATTTTAATAATATATTTCCTTGAAAGCCTAAGGTGAGCTAATTAGTGTTGCCCAAATGCGAGACCGAGACGAGTCTTGGTCTTGCAAACTCAGTCTTGGTCATGGTCTTGGGCTTGCGCAAGAGTCTTGCAGTTACTTCTTAGCTTATTACTATAGAGATATTACTGTAATTTTTGATATAGGGAAAACCTAACTAAGCCCTAATAAAAAATTAGAGAAGTTAAATTCAAAAGTATATTGGCACCGTGTTAAAGTAACGAATGTGAAGATGTTTAACATGGCACATTCGTTACTTTAATATGGTGCCGACAGATATATGCATTTTTAATGATAATTTGTTTATATTTTAAAATTTATAAACGAAAAACAAATTGTCTTTATAAACAGATGTAATCGGACTGAAGCTTAAATGTTTAAAGTATTACGGCTACACAACAAAGAGAAAATTGAAGCTTAACGGAGAAGTGTAATCTCGAGAGAAAGATGAATTGTCATTTCCTCTGTTAATTTTTTTTTCGCAGGTGTAATTAGGAAAGCCTAATAATAACAATTATTCCAAATTAAATTTTTCTAATTACAGCCAAAATCCATTAATATTTAATAGCCAATAAAAGTTCCGTTGAGTGTTAAGTAGAGGAGGCACGAGACGGAGCGTTGAACTTTCACTCTTTACATAAAGTAACTAAGATTTTCAGGTATTAGTAACTATTTTGCCTTAATTTTTATTTAAAAAATCAATTTTTTTTTACCAGTTCTGGTCTTGGTCTTGCAGCAGTTAGGCGGCGTCGGTCTTGATCTTGCAAAGTGCAAGACCAAGACCGATTTTTGGCAACACTGGAGCTAATGTACTTATGTAAGGGAATATCCATTATTACATACAGACATTGGAATTATCACAATGTATTTCATTGTAAGTCCGATTAAACTTCGATACTGATAATTGTTGTTAAGTCCTGATAATGTAAATATTACTTAATAAAGTAACAGCTAATATTATGCGTTTTAAGATTTTAAACACTTTAGTTAAAATTTGTTCGAATATTTCGGCTATAGCCAATTAAATATAATCGTTATCGTTAAAAATTATATTAAATTTATCTAACGAATTATTCTTTTTCACGTCCTCGTACGCATAATGTGATAATGTATATTATATCATTAATATAGCTATGAAATATAAAATAATCGATTACTTAAATTTTAATTTTTACTTAAATATATAATTAAGGAATACTTAAATATATAATAATAAGGAATACTTCAATATATAACGCTTTAAGAGAATTTTTCAACAATAACACTACAGCTATAGTTCTGATGTTGGATCTTCACAAATGGATTTAATTGAGAGAAAATTTAGACTTTATTCGAAATATGTACGGTTGATAGGCAGTTTGTATTATTTTTATATACAATTGAAAAATTCTGAGATATAAATTTGTACCAGTAATAGATATATAAAATTTTTAAAGATCCAGTAATAGACACTATTTTTTAACAGTAATATACAAGCTCTTTTTTATAGAAAAACATTATGTCAGTAAACCAAATCAATAACGATTAGGAAATATATATTTTTTTAATAACAGGCAAATTATTTAATAGATTATAAATTATAACACGTTTGGCTTTTTTATTCTTTTTATTTTTTTGTGTAATGCCAAGGGTCTCTCTTTCTTCGTAACTTCCAAATCTCTTTTCATGGTGTTCTAGCCACTGTTTAGAAGTAACTACAACTAATTTTTTTTCTATTAGTTTTTCGAGGTTCCGTCCATAACAAGGCTCTTTATAATAGACATGGTATTAAGTTTGTACCTGTAATTATAATAAACTATTATGCATTGTTTTATAATTGCATGCCTCTTACCATTAAATGTTAACATGAAGTGAATTAAATAAATTAACGGCAGCATTACAGAAGAATTTATAATTGTTATCCACCATTCTGACGCCCTGAAATGTCAAAAAGTATTACTATTATTAGTTCCTGCGGTTAGAACTGAATAAAAAATATTCTCTGACCAATCAATGTTAAAAACTAAATAAAACTATTGAAACGATTCATTATTAGACATGGGTAGTCCATTACTACTACTCAATATTAGTAGTTCTATTGCTTAAATGCTGTTTCAGTAATGGACACCCAAGTTTAGGGACTAGTAGGTTATTTTATATAATTTAAAACAATAAAAATAAATTCGGCATTGTTTTTCTATAAAGAAATAGAAATAAAAACTGTCTAATAACTTAAACTTATTCCAAATCCATGCATACAATTTCAAACTTACCTCCTAAATAAAAGTGATAAGACACTCTATGTGACAAACAATAAGTCTTATTTTATTAAAAAATGAACTGCCAATTGAATATTTTAGTTAACCCACTTTTGTACTATGGAATTTCATCTTAAATATCCCATTTTAATTCATTATTTTTAAATGTTATTATTATAATTTATTTAAAATATGTCAATTATAAATTTAACTAATTGTTTCTAGAGACAATGATTCGTTTAGAGATTTTATTGCCAGTTCAAATTTTGCATGGGAAATAAATGTGCAATTGAATAAAAATTCGAGCACCGGTTATCACACATAAAATTACTATCCGCTGTTATAATACAAATTGGTAATAAGGAATACATTTTAAATCCCTAGATTGCAGCTTAATTATCCTATATTTCTTTGATATTGCTTACCTCTCCTTAATTAATTTTTTTTTTTGGTCATGAGTTTCATCCGACCCCTATAATGGACCCTCAGAGGGGCAGTGGGATTACATTTTAATTTTTAATTAATTGTAATATTTATTTGTGTGAAAATTAAACATTATAGTTTGGTTTCTTTTATTTTTATATTATTTATTCTTAGCAATAGGGGCTCACTAACCTCTTATTTATATTACGCAAGATAAAATTTAACAATAAACTTCAAATTATAAAATATTTAAAACATTAAAATTTACAAAAAAGTGGAAGTAAAAATTGAATTTAGTTATATAGTTGAGTTTTTTAGAAATAAAAAACAATTTTTTTTGTCAATTTGGTGGTGTTTTTCAAACTTAACAACCCCTCAAACTATTCTGCAACCACACTTCATTCCGTCGTGCTTGATAGGGATAAAACTCTGTCAAGATGTGTCTCATTGTTAAATTTACCCCAAAGGAGACACACTGAGGGGGTGTCCCCTTTGTCATTAGGGGCTCATGAGTTAGTCGTGAGTGGCCGATACGTAACCTTGTCAGGATGATTTCTTCTCTTCTGTTCAACTGGAGGTCCGCTCGACTTGGAACTACAGAGGACTCGATCACTATCAACTTATTGTCTCTTAAAACATGCGAGAAACCCTGTCATTTCTCAAGAGCCTTTCTCTTTACCAAAGCTTCTGCATCCGTTGTAAAAGCATCTCCTACTGAAATTCCTTCTTGGATTGCTTTTTACCAGGGTGTCAGCTAGCTCATTACCTGTGATAACTGAGTGACCCGTTAACCACAAAAATTGTATCTTTTCATCCAATACTCTCCAATGCTTTTATATGTCTAGCTTTGTCTATGACTAGTGAGTTAGTTAAAAAAGTATTTTTCCCAGCTTTAAAGGCAGATTCTGAATCTCTAAAAGTATACATTCGCTTTTTACTACAGTTGAGGTTATAAACGGTACGGTTTTGTGCAAACAGCTCTGCATGGTAGTAAGTGCAAAATGGAGGTAGTGAGTACAATTTTACATTTTCAGAAACAGTGGCCGCAACGACGCCATCTTGAAATTGGACCCATCTGTATAAGCATATCCTCAGTCGGAATGTTTCATGTTTATTTGTATAAAGGACCAACGAGTTTTTTTTATTTAAAAAGGTTTTTTTTTATTAAATGGTGCATCTAATATGTAACATGAATGCAATCGACGATGTTTGACCATTTCGATTTGTAAAATCAGATGAGCCTTTATGTTTTTACACCTAATTTAATTTATATGTAAAACACGGGAGAATCGACCTATTTTCCGGGTCTCAATAACAATGAATTTTGATAAATGATGAATGAAACGAAAGAGAATTTCTTGTATAAGTGACGAATGTTAATTTTACAGTCTTAAACCTTATTTAATTTAAATACATTAAACCTTACCTATACAGTCATTAAAAAAAAAAAATTCAAAACAAGATGATATTAAAAGTCTACAAATCAAAACGGAATAAATTGCGTTTAATAATTTCGATACAGATACCACCACAAAGTTTTGTTTTAAAGGAAATACGCTGACAGGCGAAAAATTCCACCCACTTGATTTTTCCATGTTTTCATTTAAAAATATTTCTGTAAAGTTGTATTTGTATATGATAAATGGTATTTGTAGATAATACTTAGTATTTATGGAATTTTATAATCTTTTTTACCTTTAATAATCCAAATGTGATGGTGTAAGAAAGATTAGAGAAAAACAAATTGAAAAACGAACCATTATTATTCTAAAATAAATTAATTACATCATCGTTTAGTAGCGAGTGTTTCCTCCTCTTGCCTTCACTACTTCTTAAAGACGTCTCGGCATACTTTCCACCAGTCGGGAAATGTCGCTGGAGGATAGCCCATTCCTCCCGAAGAGCCCTTTCAAGATCCTGCAGTGTATAAGGAAGTGTTGCACGCGCTCTTATTCGTCTTCCGAGGTTATCCCATAAAAGCTCAATGGGGTTCAAATCTGGAGAACGTGCTGGCTAGGGTAAAACCTTAATATTTTTCTGTCTGCACTATGCGGGCGACATGTGGGCGTGCATTATCGTGCATTAGAATACAACTATCGCCGATTTCGTTGAGGATAGGCAACACATGAGGTTCCAAAATCTGATCTACATAGCGAATGGCCGTCAAAGACCCTCCACGAACAACAACCGATTCTGTGCGGCCCTCCATTGAAATCCCAGCCCACACCATTGAGGAACCAAGTTGGAAAGGTTGGCTCTGGGAAAAATTACAGGCTGCATATCTTTCGTTTCTTCTTCTCCACACCCTTTCACGCCCGTCTGGAGATCGAAGAGCGAATCTTTACTCATTTGTAAAAAGTACAGCACTACATTTGGCCATAGTCCAACTTCTCGAGCAAATGCCAGCCGTGATACTCAGTGAGTTCTTGTCAACTCTGGTCCTCTTACTGGACGAAAAGCCATTAATCCATACTCATTTAATCTTCTCCGAGCGGTACGTTCAGAAATTTGCACACCTCGAACATCTTCGTGCTGATGAATCGCTTGAACAACGGTAAGGTGCCGGTTTCGTAAAATTCTCAAAGTCAAAAACCGGTCATCCCGTGGTTCTGTTACCCTAGGCCGTCCAGAACCAAGCCAGCTATTGTAAGAACCAGTTTCCCGAAAACGCCTGACGGCCTCTCGTAAAGTTTCATATGGAACTCCGATGGCATTACCTGCATATCTAATGGAACGTCCATCATTAATAAGTGCCACTATACGCGCAACATCCTCAGCACGAAGAGGCATTTTTAAACTTAATATTGAAAAAATTAAAAGCCGGAGACTAAGAAATGTGCTGCAAGAAACGGCACTGAACTAATGATACTGAATAAACATTTTGATTCCATAGAAAGTAAATATTGGAATCTAGAATCATTTCATTGAATTAAGGATTAAGGGTTATTGTCCTCTATATTAACATTCCTAATTGAAAACAAACAAAAGGATTACCTATTTATTTATTAAAAATAATAGACCAATCCAAAGCAGAAATATTTTTAGATGAAAACATGAAAAAATCAAGTGGGTGGAATGTTTTGCCTGTCAGTGTATATCGGGATTCGAAACGCTAAAATGTGTCATTGTTTAGATTAGTTGTAATTCTGGCCAAAAGCCTGGTGCTATGGTTGGCCGTGGATACTTATCTAATGTTTAGGTTCTAAAAATTAAAATATTGATATTTATGATAGCCTTCGACAGTTAGACACCATTTACACTAATATAGTCCGGAAGCATCTGCAACTTCTCCCAACCACTATATATAGGTCTTTGTATTAAGCAGTAGGGCAGTAGCTCATGTCTCAATAGTGTTGTGACTCTCATTAGGTAACGTTGTGTTTGTTTTTATACCAATAAATTTGATTTTAAGTTGTTCGTGTATCCGAGTTTATAATTGGTGAATTAAAATTTTTGAAAGGTTAATAGAAGAGATTAGCACTATGATCCTTTGAACCTTTCGCATAATATGAAAATAAACTTTCTCATATATCTTATGAATAAAAACAATATTCAGATGCCTCTATTATCCCATAAATAAACTTTTATACTCATTGTAACTTTGATAATTACAGACCAAAGGTCTTCTACACCAAAGATCTTAAAGGAGTATAACAATGGATTAGTATACGACATATAGGCTTTCTAGACTTTTTGGAAGCAAGGGGTGCAATCTTCCCCCAATAAAATTTTTGAGGAGCCGAGAATATCATTGTTCCTCTTCCCTCTCCCCGAATAGTTTTAATTAAATAATGAAGCTAAATGAATGAATAAAATGTACATACTAAAATTGAGAAGTCGACTAGCTATGTTAGGACCTAGTAGTAGATATGTGACTATTTCATTGATTCCTAAATGCTGCTTTTATTTAAATTGTCACTTATATTCAAAGATTACAATAATAATAATAATAATTTCCTCCTTGCAGCAACCGTAAAAGAAGAGTGACCGCGAACTAGCCATTGCTCGCTGGTATTCAGGTTTCGCCACTAACCCACTTTTCATTACAGGTGACAATCTTCCGGTTAAATCTCATTTCAGAAGGATTTTTCAATAAATTTTCACCTCTTAGCTGATTACTGAGAAGTAAATTCATGAGAGACCAGTCTACTGATCTTCTTCCTCTTCCCTAAGGAGAGTAGATGGCGACTAACAGTATCTTTCGACACACCACACTCCCTGGCAAATTCGCGAGTACTTAAGGGGCTGGGTGGCCGAATGGGCTAACGCGTGTTTACATAACTCTAGTTTCCTGGCAGCCAGATGACCGAAGTTATAAGATTAAAAAAAATGCAAGTTCGCGTCCCGTTGCAGAAGGGGATTGTTTAAATCCATTACCCTCCTGCAAGGAGGAAAATCCCGTATAGCCTGAAAAGGAGGTAGGGAAGAAGGGCAAAAAAAAAAAGTTCGCGAGTACTTGTGGACGAATTTTACTCAACAGCGTCCTGCAGAATCTCATTAATATTAATTAATTGTCGCCTGGAGCTCTTCTTACTTGCAAACTTATTATTTTCACTGATAATTTTTTTAAAACAACGCTGTATTCTCTGTAGGAAATTCCTGATAAAAGGAATTGCCTATGACAAGATCATTGTCTATGCAAAATTCCATTAGCCACCTTCCATTGTTATTCATCGTTCTATAACCTCCATGTAGGCCCATGCATCCAAGAGCTTTTCTGTGGTCACATCCAGTCCTTGCATTAAGATCTCCCATTATAATAACATTTCTACTTCGACTTTTTCAATTATGCGTGCTAGGTCACTGTAGAATTATGCTACTTCCATCAAACTAGAATCCTTAGTTGGCGCATAAACTTGGACTAGTGTTACTTTTCCTATTGAGAGAACTACATTGGCAGATATTATTCTGATAAACTCCTTTTATCAATCCTGAACTTTCTGAAGAATGTCATCCTTAAAGATTAATCCAACTCCCTCCTTTGCTCGATTACTCGGTAGTACTCCTGAATATAGTAGGGTATATCCCTTGTCCAGCTGCATTTCTCCTGACCCTTTCCTTCTAATTTCACTTACTATAAGGATATCGATTTTGTAGATCTCCATCTCCCCCACAATCTCAATCTCCTTGCCATTGAGGGACCGTATATTCCATGTACCAAATCTGATTTCCTTTAACATGCCAGGTCGTTTCCTTAAAGATTGTCCATATCCAAGGCAGGTCACAGAATTGCTTTGAATCACTATTACTCCTTTACGAGTGATTGGCCCAGCAAAAGAGGCCCCGTTACCTCGGGACGACTGGTTGCCAGCTATACTCTGGCATTGAATCTTCTCAGAAGAGGTGATTCTGAGGTGTGTACTGTTAGTGTCCTTATTGTCAGTGTATATGTATAGTGTACTGATCTGCTGTGTGAAAGTGTGCTATGAACTGAACTCAGGAGACCGGGGATAAAATGAAAATATTTGATATAAATTGATCTCAAGGCCGGTCTTTTCTGAGCTCCAAGAATTGATTATTAGTTGAACTTAGAGGGTCACTATAATAAATGAACTCTTTTCTATTTGTTTAGTACATATAAATAATCATCTAAATCATTAATTTATTTTCACTTATAAAACGTTTTAAAAAATAAAAGAGAGAATAAAACAAAATACTTGTTCTTATTTGTAACCTATATCTTTTGTAATTTCAATTCTTTGGTATTAAAATACTTATAAATTATATAACTAACATAAGTATTTGTCATTGGGTCCATTTATACATGCTTAATGCGTATTTTACTACTCATTTTTTTTTTCATTTTTAAACATATTTTTAAAATATAATAAATTAAGTAACATAGCAGCTCATGATTTTAGTATTAAAACCAGAAAATTAACAGGAATAATATACATATTTGACTGAGTTGTCTCATTCAATACTTTTTCATTTAAACAAATAATTGCAAGTTACATGCTAAAAATTTTTACTGGTTTCTAAAAACTGTTCGTCATGATAGTTTTTCTTTTTTATTGCTAATATTTTTCGACTTCCTAAACATAGCATTAATACATTTCAACAACATATACATTAAAACTATCGTTAAAATGAAGAAAGTTCCGACGTCGAATATCCTCTTCTCCCAGAAGGACATGAAGGCAGATTTTGGAGTCAGTGAATTAGGGTATTTGATCGCGTGTTCGACCCAATAGATTGCTTCTTCTTGTGCCGTGTGCCTTCTGTTGCGCAGGATTTGAGATTTGTACTTTACGACATTTCTATAACTGTATAAATAAAATAATATGTTAAATGAAATGAATATAATTATCATAAAAAATAATCAAGTAAAACATTTATTAAATGGTACACATCAATCTAAAAACTCATATTATACTATATTAACGTGAACTAGTTTTATTGTAACTTTTTACCAATACTATATGATTTTAAAGGTATATAAGATAATATCAATTATTAGTATATTAGATAGCATGGATTTAAAATCTATTGCAAATTAAGATATCTCTTAAAAATATATTAAAATAAATTTATGAGTCATGTCAACATTACGATAGTAAAAAAAAATATGATGAGGTGAGAGGTTTACACAACGCTCTCTTACTACTCTAACTTAACATTCTCACACATCACAAACTGCTTTGTATATATATATATATATATATATATATATATATATATATATATATATATATATATATATATATATATATATATATATATATATATATATATATATATATATATATATATATATTTTTTTTTTTTTTTTTTTTTTTTTTTTCGACACTGGGATCCTCAAATGTTTATTTTCGTTAAAAACTCAGGTTCGAAATTTCTATTTCTTTTATTTGTATTTCTTTCATAAATAGGCAAGCGAAAGTAAAAAAAAAAGAAAAAGAAAAATTTAGAAAATTGTGATAAAAAAGAAATTTAAAACTAGGAAAAATGTCTTTTAAATTTATTTTTCGCTTTTTAAATCTCTATTATAAGGATGCTATTGTTCATATATCTTACCCCGGACTGTCTTAATGGACATAAGGAAGAATTCCAAGCAGCTTGTTGTATAGCTTGCGTTAGCGCCCAGAAGATTGCTGAGGCGCTGGCCGAGAGACTTTTCTTTTTTTGTGTTATTATCATTTTTTGTATGTTATCTTATTTTCATTTTTCTACTGTTTTTTTTTTATCTTTTTGTTTTGCTATTACTATTTTTTTTTTTTTTTTTTATGCTATCATTTATTCTCCTTGATATCATATTTGTTGGACACCGGGATACTGAGAAAGATGGCAAACTTGTTGTGAGCCAGGAATGTATGTAAGTAATAAATAAAATTATAAGGATTTTGCAACTTCAACGAAATTAACAAACATAATTTAATATATGTAAAAACATATCTTATTTGCTTGTGACCTGAATATTATTTGTTATTTTGGCCTTAATTACTTACTTTTCTATTTACATTGTGAATTTTTTTTTTTTTTTTTTTTTTTTTATATCTATTTATTGAATAATAATACAATCAGCCACTGCTGGAGGGCTATAAGCATTAGGGCTAACAGTTCTCATTCATACAATATATACAAATAATAAAGAAATAAATATAAGAAGTAAATAAATAATACTGATGAAGAAGGTAAATAAATAAAAAAAAAAATAATAATAATAAAAAAAAAAATAAAAAATAAAAAAAAATAAAAACTTCTAAACACAATCATAACTATATACAATATATACATTTGCTCAAGAATCTCCGAGCCAGGCTTTTACCTCCACACGCGGAAGGCAAAGCAAGACTCCGGAAGATCCCAGTGCCACTTTTCCAGTCGCATCACTAGTATTAGAAGCCAGTGGAGACTGAAAGAGGGCAATACAGCCGCAGACGCTCAGGACATGAGTGGAGAAGCTGGCCATTGCCAGGACTCCAAAGGCATATTTACAAAAGATCTCGAGGCCACTGCCGTTTCAACCTTCGAGGGGGATGGTATGGATGCTCGGAGCTGGATAGGGATTGCGCTAGAGGATTGGGATGATGAATGAGGTTCTGGTGAAAGTTGGAGAATCTGGATGGGATGATGTCATGGACATATGGGATGTTAAGGTCATGGTGTAGGGTCTTGTTCGTGACATAATATGGAGCATTGACTATTGTTCGAAGGACTTTGGACTGGAAGGATTGACATTGTGAATAGAATATTTTTTTTTGTAAGTACGTATTGATATCAGAATATTTAAATAAAACAAAAATATAAGCTCAAAATTATTTAATTTAAAATTAATAACCGAAATTCTTTTTGAAATAAACCGTTCTAAGTTTTCATTTATGATTATCGTTTTTATCTTATTACTGTTCTTACAAAGATATAATTTATTTAATATTTTATATTGTACATATATAATTCGAATTCCGTCTCATCTTGGAAGATAAATAAAGTCTAGAGGAACCTGGAACGGCCTGTTTTTTAGTAAATAATTTATTTATGTCTGCATTAAACCTAAACTTTACCGAACGAAAAATTTCGTTGACTACATTCAGCATTATATGTTTCAAAATCTTACTCTTAAACTCAAAATTATCACTTCAAATCCCAAAAGTTTTGAATTAGTTTATTTTTTGACGATTCGGATTCTCCTTTAAAAATGTTCGGAATAAGAAGAGTTAGGGATGAGCTTGGCAGCTAATTTAAAATCGTTCAAATTTAATTGAATCATTCTGAATTTTCACAGCCGAACGAAATTCCATACCAGCAGTCTAAAAATCTACGAAATAACTAACGTACAAGAAAATCGAAACATATAAATCATACCACAATACTCATTCTTTTCCATAAGAAAAATAAATGATGGAAAGAAATAGTTCGTCAAGTGGGATTTGTTACTCTTTTTGCTAGCTCTATATGGCTTCTTCAATGCTGCTGCCGCGTACTAACAAGAGTGCGAGTGTCAAGATCCACTTATCAGGAGTAATATTAACTGACGCAGATGGTAATCGAATCTAAAGCGTTCCAGACTAACACACAAGACCATTAACGTCCTCTTAAGTTAATTTTAGTAGTGAAAAGAAATGTACAATTATTAAAAATGATTACTTACATTTGAAGAGTGTAATTATAAATAATTAATTGTAATATTAATTATAAAAATTTACTTAGTTTTCTAATCATGAAATCATTTTCGCTGACTGTTTCAAATCAGAAAAAGGAGTGAGAATGTTGTATGGTGACAAAATGAATGCGAATAAATAGAAATTTAATTGCGATAATTTTATTTTCACAAATGAACCGTGCGCGTAGTTGTGACAGACTCACTATTATTCATTAACGGTATACATAGTATTTGGACAAAAAAACAATTACAATAAAATATTTAAGCCATATGCTGAGGAAATAACATTGCTGTCTCTTCGCACATAAGTATAAGTGGCAATGAAAGAGCTATTGAAGGAGAAAAGGAAGCAGTGAGAAGCTCTGATTCGCCTCATTTACTGTCTACATTTGGCAACGAATGGGCGCAATTAATTACAAGCAAAGTGAATAAGCTTGCCATTGCTTGTGATTGCCATTCAATCACTCCCCACCTCTACTAAGAGAACGATATTGCTTAGACACTTCCAAAAAATTTCACATCCAAGGAATGCTCCATAATTAGCAGAACGATAATTGGACATAGCAAACTAACCCACCTAGGATTGCACAGACCGACTTGCCAAAATTGTGACAATGAGCATCTCACAGTTCAACAACTTTTCCTATATAAAAAAAAAAAAAAATGAAAAAGAACAAACTAAATTCAAAATTTACAGCATCGTTTAAAGAAAGAAGTAGTATTGAAAAAAAAATCCATAAAAACTTAAAATCAACAAAATTGATCCACCATATTTAAGAACTGTCGTCGCTAATGGCCTCAGAAGTCGAAGTCACGTAAATAAAAACAAAACAACTACTAATTGACACTATAAATAATACGGTATTATTATTTGCTATTAAGATAAACCACTTTGAAGAAATAAGAAGTTTTATAAATCTGAATATTTTTCTCAAGAACTGAATTGCATCTTTTTAATTCCTTAAAATTTATAGTTTTCGAGATAACGCATTGCCACAATCTTATTCCAGCGTGTGTGAATCTTGTTATACGGTAACCATAGATACTTGTATATATATTTTTTATTGTAGCTTATATAAGAAATATATTATTTCTCAAATCTTCTCCTTACTTCAGGAACACCAGAAACAAAAATATATATAAAATGAAATATCATTTACTCATAGCTCAAGAAATATTACAATTTATGGTAGTTTGTACCCATTATGAATTAAATGATTTCTTAATTCTCTCCCTCATCCATATAACAAAAACCGACTATATTTAGCAAAGATAGGTACTGATAATTGCTATTTGTACCCACGGTTCATTCTTTTCTGAATTAAATATTTTTTTGGCTTTAAGTTTTTTAACAAAACCCTATTTTTAAATTGTATTCACATATTTCCATATAATATTACTATTTGTTCACTGACCAGTTTACTAAGGGAATTATTCGGAAAGGGCAACTAGTATATCCTTATATTGTCAAAAAAAAAATAATACCTGTAATCTGTAGAGAAAACAAAAATACATACCTAGGGTTCTTAGTGATCTCGTTGAGGGCCCATGACACAGATTCCTCGGTGATGTTTTCGTACTTGATGATCAACCCGTAACCCATACTTTGGGCATGAAACACATTTTTAAACTGATCGCAGAAAAAAGGAACACCGACGATAGGTACCCCATAGTAAACGGTCTCCGTCAAGCTCAGAAAGCCGCCATGTGTAATGAACAGTATACAATTCTTGTGTGCTGTAAAAAAAAACAAATCTTCAAATTAGAAATTTTTTTCCAATCTTTCAGTAATTATTGATATAATAAATGTATAAACATGTTAACTTTGAGATTCGATTTAGCATATGTATATATATATATATATATATATATATATATATATATATATATATATATATATATATATATATATATATATAAGATAAGGACAGGAGTCGGGCAGTATCAGCCTTAATACCTTCCTGGTATGTAAACAAAGCTCTAAAGTGTATATAAGAAGGATTACTTCACAAATAAAGCAGTATTGTTTCTGAAGCCGTGTGAGTCATTTAACAGCCCCTTTTCTCCTTTTTTTTTATCATTTGAGTTCAAAGTCGCATAAGTGGTGCACTGCCCGGGAACATTGTTATTGCCCAGTAAGTAGGAAATTATTTTTTCTTTTTTCTCTCTTACTTGCTCAAACAGGAAAATAGAAGCAGAATGGCGACAGACGGAATCCCTAACCCGGGAATACCAATTGCACCTGAAGTTCATCAGGCTCCGGAAATTCCGCAGATTCCGGAAATCCCTCCGCTACCAAGGGACACATTGGCGGAAGCACACGCCAATGCCTTGGAGTGGATGAAAGTAAGAGCAGCGACCACTCAGGATCTAAGGAGAGCTATAGCGGACTTGGAACGCTTCGGTGGAGAGATAGGCGAGCTGAACCATTTTCTGAAAGGTGGGGACCGTCTCATTTCTAGAATCGAGGCAAAGGTGGCGGAAGATTTGGTGAACCTGGGAGATGCTGAAGCATTGAAAGCAGCCTTGGTATGTAGAGTACGGAGGAGTGTTCTTAACCAGATACAGGCAGACGAAGACACAGCATGGCCGGTGATCAAACAGAGGTTGAAGAAGGCTTTTGGGGGAGGCCGATGGACTCCAGAGGAGGACATCTTCCAGATGTTCAGAGAACGACGGTCGCAACGACAAACAAACGGGCAGTATGCGGGAGTACTATTGGCGAAGTTTAATCACATCACGGAGAAGATGCGCGAAATGATGAGTGCAGGAGAGGTAGAGGCCAGGATGGAGTTTTTGTCAACTATCCTCAAGGTTCAACTGGCCAAGGAGACGGGAAAGAGGGACGGCTTACCAAGAGAGCGGTCGTTCCTGGAGTGTGCCCAGGAGATGGTCGACTTTAGCGCAAGGGAGGAAGAAAGTAGAATGGAGATAGAGGAAGCTGGATGGAACCGAGTAAGCGAGAGACGCTTCAGGTCCGCACCGATAGGGTGGAAGAAAAGGGAGTCTGGATACGGAAACAGAGGAAGGATCACAACAGGAGAAAGAAAACCAGGACCACCCAGGCCAAGAAATGGACCCCGTAAGGAAGAAAGGAAGTGTCATGGCTGCGGCAGGACGGGACATCTAGTGGCACAATGCCCCCGTACCAAATGTTTCGAATGCGGAACAGAAGGACACATTGCGCGGCAATGCCCGTACATCTTTAGAAGGAGGGAGACGGCACAAGATGAGCCGATGGAGGTCAATATGCATAAGGTGAGGAGGAACCCTAATATGACTCGACGAAGCGGGCCTTCGGAAGAGGTAACGGAGATATCAGAAGCCTCGGAGACGGAAGAAGAGGAACCAGGGAGCAGCGGAGAGGAAGGAGGAAGGAGCACGCAGTGGAGCGGACAAAGACGAGCGGCATCGAGGAGGAGCAAGCAGGCAAAGATCTGAGGAGTGTGTCTTCAGAGCGGCGACCGCACAGCGACCTGCAATAACATAAGAGGTAAGTCCTGCTGGTTGCCAATCATCACGATAAAAGGGGGAGTGAGGTGCTTGGTAGACACGGGAAGTACTTGCACTATTATGACCCGTGGGGCACTAGAGAGGCTGTGTGGTAGGGAGAGCGCACCCCGGATTCAGGGATGCGAGTGTAAATTAATTACCCTAGGAGGGGCGTGTAAGGTGGAAGGAGAAGCGGTCGTTGAGTTAAATCATTGGGCAGGTAGAAAGGGGAGTTTGAAAGTGCACATTGTTGGAAACATAACTCGGGAATACCAGGCGATAATAGGGTGCGATCTATTCGGACAAGTAGGGATTAGAGTCGAGTACAGGAATGGGACTTGGAAGATCAAGTTAGGAGGACAGAGGTACAGGAGTACGGAGAGCATAAGGGGTACGAAAGCGCGGATAGGAGCGGTAAATCGAGTCGAGGATTGGAGGAAGGCCATAAGAGTAGAATACGAGGATATCTTCTTCAAGGAGGGAGAGATACTAGGCGTAACGGGAAGGACAGTCCACGAAATACCACTAAAGCAGGAGCGGGTGTCATACGTGAAGGAGAGGCGATATCCACAAGCACTTAGACAGCATATTCGGGAAGAATTAGAGAATTTAAAAAAGCAGGGTATAATAGTCAACAGCACCTCTCCATACAACAGTCCGTTGTGGGCGGTGAGGAAAAAGGGAGTGCCGGGAGAGACAGAAGAGAAGTACCGAGTGGTAATAGATTATCGGAAGCTAAATGAGAACACGATAGACGAAAAATACCCGATCCCGAGATTCGAGGACATATTGGACAGGCTGAGTGGGGCGGTGATATTTAGTACTCTGGACCTCAAAGCTGGTTATCACCAAATAAAGATGCACCCGAAGGATCAGCATAAAACAGCATTCACATTCGAAAGGGGGCATTACGAGTTCACCCGGATGCCGTTTGGACTAAAGAATGCTCCGATAACCTTTCAGCGCTTAATGGACGAATTCTTGAGAGGGTTGGATGAAACCGTATGCCAGGTCTATATGGACGACTTGTTGGTATTTAGCAAGACGGAAGGGGATCACGTGGAACACCTGCGAAACGTATTCGAGAGGTTGCGCTGTTTTGGTCTAAAATTATCCAGGGAGAAATCCCTATTAGGACAAGAGCGGATTAATTTTTTAGGCCACACAATTTCGAAGGACGGGGTTAGGCCGGACGCGGAGAAGGTAGAGGCTATTAGGCGAATGGCGGTTCCGCGAGATGTTAAAGGAATCAGGAGGCTCCTGGGAACGCTTAATTATTATAGGAGGTTTGTGCCGGAAATGGCAGAGTACCTGGTCCCGATCAATAATCTGCTGAAAAAGGGGGCTAAGATGATCGTGACACCAGTAATGGAACAGAACATTAGGAAGTGTATGGACCGTTTACAAACAGAACCGGTATTAGCGTTTCCGGACTTCAGTAAGCAGTTCACGATCACCACGGATGCCAGCGAGTATGCGCTGGGAGCAGTACTGTCGCAGGATGGAGTAGGTGGAGAGCAGCCCATAGCATACGCGAGTAGGCGCCTTACCGAGGCTGAGACGAGATATAGCGCTTTGGAGAGGGAATTGCTCGCGATAGTGTGGGCTATTGATCATTTTCGGCCTTACGTATTCGGAAGAAAGTTCAGAGTCCACACCGATCACAGGCCCCTTCAATGGGTTGGGAAATTAAAAGAATCCTCTGCGAGAGTCGCGCGATGGAAGGAATTTCTCGGTCAATATAACATTGAAATAGTGTATAAGCCAGGAAGGGAGAATGTGGTGGCCGATTGGCTGTCGAGAGCCATAGTAGTGAATGCAATCGAGGAAGACAGTGGTGGACCATCGCGTGATGTTCGACAGTTCCTGAGTGAATGGACACCGGAAAGGGAAGGGGAGGACGGTACGAGAGATGGACAGCAGGAAGAGGAGTCCCCCGAAGAGGAGAGCTCGGCGGAGGAGAGGCCAGCAGAGATAGAAGAAATTGATGAGATCATCAACGATAAGCGTCACCAGGTCATCTGGAAGACTAGGACGGCGGGTATGATGAAAATCGACTACAGCCGCTACGGTAGAAGTAAGGTTCACACGGTCTGGTCGCAACCAGGGGTGCGTGAGGATCAGATCTGCAGGGCGCTGAAGGATGCATCGAAGCCAGGGAAGACGAATCATCTCTATGTGGGAAACGCCACAATATGGGAAAAGATTAAGAGGATGTGGAGATCCGAAAAAATCGGAATAGATAGAATATTTGTCCGATGCAGATATATGGTGGAGACGATAACGGACGAGGAACGGCAAAAGGAGGTGACTCTTGCATATCACCAGGGGAAGACGAACCATAGGGGAGTGAACGAAACCTTACAGGCACTGCGCAGGAAATACTTTTGGTGGGGAATGAGGAAGACCATACAAGAAACAATTGGAACATGTGAGGTGTGTATGCGCACGAAGTACGACAGACACCCGCCTCGGGGAAGACAGGAAGAGACACCCACGGGAGACGCACCATTGCAAGATCTCCAGATCGACACTTTCACATGGAGAGGGTATAAGTGGGTAACCATGATCGATACTTTTAGCAAACTTGCTATGGCATATCGGATATTGGAGAGGTCGTCCGATGCAGTTTTGGAAGCCATCCAAACATGGATGCAATTTTATGGGGTACCGGAGAGAGTCTCCTCGGATGGAGGAAGAGAATTTGATAATAGCGCAATGAGGGAGGAGGCAAAACGCTTAGAGATAAACTGGCATTTCAATACACCAGGGCACCCCAAGAGCAGAGGTAGCATCGAGCGGCTACATAGTACCTTGAGCGACCATATACGCGTGTATCAGGGAGAAAAAGGATTGGAGCCCGACATTGCGATGAAAAAGGCGATAATAGCGTATAATCATTCAATCCATTCCGTAACTGGGTTCTCACCCTTCGAGGTACTGTCTGGGATGCGGGAACGAAGGCGGGATTGCGCGGAATCGGCGATTGACGACCACGTGGCCGAACAAATAGGTAATAATAGGGTGGAGTTAAAGAAAACGTGGGACACGGTACGAAGGAGAATAGAAAGGGAAAAGACGAAGAGGGTAGATAGAGAGAATCTAAGATTACGCGACCAAATGGGGGATTTGAAAATCGGGACTATTGTGTACCGGAGAAGGGGAACGAATCGAGGGAAGGAATTGACGCGATATGAGGGCCCATTCAGGGTGGTCGCCATCAGGGAACATAATTTGGTGACGATAGAGAGTATGAAGGAGCCTAAAAAGAGACGCACAGTCCATATCGAGCAATTGAAACTCCCGTTTGTAGGGGCAGACAAAGAATAAATGAACCGTGGTGCTCTCTTTCCTGCACACAGAAAAGTTTTTTTTTGGCTTTTGTGTTTCAATGTAAAATGAGTTGTATATAGGAAAAAGTGCTGTGTTTTTTTTTAATTCCATTGTATGTTTTTTTTTAAGAAAACCGTTTTTGCGTTATTGTATATTTTGCGTTGTAGTTTTAAGCGAAAAGAAGTGTATTTGTTTATTCATAGAGTAGTGTCTCTGTTGTAGGACAATGCAAGAGAACTCCTCAGTTGGTTGTATTGCTATTATTATGATATTTTGTATTTTTTTTTTATATATATTATTATTGTATTGAGCGATTTTGTATTTTTTTTTATATATTATTATTGTATTGAGCGTACAGGAAACAGGGTGGTGAGGCTGATACAGTTCACTTCACTCGAGAATTAAAAGTTTTCGAAAGGCTTTTCGTAAACTGGTGGGGGGGAGATAAGGACAGGAGTCGGGCAGTATCAGCCTTAATACCTTCCTGGTATGTAAACAAAGCTCTAAAGTGTATATAAGAAGGATTACTTCACAAATAAAGCAGTATTGTTTCTGAAGCCGTGTGAGTCATTTAACAGCCCCTTTTCTCCTTTTTTTTTATCATTTGAGTTCAAAGTCGCATAAGTTATATATATATATATATATATATATATATATATATATATAATTTATTTATTTATATACTCTATATTTTATTATTTATTTGTTGAGCAATATATAACATTCTGCCTATTTGACTGAATAGTTATAATGAGGTAAGACCACATTTAAACCATTCATAAAAATATCAAATAAACATTAGTAAAATAACGACTAATTAATTGTTCAAAATTAAACATTTTTTTTTAACTTTTAGTTAATAAGGCGAAATTCTACGACGCAGTTGAGAAGGTGAGTTCTATGTGGCTGGGTCTCAACTCTTTTTTTGATAAATTAAATTTGAATTCTTGGAAAAACAGAGTTGTGAAATAATGTTTTTTATGCCAATTAATAAAAACCTAATACCTTATAAGAAAATTTGTTTTTCAAAAAGTAGGCATGCTATAAATTTTAGTGTGTTAGACACAGTCTGACTGGTACAAGTTCCATTTATTCATGGAAAAAATTACCGTCTCATTTCAAAGTTTTTTTTTTCTTTAAATTAAAATTTCCTATTAAAATTCTATTTATAACTACGTTAATGCTATAAAATATAAATAAAAATACTTTCTTGAATTCTGAATCAAAGATTAAAACGTATAATTATATACATGGTGCAGATAATGAAACCTAAAAGTGATAAAGGGAGAGGAGATACACTGGCATTGAAAGTCCTACTTAGCTAACTACCAGAAGACAGGTAAAGGTACGGTTTTAGAGTGAATATGGAGCTCACTCGGGGTAAATTAAATTGTAGCTGTAGTCAGTTTTCGATAACATAGACATCGCAACCAACGCTATTTTCTAGATTGGAGGCTCCGGTGTGTATGACCTTAAAACATGTGTACCTTTCTATTAATCGAAAGAAATAATTTTTAATTTCTAGTGGGTTCTAGAAATATGCCAATATGTCTATAGTATAAGGGGATTTGTGATCAGGAATGGGTATTATTGTGTTCAGATCCGTGTTCATATCACATAATGTTTCATAAACCGTGTGTTTATTATTGGTCCCCTCTATGTCTTTTTCGGATTCCTCTACAAATATTTTTGTAACTAATGGATGCTGTGGACGTGCTTTCAATTTTGACACATACTTTATTGCTTAATAATCTCCTCTCATCATTAAACATGTTTTTTCCAGATTCGGCATATATACATTCGACTGGAAAAGTTCGGAAAGCTCTTGTGCAGATTTTAAGAGTCGAATTATGTATGGAACCTAGTATTTTTAATATAAATAGTTTTGTGGCATGTTTCATATATTTGGATTCCATAGTCAATTTTACGCCGAATTACACTATATTATATTTTGATAATGGTTAGTAATCTATCGCCTACCCAGCTTAATTGATCAATGCACTTAAGAAGTCCAAGTCATTTAATGCATTCGTCTCTATAATGTTTGATACGTTGGACCCATGAGAGCTTCTTATCTAGTATCACTCCCAAGTATTTAAATTTGTCAACCTAATCAATAGTAGTTCCCCCTAATACTGTTTGGGGATATAGGCGACATTTTCGTTTTCTACAAACATGAATAATTTTGTTTTTTTGAAGCTGATAGTTTGAATCCTGGTTATTTTGGCCGATTTACCATTGGATGAAACCTAGAGATTTTCCATAAGTTGAAATAACAATATCATCAGGAAATAGAAAACATATAATGTTGATCTGACTGGCGGACTAGATTCCATTGATTGCTAGAAGAAACAGTGTCGCGTTGAAGGGTAAACCTTTAGGTGTTTCACTTTCATAGGACTAACTCAAGAACATAGTGTTACACAAATTTTTCTGTCAGACAAAATATTTGGATATACGTCCATATATTCTTTCCTATATCCAATCTTTCCAATATTCTTAAAACATGACCTCTTGCTATTGTGTCATAAGCCTTATCTAGATATAAAAATATAGCAATTAAATATAAGTTGTGTCAAAAAGCCTCTTCGGCTTTTAAGCTTAATGGCAATACAGAGTGGGTTGTTGAGCGGTTTTCCTTAAGCAGAACTGCTGTGGAGAGAGGAAATTGTAACTTTCCAGCGCATCAATAAATAAAACCAATACCTCATTTTACTAAATTGTACTTTGAAATTCCTTTATAATGCAACGGTCAACTATTAAATATTCAATATATTATGAACATGTATATACATGTTCCGCGGATTTCTCTCCTCCTCCATCCAGCAAAGGTAGCCAAACTACTTCAACTGTCGGTTTTTCAGAAATGTCCTTAACTCTGCCACCTCCAAGCCCTCCCTTATGCCTTCATTTCTGACGCGGTCTCTCCTGGTCTTTCCAGCAGTTCTCCGCAGAAACTTCATCTCGGCTGCTGTCACACGGCTAACGTGCTTGTAGCTACTTGTATATGCGCCTTTTTGTCTCCTTGCCAGCTTCCCTGTGCCCTACTATACTGTTGCTTATAGGGTAATATGCCTGGTTTTATTTGGATATTCTATTGGCTACTTCTGGGTCAATCTTCGCCTTGTTGCTGATAATTGTACCCAAATAGGTGAATTCTTGCTCAACTTCAAGTACCTCCCCGTTACAGCTGGATGTCCTCTTGTTCATCTCTTGTTATGACAAGGGGACTTAGAGGAAACATTCACACTATATTTATAAAATCAAAAAATAAATAAGGTAATTTCAAAATAATATGCAGCGAAATAAGAAAAAAATAAAATATCATAATGTGGGAAGAAAAATTCCACAAGAAAAATTATATATTTACATTTGTATTCATTGACTTTGAGGTACCATTTCTTATACCAGTGTTCCATCAGGGATAGGTGCCTTTGCAGGTTTATGGACGCTGTGTCAGAATCTGAGTTAGAAGATAGGATAGCAGTGTCATCAGCGAAAGTTGCCACAAGTGTATAGGGATGAATGGGAAAGTCAGCGATAAAGGTGATGTAAAGGAACCCAAGAAGCTGCCTTGAGAAACTCCAATCTCAATTGAGTAACAGTTGGAAAATTCTGTACCACAGCGGATTCGAAATGAGCTTTCGGAAGGGTAGGATTGGAGTATTAGATATAAGGATTGTGGTAGGTGGGATTTGAGCTTGAAGAACAGTCTGTCGTGCCATACCCGTTCAAAATCTTGCGCTACGTCCAGAAATGCACTCCAGCAAAACTGCTTGTTTTCTTGGGCTGAGGATATGTCTGGTTGAGGGAATGAAATCCGAATTGACGGGTAGGGATTTTTTGGGAATCTATTATGAAATATATGATTGGAAATCGGACCAGGTCACGTACCTAAGATGTCCCTCTGTGGAAACCACTTTCCGATCCTTACATTGCTGGGGATTTTCAGATCCGGCTTGTCTGTTTCCCACTTCATAAGGATTCGCTGTGGCATGTTTTCGAAAGCTTTCATGAGCGCTTTGCCTTTTTCACCCACTATCACATCCGATGCTTTTAGATTAGATCCGAAGGAAAAGTATATAACTCCGTGCTCTGCCTCGTCCATGAACCTCTGAATATCCTGGATAAAAAAAACATATTTCTTAATGATACAACACATGATACTTTTATCTTCAATTAGAATTGTTTTTTAAAAATGAATACGCAGTAAGAGTTGTTTTTTAATTTTAATCTTTGTTTCCATTGATATGTGTTAATCGATATGAATGGTTCATTAAATGTAAAATATATTTAATTTAATAATATTTTTATTAGGTTAACTAAAAATTATCTTCGTTTGATTGCTATGTATGTATAAATCTACTAAAAGCAGTATGAAAATGCAAAACTATTTAAATCCAGACATCAACATAATTGATTGAAATTAAATAATGTAATAAATAACACTTCAGGCAAATAATAACGAAATAACTTATAGATATTTTATTTTCAGGTAATGGTTTGTTATCTTATTTTAGTTTCTGTTCGTTGTTCGGTGATTGACAAAGAAATAAAATTATTCTACAATAACTAGTACTATTTAAGTTTAACATTCAACAGATTGTTTTTTTTTTTTTACTTCCACTTATCTATATATGAAATATATAGTAAGGCCAAGTATTGGATCACGAACATTTTCGAATCTAAGTTTTCAACGGAAATACATGTTTTGAGGTCTTCTGAGTCCAAATAACCAAGTCCCGCAAACTGGTGGGTGTGTGTGGTCAGTCTAGCTCAAAAACTGATATTACGTATTTAATATGATTCAGATATTTTGGCAACGTTTCCCTTAAAATCGGCTAACCAGAAGTGCCACTAACATACTAAATAACTCTCGTTTATTGACAGTGACTATAAAAACATGTCTAAATGTGAAGTTTGAAAGAATATGATAATAGGGAACTGGAAAAAAATGCTTAGCCTGGCTGAAAATGAATCACTGGAAATAACAGTCAGAAAGCATATGAATAAAATAAATCGTTAGAAAGCGGAGAATTTTAGAAAAATTAAAATCAAATAAATATAGTTGCAGAAGGTATGGAAGAGGAACGAAAAACACATAAATATTTCAGGAAACTAACATTAATCAACGTAAAACACACATTTCCAATGAAATAAAATAAAATTTTCTTACTAAATGTAAACTTTTAAATTTGTTTCTAAGTTAAAAGTCTAAAAAAAAAAAAAGGCTTATTCTTATTCCTGTTGACTTCTACTTTTTAAATCATGAAATTTATATTGTTCATTGTCTATTATAAATGCACAAGTATTATATTACTCTACTATCAATGAAAAGTGTGTGAAAGTAGTTTGGTTTAGTGTTGCCGAAATGCGAGACTATGACGAGTCTTGGTCTTGCAAACTCAGTTTTGGTCTAGGTCTTAGTCTTGCGAAAGAGTCTTGCAACGATCTTGCAGTTACCTATTACCTTAATACTATAGAGATAATACTGTATTTTTTATATAGGAGAAACCTAACTAAGCCCGAAAGAAAAATTAGAAGAGTAAAATTGAAAAATGACAATGGTATACCAATTCGTTACATATAGTAACAGAAATTGTCAAGCATTAGTAGCTATTTTGCCTTGATTTTTATTGAAAACATTTATTTGTTTTTACCAATCTTGGTCTTGGTATTGCAACAGTGAGGCGGTCTTAATCTTGGTCTTGCAAAGTGCAAGCACTTTGTAAAGTGTGAAGCAAATCGGATGCTCTATACGTACAGCTGCGTAAATAGAAAACGAAATATTTGTTTTCTTAGAATATAACTTAAATAACGATTTTGATAAAACTTTTCTATTATCATGAAGTTAACATACTTTCAGTTTTTAATAACGTAATGATTTTCAGAGAAAAGGCTGGAAATAGAAAAATATTTTTGGACGAAACTCCGAGACATAAACTTTTGATCTTTTATTTTAATTATTTATTTACTTAAAGCTAATTGAATCCCTATAGAAATAATCATAATCAAACTATTATTTTTAATGATACGGCATATTCTATTTCCTATACGTGTTTTATTTTTTTTTACTGCATATTTTCGATTTGCTGTTTCTATAGGAGACTCTTGATTATAATAAGCACATTTTGCTCAATTTTTGAAATTTTATTTAACTTTTGACAAAACTAAAAATAATTCCTACGAAACCGACCAATTCATGCAATGATACAGTGCGTTGAATTTAATTGAAGCAGGTCTGCAAGAAAAAAAACAGGTCTGCTTTTAATTTTCTTTGTGCATTCAACAATGGTTCACGTACCCATTTAAATTACTTTAGTTAATCAAAGAAAATGAACTGTGATAATTTCTCTGATTGGCTATTTAGCCAAATTTATCTAATAAATTTTTATTTTTAATGAACATATTTAAAATTATATAATATCTATATATATTTTTTATATTAGTAATAATTAAAACTATTAGTAATAAATACGAAATGATTAGCATAATATAAATTACGTACATTTGGTAAAGGTTTATTCGGCATCAAATTCAAGCCAGCGATATTCTTGACGTGAGGTGCAGTCGGATATGGGTAGCTGAGAACTGGATCAGAGTTTACTAATATGAGACTCCTGTTGGCCATCAAGGTATCCAGTGGGGGCCTAGTCTCCCAGCCGGTATAGTTGAAGTACTTGTCCATGATGCCCTGCATCGCGTACAGATGGTAGTAGCTGACAGCGAGCGTTGAAGCGATGACATATACGTTGTAGATCCTTTGCCATACTGTCATGTCCTGACTTAATTCTGCTGATTTAAAGTCTACTTGAAAAGCTGGATTTGACGGAATACCTGAAAACAGTAACAAAGTACCTCATGTCCCCCATAAAATACAATAAAAATTCAAACGTGTTATTAATGTTAGAAAGCTCACCGGCGAATTCGTCAATCCACGCCGAATCACCTAGTGTAGATACTTCGATTCCAACGCACCCGAATTTGTGAATAAATGACGAGACTGGCTCTTGATTGAAAAAGGATTCTATTAACACAGCGTCGTATTTGTCCGTGGAATGGATGATTTCCTGAGCTACCTGGTTACCATAATAATGTTCAGAGAATCTTTCGGCAGTGCGGGCAAAAATGTGTGAAACCTCGGGAATAGATTTCCGACGTAACTCGAATATATCCATTTCCTCTGCATACAACAAAAATTATAATAATATTTTATATTGTTATTTTTACATTAAATAGGCATTCATTATTAACTATAGATAACACAGCTTTTCTGTAATCCTCATCTTTAGCTCTTACCAGGTATAGACATACCTTTCCTATTCTCCACATAATCTATACTTTAGCAAAATATCAAAGGTTCATTCACTTCTCCGCTCATTATTTCTATTTCTTTTTAAATAATGCTTCTTCAGCACAATTTTTTTTTTTACCTGATCTAGGTAAAACTTTTAACATAAATGGGTTTTTAATGTCAAATAAATGTCTTGACCATCACGGGATTTGAGACGTGCATGTCAAAAATGTAACATTCGTTAATGCATTATACAAAAGAGAAACTGTTTTTCATCAATGTTTTTTTTTTTATAATATGAAAATTTAAAAGAGAAAGAAAAATTGGTAATAATAGTTTTATTATTCATTATTTACATGCTTAAAAAATTAAGGCTGAAACATTATCCCAAAGCGATTCATTCAAAATATTATTTCCCAATGAGTGTACATTATTTCCTACAAGTCTTTTAACCTCCATATTAAAAATCCTCCATTTTCGATACTTTTCGTAAATAATACAGTTGAAAGTCGGGATAAGATGAAGTCATTCATCAAGTTTTAGTTTAATGTCAATAATTTGTTAAAAAGAGTATGGCACCGCTAATTATTTACTGCAATTACTGCGATTTAACTAGATTTGATATTATTATGTAAATGATAAAATTCTCTTGAACTATCAAATTTGTATTACATGTCTTGTCCTTAAGCTAATAATGAATTTTTAAACAGAACTATTTGCATTTGATTAAAATAAATTTTAACCTTTCATTTTTATTTATAGCGTATTAAAATATTCTTTTAATACATCCTTTATTTTTTTATTTAATGTATTCTTTCACAAAATTTAATATAAATAAAAAAAAACATTAATCTTATTTCAAGACATATAAAAACTGAAGACATATTTCATTCCAGGACAGTTCAAAAAACATGCATGTATCAGTCTGTTTAGCAGTTAGGCTTTATCGTTTATGTAATGTTTTTTTTTTTTTTTTTCATACTGATAAAGTAAAATGTAAGAACCCTGCTCTACACTTGTGGTTTTATAAATTTTATTCTCCAAGATTTATTCAATATCTGATGAATTAATGTTTATTTGAGAGACACATGACTTTGTTTAGAAATCTGCCACTAGCCTGAATTTCTTATTTAATCATATCAATTATTTATTTATATCATCATTTAATATAGATGCCATATAACTTACTTAGAAATTCAGCCTTATAGTTTGGAGTCAATTTGACTGTGATGTTCTGGTGAGATAAAGTCGGTTCAATTGGTGTGTAGTAGGTGATTTCATGGCCGCGATCTGCTAGAACTTTCATGAGGCTAGCGAAAATGGTGTGACGGCTGTTGGAAGGGAATGGCAAAAACGCCAAAATCTTGTGGGCACGGCATCCCGTAGACAGACAGATGAAGGAAAGCACCAACCATTTCCAGAACATATGTGCATTTATTTTGTTAAGTTTTTTATTTTACGTTAGATCGTCTTACGAAGACTTAAGCTATCCTGGGTTGAATCTGTAAAGGGAAATATATGTATAGTATGGCTGTGAACCGTACAGTGATATCATGAATAAATATTTACAACACATATTACCAATTTATTATCAAATTATTCATTATGTATAGATAAATTATATATAGATAGACCTTTGTGAAAATTAAATTTGCAACACTATCCAACTAGATAGCTATATTCAATTCTCACAAAAGGGACTTTATGTATGCGTAGATAATATAGACGTTATATATACAGTCGAGAGAAATAGCCAGAATTCCAGTAATCCGTTCCATACAGGAAAATAATAAAAATCAAATGGTGCGGTGCGCACATCACACACGAATCACTTACCACCCTTTTGTAAAGCTGAAATGTTTATTTCGAGACAGAGAAAAATGAAAGTAAAAAATTACAGACTAAAATATTTAAATATTTAATGTTTAAAAGTAATTTAAAACAATAAATTGCCATATGATTTCATGTCCGTCTAATATATTAATTTATGCCTTTTTTGTAACTAACCAGTTCCTATATTCCTTTATGTTTTAATTATTTATTTGATTCTCATAAATAATCAAGAGCCAACAAAAATTTAAAGTCTGACAAAAGTACCACTGATAACAAAGGCCGCTATCAATAGCTATCATTAGTTTATTTTTATTTCATTTTAGGTATTTTTATTTGTTTATAAATTGATAAATGTACACATTTTTTATTCCTGTAATCTATGAAATTAAATAATACCAGTGCTAGATAAGGAAACCGCACATGTATATGTATATTAAATTATCTGTATATGCGTATTTTAATAAGCATAGAAGCCTATTCTAACGCTTTGGGTAAACTCGGGTATACTCTAAGGGTTTTTCGGTTCTGTATTGGGTCAATCCATTTAATTCACCCAATTTGAATTAATGTTGTTTCTCGATATTTTTGATTTTTATAGTTTTTTTGCCAGCTATTTCATATTTATTTGAAAGTTCAAAACCGTTGTTAAATTTAAGTTCGCTGTTAATGCGCTTACATTTATCAGTTGATGTGATTGTAGGTGTCAATACAGCGTAAACACACACACACACACACACACACACACACACACACACACACACACACACACACACACACACACACACACACACACACACACGTATGTATATATATATATATATATATATATATATATATATATATATATATATATATATATATATATATATATATATATATATATAACTACCATAGAATTTGTGTAATGATAAACTAAAATATAAATCAGTTCCTTGATTTATATGCTGAATTATTTCAAGAACGCAATTACCAGACATATTTGATACGATATAACCCTGGAGCCGATTGAATTTCAGTCACTAAATTTGTTCCATACATTCTTATTAAAAAGTGTTGTAAAATGTACAAGTTTCATCATTTTCCACTCAGTCCCTTTTATGTTATTCAAATTCAAATCTCGCAGAAAATGACTTTTGGCCAATTTTCGAAAATTCATATTTGAAGTTAGTCGTCTAAGAGAAAGCCAAGCTACCGGACTGTGTCTGAGAAAGGAAGCTGAATGGAATTAAAGTATACTGGTGAACAGTAACTGGGTTGGAGCGTGAAGGTGATGTGTTGGCATTTGGATTCGTTTACTTTAATACGCCATTTATTACACCAGTGCTCAATCAGGGAGAGGTGTCTTTGAAGGTTTGAGGATGCTATATCAGGATCTGAGTCGGATGATAGAATGGCGGTGTCATCAGCAAAAGTTGCCAGGAAGGTATCGGGATGGACAGGGATATCGGCGGTAAAGAGGATGTAAAGGACGGGACCCAAACGGGACCCACGGGACCTTGAGGAACACCTGCCTCAATTGGATAGCAATGCGAAAATTCAGTACCGCAACGAACTCGGAAGGTACGATCTGAGAGGTAGGAACGGAGAACAAGGTACAAGGACTATGGAAGATAGTTTTTCAGCTTGGAAAGAAGCCCGGCGTGCCATACCCGGTCGAAAGCCTGAGCTATGTCCAGAAATGCATCCGAGCAATATTGCTTGCTTTCCAATGCCGCGGAAATATGATAACCACTCGGAGTCCTTGTTGGACTGTAGTGTTGTGAACTAAATCTGAACTGATGGGAAGGAAGATTTTGGGATTCTATAAAGGATAGGATGCGTTTCAGGAGCATCTTTTCAAAGATTTTTGAGAGAATCAGAGAAGAAGGCTAATTGGTCTGTAGGGCGTTGAGGTGTTGGGAGGTTTGCCTGGTTTCGGAAACACGATAATAGTGGAATGTTTCCACAAAAGAGGAAAGTGGGTGGTTCGTAGGATGCTATTGTATATGTATGTAAGGAAGATGACAGCTTTAGGAGGGAATTGTCTAAGGATCTGAGAGGTAAGCAGGTCGTATCCAGGTGACTTGCGGGTAGGTAGTTTTTGTAGGAGGAATTTGACCTCAGAAGGATTAACTGCTTTAGGCGGTAAGGAGAGTGGGATAGGTGAATTAAGGAATTCCTCTACTGCTGACGTGTGGGTGGGATTGGATTCTGGATGAGAGGTGAATGTAGGGGAAAGGTGTTTTGCGAATTCTTCGGCTCTATCTTCGTCAGACGCTGCCCAAGAGCCATCACCTCGACGGAGAGGATGTGATATATGATGGGGTTTTAGGATATGTTTAGTGATCTTCCATAGGGAATTGTCATGAGAAGAGAGGGAAGTAAGGTAGGAGTTGAAGCATTGGGATCTGAAGGTGGCCAATTCTATCTTTAATTTTTTGCAAAAATAATTATAGGATTGACGATCGGTGGGGTGTCTAGTACGTTGCCATAATAATCTGGCACGGCGTTTGCTATGGATTAGGTCTATGAGTTGTTGAGGTAACTTATTTTTCTTAGGAGTTCTTGAGGAGTGGTTTGGAGAGGAAGCAGTCCAAATTGCTTGTTGGATAGTGGTGGTAAAAAAGTGTACGGTATTGTCAAGGTCATCTGGGGTTTTCAGGGTTATTCTGAGGTCAATTTTATCGGAAAGGATTTGGTGAAAGAGTTTTCAGTTAACTGAGCCTCTGATGAAGGACGGTGGAGAAGACTTAGGAATAGGAGCTAGAGATAATTGGAGTAATAATGGACTATGATCTGAGGATTGTTCGGCAAGAGGGGTAAGGGAATGGTTGAGGGAACCTAAGCCACTGTGGATGAAAAAATCAAGGATATCGGGATTGCGGTTAGGATCTGTGGGCCAGTAGGTAGGTGAGTTAGGAGGAAGGATACTGAAACGTTGGGAATTGAGTGCAGATAACAATGTTCTGCCACGAGAGTTCGTGGTTCTAGAACCCCATTGATGGTATTTGGCGTTTAAATCTCCACCCAGGATGAAATGATGTCCTAAGGAGTTGAGAAGAGAACTGAACTGGATATTGAATATGGATATGTTAGCAGGGCAATATGTTGATGCTATGGTGACGGGAAAGGAGAAGGTTTTGATTACGATAGCGGTGGATTGTAGAAAATCTTGTGTCGGCAATGGGAGCTGGTTATGAGAAAGGGTGTGGTGTACAATAACAGCAGTACCAGCGTGTGCTTTACCGTCAGGATGGTCAGTACGGTATGTTATATATTGAGGTATTTTTAAATGCTGTTTTCTGGTCAGTCGTGTTTCCGTAATTAGTGCTACGTCGATGTTCTTGTCCAGTAACAAAGCTGTTAAATCGTCAACGTGATTTCTAACACCATTCGCATTCCAAAGGAGAATGGATATAGGTTTTGGGATGTGATTCATTAAGGCTTTTTTAAAGGAGGGATGAGGGATACGAGATTTGTGAGGAGTGATATGAGTGGAGTAACTAAGGATTTAAAATCGGTAAGGAATGATGCCAGCAAACTGGTGAGATCTGTTGCATTAGAAGGAGGAGGGATATGATGAATTTGTTGTTGATGGTTAGGTTTATTTGGATCAATAGGATTTTGAGGTTGGGGTTGAGGTTGTTGTTGCAGCAGGGCTTGACAATTATCGGTTGAAGTCTTACTTTTGAGTAGCTGGGAAAATGATACACTGTTGCTAACTATTCTAGAAGGTTCTTTCTCTCTTCTTGGTCTTCCTGCTTAATCTTTAATCGGGTTTTCTGGTGTCTGGATTTGAGATTCTTGTAAATTTGGCATCCTTTGTAGTTGGCCGGGTGTCCCTCCAAGCATAGTGCACACACTGCAGGATCTTGTATAGGTTTGGTGCACTCTACAGATTTGTGTTGTTCACCACATTTCACGCAACGCGGCAGATGGTGACAGTAAGTCTTCGTGTGGCCATACGCCTGACAATTATGGCACTGCACGATTTCTCTCTTGGGGTATGGTTTCTCTACTTTCACCATTGTGTAATATAATCTTGTTATATGGTATATTTTCTCAATACCGGGTGATGACTCCAGATCCACGAAAAATAAAGGTAGTGGAACTCCAGGCTGCTCCTTATTCTCCTTCATAACGTTGGTTACCTGACGTACTTTGAAACCAAGCGCCGCTAGTTCATCTTTTATCACCTCAGTTGGGGTTGAGGAGTGTAAATTTCTTATTACTACTCGTAACGATCTCTCCTGCCTAAGGTGGTAAGTATGAAAATTCGCATTCGTTTCTGTGAGGTACTTCACTATTATTCGGTAGATTTCAGCAGTATCTGGTGTTATTTTTGTATCATTGGTCCTGTTAAGACATGAATAACTGCCAGGGCAGATTTTATTTAGTTGGGTGCAGAACAAGTGGAAATTTTTTATATTTTTCACAAATATCGGAGGAGGCCTTGGTTCTGTGGGTTTTGCTGCAGACTCCATTACTTCTCGGTCATTTTGAAGCACTTGGTAGGGGTTTGGAGTAAAGAAAGGGGATTCTTCGATCATTTCTTGAGAAGAAGTTCCTGGTATTGGCTGAGGTTCTGGTTCTGAAATGTTCACTTTTGTTGTTGGAGATGTTTCTCGTAGGCAGCGACGAGTCCTTTGTTTGGCTGGTGAGCTAACTCCGTCCGACCGAGTCCTTTTGGGCACCTTACTGGACATCACTTGGTGAGTATACCGCATACCATAGGAGAAGAAAGAAAGAAATAAAAAATGGAGAAAAAAAATTATTAAAAAAATAAATAAAAATATATCACACAGCAATATCAACTGCTCTGGTGTACACGTGGAATGTTTTCAATGAAAAAATCAGAGCGATTTCACTTAAAAATAGGCAAATACTGAGAGACCAGTTGAGAGCACAACCATCCAATCAGCTGATCCACTGCCTTATAGACAAGGTTTTAAGCTTCTAATTTTATCAGCAAGTAGTACACTTAAAGGACTACATATGAAAAAATTTGAGACTCTTTTCATTATTACATACAGTATTGCTGTGCAAAATGTCTCGTTTTTTGTTAATTTCAATTTTTTAAGCCTCTTTCCTCACAATTTATGAAATATATTGTGCAGACAAAAAATTCAGAGTAAAACATCATAATAATTTTAGTTTTTGTTTTGTTTTAATATCTGCAAAAATGCCGCAGTTAGAGTGTGTAAAATACGCTGATACCGACCCACACTAGGCAGTCACATTTGTAGCGCTATAAATAATAGAACCCGTTGAGTCTAAACTGTCAAATTCATATCACACATTTTTATCATTATGAGGTATAAACCATATCGATTTCCTATTTTTTCATTCTGTCCCTTTTGTGGCATGTAACATCAAAAATCGCCGAAAACGGCTTCTGAGCGTTTTTGAGAATTCATATTTAAAAAAAGGACAAGGTTTTTAAGATTGAAATATCATCAGCAAGAAGTACAGTGACAGGACCACATACGAAAAAAAAAATTAAAATTGAGACTCTTTTCTTTACTACACTTTTGCAGTCCTAAATGTCATTTTTTTCTCTATTTTTATGACTTTTTTTAAACCACTTTCCTTTCTTTTCAGGTTATGTATTGATCAACATAAATGTAGAAAAAAATTCTCTAAATTATTTCAGCTTTTATTTCGGCTTGATATCTACCAAATAACCAGATTTATAGGTACTTTCACAAAACATGTTTTCAGTCGAAAAAAAATTGAAATGGCCGTTAAGACAAACTGTGAGCCTCAAAATTTTTTTAACTACTGTTTTGAACTCTTAAATGAATATGGATTAACTGGTAAGAAAAAATATAAACGATAACGATCCATTTTTCCCCTTCAGGTAATTATCATACTCTTTTACATGTTAAATATATGTATCTCTTGTTTATAGTAGGTTACAATATGAAATGGTTAATTTTATTAATTAAAAAAAATAATGATACTTTAGAAATTTTAGTCCTGTTATAGAACATCAATGACTTACGTAATGCTAAAACTGCTTAATTTTTTAGTGATATAATGAGCTTAATCAAAATCGTCAAGATCCGTTTTCGAGAAAAATGTGCATAATCTATGATACAAAGTGACACTCCTGCGGCAAGTCGATTTCAACGAAAAAGTTGCTGTATGCAAACCTTAAATACGCAATTTCAGTCCTTACTTACATCCTTTATTTTTTTGAGCTAGACTGTTTATATACACACATACATAGAGAATTTACCAATTTACTTTTTTTCTACGAAAACATATTTATGTATTATAGTATCATTGAACATTCATTCTTTGTACACCAAATACAAAATTTAATAATATTTCTCGTCTTATAGTTTGCGCATTTACTGATGCTTGTCATTCGACCATAATAAATAGGTTTATGCGATTATTTCAGAACATATACAATTTCTATTATTGATTTATATTTTGTTTTATATAAAATTTAAACTCACTCCGAAAACTCGGTACTATCTCCTCCCTCAATTGTTTAATATTGACTGCACATTTGATTGCTTTTGGGATGTATGTCCCAGTAAGAATTAACTAAATAAGTAAATGGGATATAGCTCTGTTGATGTTTATTATTTTCCAATGACCTATCTAATTACCTAATTAAAAACTGATCTCAATTAATATATGGACATGATGTCAGAATATATTGTTAAAATCACATTTAAAATTTTATTTTTAAATGCGTTATTTATATTTTTAGTAATATAAATCCATGCTATTTTTTTCTAATTATATTGTTTTGCGCTGTGTTTAAAATTTTTAAATTGTCAAAATCAAATGTATGGTTATTTACTATCGTGCGATTGGATAAAGCTGTGGATTATATGTTTTGGGGATTTTTTATATTAGTTTTGTGTTGTTATATTCTGTCTCTTAAATTTTTCAATGTTTTACCAATATAATATCTGTGATATTTTCCCTTTGCTATATTCCAACAGAATCCACTTACAACCAGTGTGACAATTTTGACCTGTCTATGACAGATGATGCAGATCTCTTAATTCTGTTTTAGTAAAATTTGCAATGAAAAATAACAGTTTCATAACTAGTAGTCGCACAATCCATAATCAATGAATCCGGTTATATCAGAAATAGGACTTTTGTTATTTTAATAGTATTTATGATTTCTTAGCTGTAATATTTTAGTTTTAACTCAGTTAAAAATGCAATTCAAAAATTTGATAATAGCCCAACATGGCCAGAAAATAATTTTAAGTTGAGCGGTAAGCTCATGTAATTTTATGAGTCCGTGTATTCTCGGTTCAATATAACTATACGGCTCATTCAATTGCTCTAAGTTCGATAAAAGAAAGATATTTGTGAAAAATTAATGTAGCGTCAATTTTATTGCATTATGAGCAAACGTGTTTTTCTTTATACGTTTATATCTCTCAAGCAGCACGTTTGATTTTGCTCAAAGTGAGGGAAGTTAGAGATTGCTAAATAAATAACAAAGTATGTATGAATTTTATAAAATTCTATCCACCACTAAAAAAATAAAAAATTGCATTCAGATCGGGAAATGTATTATTTGACACTCTCATAGTTCAAAAACTGACCGTTCGATTTAATTCAAAGTTAGAAGAAATTTGGAGAATATTATAGATATTACCTAGTATAAATTTCATTTAACAATTAAAATTAATATAAAGTATTGTTATTAACAATTTGTTAACAATATAATGCCTAGAAATGAAGAAGGCATTGATCATGTAGAATGGGAGTTAGGTCTAGACAATATTTTATAAGGTTATAAAATTTTAAGAATTATTCAAAAAATTTATTTATACTGTATTGTACTTAAATTTCGTGTATTTTTAATTTAATTTAATTTTTACTCTGAGTTTGTAAAAAAAAAACAACATCTTATTTGCGATTGTTCTCGATTTCCTCCTTTGATATAAATGTTGTGTGAACTTCACACATATTTGTATGTCCAAGCGTCATTATATTTGTTCTGATTGAAGAACTAACAAACAAACAAAAATTTGAATTTTTCCTACCGAGTTTTTGTTTTAACTATTTTATGAGATAAAGTATATCATATTAAACATAAAGTGCAAAATTTCTTACAATTTTATCATTTTTATCCTATTTTTGCTAAAGATGACATTTTGTAGACTGCAACTAATATAGGTAGTCTGCTACTATGTAATATAACAGAGGAAAATAAAATTATACTAATTATTCATAAAATAATAATTAATTTTTATACTTTCCTGTAACACAATCAATATTTACATGCGACCCTTTTCACAGTAGCGAAATGCATGTTCAGTATGTACTGTGATTTTTTTAATTTAATCACTAATCATCAAATTTGCAATTATAAAATGTGAAATTCTCCCTCATAATATCCGCTAGTGCACAAAATTTGTGGACAACAAACCCACGAATGTGGAGAGATTATTTTATTTCGGAAATACAATAATCTCATCCGGAGATTTTATTCTCATACTAAAAATTATAAACCTTGAAATGTGGAAATTGTTTTTCCAATCAAAACGGTGAGGAAGCTATACTGACTTTACTCGGCACACTTTTTTTTTCGACTCTTGGACGGCTATTTATTTTTAGAACCTAGTTTTGGAATGATATATACGATGATGTATCCGATGTTAAATTATTATTTTAGATGAGTTGAGTTCCCGCATCGGTCAAACTTTATGCTTTGTTTATTATTTGTAGTTAGATTGGCAGGTTGGGATTGGGTTTAGGATTTATTCGGAATGATCGGCTTGGTTACACCATACTAATAATAACATAAACAATATTAAGATAGCCATTAACGGAGTTACTCAAGCGTAATAATAATTTTTTTTTTATTTATCGAACAATAACACATCTGCAATAAATAAGGACAACAAAATGCAGATTAAAATTGAATAAAAAAATAAAACTCATCTGAAATTCTAATAATATAAAAGTGATATAATATTAAATTATTTTAACATTATTGTTACTGTTTTACTAATTTTTAAATTTTTCGAAACTTAAATACATAATTTTATTGTATGATTTTTCTAGAAAATGAGCGAGGAGTAAATTTGTTTTGATGAGTCAGTGAAACCGTATTTTCAATACACTCTCTAGCTAAGGCTGTATGCAATACAATCAAGAATCAACGGCATTAAAATTTCATTACGAATATTATTGTAAAGAAACTTACATTTGCTAGAAGACCTTCCGAGTCATGGACATCAAATGACGAAAGGAAGTTTTCAGGAGTAATATATAGTCATTGCCACAATGTCCTCGCTTATCAGCTGACTTGGCTTCCGGTCATCATCTGCTAATCCTCCCCCTCTAGTTTTCCTCGTGTTCGTGCCAACTCTAATCACGCACATTGTCAAAGTAGTTGTTTTCACTGTTTGGTTTAGACGTCTCCTTGGAAATGAAGTTAAAAAATAAAATAAACCATCTTCAGCTCCCTTATTATTTGTTGTGCAACTTAAGCGAAGTAGTCAGTTCAGATAGAATTTAAATTCAATTCTAAAACTAAATCGTATTACGGTTTAGTTGGTTTTCAATTTCCCATTTTCATTACTCACAAAGTCTCCACCTTTTATTTCTCATTCCTTTTAACTTCTATTTAATCAAGGCGGAAATCCTATAACAGCTTTCCTTTTACATTTGATTTTTTTTTTTATTATTATCATTAACTATGATAGAGAAAACGAGAATCCAAGCTGAAACAATTCATCTGGAATATATTACTTTTAATAATAATAATAATACATTCCGTTTACCAAGTTATTACAATTTTCAGAGAAAAACAAATATTTTCATTTTTTATAAAATGTTCTTTTCTGCCCATTCTTAGCCAGCTTTTTCCACCTCTGGCTATCTTGGACCGTTTCATTCTAGTTATTTGCACACATCTCTGTTGCATCTGTGCTGATATGGTGTTTCTATATGGTTTTAGGTTTTCCAGATTTTCTTTTGTCTACTATTCAGAGATTCATTCTGGTGGTAGAGGCTGCCAGATATGTTGCTTCTAGCTTTTTGATACGCACATCTTAACCTCCTTGTCTTCATATAATGTGAGATATTGATCTACCATTTTTTGTTAGAATTTTTTTTTATTTATCCTCCTCGATGCGTTAATTCTCTCATCCTACATCGTTTCGTTTACCGTGCGGAGGAATTTTTTCACAAATTTTTCGATCCATCTTTTTTGGGTGTAGGTGAGTGTCCAGGTCATCCAGCCATATAAACGAAATGGCTTTTTCATAGCATTTTAAACCCTTTCTTTTAAAATTACTTTACAGTATTCGTTATTTCAATAACTTTGAAAGAGAGAACAAAGCTCTTTTTTTACCCATAAAAATATTATAATTATTTCATCAAATAGAATTAGTAAAATGGAAAATACTCATTTAGACGATCCATCAAAATAATCACATAATAAGGTAATGAGTTCTTGAATTGCGGCTTGTTGAAGACATTTACTAGTATATTTTCACGAAGAATCAAAGTTATGTTAGCCTACAAGATGTCAACTACCTGATTTACTTTTTGAATTTTTAATTATAAAGAAAATATTCGGTGGTTAAAGTGTTAATTATTGAAGGGCAATAGGAAATCTAAATGGACAAAATATAATCGTGATAATTAATTGATAAAAGCAAAAAGCGAAAAATACTTGGGATGTGTACTTTAGACCACACGATAGAAGAAACAATAAAAATATAAAGAGGACGAAATGCTGAACATTTCCTTCGCTTACAGTATTCACGTTCAATTTTTAGTTTCAGAGATATTTTAATCTACATCTTCAATAAAACTCGTTATAATTTGGTTTTTGACACTATTTTTTTCCCTTTTCGCCTCTCTAATATGGCGCACAGTTCAAAATTTTCGGGAAAGAAAAATCCTGGCCATACTAATACTACTATCATAATCACAATTAAATTTTATATAAAATTCATGCAATAGAATCACAGTTAAACGGCTCTCCGGATTAACCGGTGGAAAAAAAAAAAAACAACGAGAAGAATTAATTTTTATTTCTCTCAGAATGGGCTAGTTATAGCTAACTAAATTATTAAAAGAAATGAGATAATTGTGTTATAATTACAGCAAATATTGACCTGTGGACTTATATTAAGAGCAAACTAATAAAGGTAAAATTAACAGAGTAAAAAATAGAAAAATCATGCTATTATGTGAACGAAGAGGGATTATGCATTTTATGTTTTTTAATAGCCTTGACAACACTTACAATTTTATTTTAATTGGTGAGAACACTTTAAGCAAAAAATAAATAATTAACGGACCCTGTGAAGACTATTAAATAGCGAACAGTCGTTTATAAACTAAAATTAAATCATATATTCAAGAAAATTTACATTAATATCGTCTAATCTATTTCAATGCATCTTATATTAATACAGCTACAAGCTATAAATTAATTTTTGCAGACACTTTTAATTTTAATTATAACCGAATAATAACATTTTTCTGTAAAACAGTGGAATAACGGACCAGATTGCATTTTAACTGGTCTTGAATTGTGTTGGCCAAAATAGGTCTTGGTCTTGCACTATGCAACCAAGGCCGCCTAACTGTGCAAGACCAATGCCAGGACTGGCAAAAAAAAAATTGATTTGTTAATAAAAATTAAGGCAAAATAGTTACTAATACTTGACAATCTTATTTACTATATATAAAGAATTGGTATAACCAATATACTTTTGCATTTAACTCCTCTAATTTTTCATTCGGACATAGGTTTCTTCTATCTAAAAGATGATAGTAATATCTCCATAGTAATAAGTTAAGAAGTAACTGTAATACTGTTGCGAGAATCTTTCGCAAGACCAAGACCATGACCAAGACTGAGTTTGCAAGAGCAAGACTCGTCTCGGTCTCGCATTTGGGCAACACTAGTCTTGATAATATTGTGCTTTAAAAGGTGTTTACAGTTGAATTAGAAAGTGAATCTGTGAGACGTCTATTCTTTTAAAAAAATATTATTTATTATTATAAATTATTTATCAATTTTATAAAATAAATAAAATCAGTATCATGATTTTGCGAAATGAAAGGTTGAGGGTGTTATTCCGTGCTTCCGAATAATATAAAATTTATGAAATTATTTTTTAACAACGAATTATTTTTACTTTCACTTACGTATATATGTAATATATAGTAAGTGTAAGTATTGCTATCGAGAAAATTTTTGAATCTGAGTTTTCGACGGATTTATACGTTTTGAGGTACCCTGAGTCAAAATGACCAAGTCCCGACAAATGGTCTGTGTGTCTGTGTGTTTGTATGTTAGCAGTCTAGCTCAAAAACGAAAAGTCCTATGAAACTGATATCACGTATTTAAGATAGGTATATGCCTTAGTTGTGACGGCAACTTTTTCCTTAAAATCGGCTAACCGGAAGTGCCACTTTATATCAACGCTGAAACACATTTTCACAGTTTTCTCAAAAACGGCTCTAACGATTTTGATTAAACTCGGTGTATCATTGTATAATTAAGTGGTCTTTAATATAAATTAGGTCTTATCCCCATTGATGTCACTTTACAGGGCTTAAATGCCCAATGTTCATATACGTCTTCCTCTAAAGTACCTTTAATAAGGTTGTTTTTAAAAAGATAATTATTTCGCATTATTCAGAGTTACGAAAAAATGCTAAATATAACTTTTGAAAGAATTTGATAAGTTAATAAAGGAGAAAAAAAATAAAAATGCAGAAAAACGTAGCTATAGACTGTAGCGCCTAAACGAATGTACCGATTTCATTGAAACTTCGCTAAAGTCATTTTCTCGACACCCTTCAAATTTATCTATATAACATTCATCAGCGAAAAGAAGCTGAAAAAAAGTTACGAGGGATGGTAAAATTAAATTCCGAATAACTCAAAAAGTATACACTTTTTTGGGAATGTTGTATATGGTTTTCTAAAAGTTTATGGAATAGCCTAAAAAAAAAAAAAAAATCGTTAAAATCGGATAATTAGGAGATAAGATATGGTCTCTAGTTTTTTTTAAATACGTTCTGCTGCAATAGTTATATCCTTTGTTTCGGTTTTTGAATTTTGAATGTGTTAATAAGGTAATGCTAAAATGTTAATTTTTTTAAAATGTATTTAAAATCCAATTAAGCAAATTGATGGCATTGTTAAAAAAACTATTTCAGTGTAAAGAAGAAATAAAATATACAATCATTTCATGGATGTATAAATCATGTGTTTATAATATTAAATACATTTACTGTAGTTTAGTAATTATTTATTAAATTTTAAATTGGTCCATAATCGTCTTATCTTTTTGGCTACATTCAAGGAATTGCTGTGTTATATATGTGTGAGAAGTTATATTGCGTTCCTGGCGTTTGAGAATTTAAAGAGAAAAAAGGAATTTTTTTTTTATTTTGGGAAAGTGTTTATTATGATATGTCTATTGTTTAATATGGCCTATTGTTGATAATTTGTAAGAGTATTGTTATGAAGGGGGAGAAAAAAAAAAAATATAATATAAAATTAATGTCCGTATGGATTGATAAGTATGCTCTGTACGAAGCAACCCTATGTAGTAGAGCAGCATTACTTTTAATAAAGTATTTCTCTATAAATAATTAGGTATTAAAGTTAATTCCAAAATATTGTCATATAACTTATTAGAAAACTAAATTAGTGAATAATTCGATAGATCTTCTCTTTGTGATATTCCTCTACCATTTCATTGTACTTGTGTGAAAAAAGAAGTGAAATACAAAAATCTTTCATAGATACGTTTATAAACCTAAATATATTTACTGTAGCTTAATAACTCGAGATCTCATAATATATTTAAATATTTAGATATCTATCGTCCGTTTTTTCCGAAAAATCATCATGTAACCTTTTAGAAAATTAAATTAGAGAATAGTTTGATAATTCTTCTTTTTGCGATATTCCAACAGAATCCACTTACAATTAGTGTGACAACTTTTGACCTGTCTATGACAGACACTGCAAATCTCTTAATTCCATTTTAATAAACTTTGCAATGGAAAATAACAGTTTAATGACTTATAGTCGTACAATCCATAATCAATGGATCGAACAATCCATAATCAATGGATCGAACAATCCATAATCAACTGGAGATATAATAAATAGGACTTTTGTTATTTTAATTGCATTTGTGTTTTTTTAGCTTTAGCTCAGTTTAAAATGCAATTTCAAACATTTTATATTAGCCTAACATGGCCAGAAAATAATTTTTATTCAAAGTTCAAAGAGTAAGTGAAAGTTGTGTGTTGCGCGCACCAGATTTTTATAATTCGAATTAATTAAATATGGACTATCTTATCCACTACATGATAACAATATCACAGAATTTCACATTTTTATACGAAATAGATAGAATCTGAAGCGACATTTTTAAATTTTAGATTTGGCTTCATATATATATATATATATATATATATATATATATATATATATATATATATATTAACATCTAATTATATTTAAGGGAAATAGTTTAAATAAATTGCAAAGATATACTAATTTATACATCATATAAAAAAATAATACAAACTTTTGGTTTTTAGTGCGAATAAATAAAACCTAACCAATTTATTTATTTTTTTAAACAATTAATCAATATTTCAGTGCTCAATGACTAATATAAATTATAACCAAAATATACATTAATTTATATATTACATAACAATAAACATACAAATATATATTTGTTTACTTTGGGGTCAATTATAAACTAATAAGTTTAATTCAATTTACAAGATTAAATTACGCTCAAATTACGGACCCAAGTGGACGCAGCCAGAATTTGTTTTAATACCTTTAATCCTAATCTTAATAATAATAATGATAATAGATTTATTTATTAAGAAATTTTACAAGTGCTTTTGGCATATTTTGTAAATGTTATTTCGTTAGCGAACCTCCTCGGTGGTGTTAGCGTGAATGAATGATTGGAGAAACTTCCCAGTGAAGGTACTCCTGACGTGACTCTTCTTAATGTAGAAGATCCCAGCTCCAGAGAAGTTTAAGTCTCCTTGTTGGGATCTGTGGTAGTGGGTCTGTTAGTAATTTTTGTACAAGTGGATTAGGATGTCCAGCTAAGGAGTCATGAAAATGTGTGTATTATTCCTTAATTACGCCAGTCACATGTGGTATTTGTAGATCTTTATGAAATGATTTATTGGTTATGTAGAAGGAACAAGAAGTGATATACCGGAGAAATTTAGATTGAAAGGTTTGAATAGGCTGGAAGTGTGTTTTCCCCCTCACCCTTCCCTGAAATGCATAAGTCCATATTGGTCTGAGTAGCATGTTGTATATAGTAATTTGGTTAAAAAGTAATAGTTTATTTTTATGGTGTAGCATTAGTCTTAGTAGTGATAATCGATGGTTCAATCTTTTTATAATGTAGTCACGTGTGATTTCCAGGTCAGTCGTCTGTCCATTGTGAGTCTCAAATATTTTGTCTCTCTACGATTTGGATGAAGGATGTTGTAAAGTGTCAGTGGAGGGCAATCCGAACATCGAAGTGTAAATGTAACCTGATTTGATTTTTGTATGTTAATTTTTGTGCGACATTTTTCACGACAGTCTTGTATTTATGTATATAGATTTAAATGAATCTGTACTTTTTGGGATGCTGCGATCGGATTACAGTTTGTCGAGATTATGACAGTGTAGTCTGCGTAAGTTGCGAGTAATGTGTCGGACGTCTGTGGATTGTCAGAAGAGAAAATAGAAAAGAGTACAGAACTGGACCTAAAATACTGCCTTTTTTTGGCAATGGTCAGAGTGTTGGATGTTTTGCCTTACCTTCCTTCCAAAATCGATTGGGTGTCATGGAGTGAAGTTTGATTTGCTCTTCCGTTTTGATGAAGCCTGAATTGGCGAAACGTTTTTTTTTTTCCTTCCATTTTGGAGACATAAGAAATAAACATTTATGTTCTGTCTCTGAAGTAATTTGTTACTGATGTATATTAAACTTATCAATTTCATTCATTCAAAATTTAAATTTAATAATTTCAAATCAGCTGTTCTTTACTAGAAATTATTTATTCAAACAAAAGATAAATTAAAAACAATTATAACTGAGAAATCTACAGAAAATAATACAATGAGACATAAACATACTATATAATACTAAATACATGTAATACTTATCTGCCTACTGTTTTATTTGTGTGTGCGTGCGTGTGCGCAGGCGTGTTGAGTTTTATTAAAAATTTTAATGTCTATAATCCTATAATTTCGTTTTGTTTTCACTTTATTGAATGAATATAGGAACAATATAGTTTCGAAATTTCACTAATATGTATTTGTCTATTTTTGGGACCAAAACTGAAGATCCTTTCATATGTATAAATTAAAACTTTAATTAGTATAAATAAATGATGATATTTTATATAATTTAACTATATACAAAAATTATTTAATTGTTTACAGAAGATGTAAATTACGTACATCGCACTTTATTTACTGTATAACTTCTAATAAATAATTGGTTAAAATTAAACATTGTTTAAAAATAAACAAATTATTAACTAATACCTATATTTGGCAATGCACTGATTATGTTTTGCCACGGTTATGTTTATACAGTTGTTATGTTTATACAGTATAAACACGGTTATGTTTATACAGTAAAAATTCAACATGTAGTTTTTTACTTTTTTTAGATTTTGCCTTCCTCTTTTTAATTTAGGTACCTATATTAATTTATCTTTTAATATACATAATATACATACTTTAAATAAGAATAATTTAAAATCACATTGAACTATAACATTGGTTTATGTTAATGGCACTCGTTTCAAAATTTTCCGGATAAGAAAATTCATTACGATCGTTTTACTTTCTTCACGCACGTATTATTAGATTTTCTCATGATGGATATCAGGAACTTTAGTATGATATAAAGAAGAATGAGGCTTAATATCGAGAACGTTCCTACTTCGAAGATTCTCTTCTCCCAAAATGACATGAACGCCGATTTTGGAAGCAATGCGTTGGGGTACTTTATCGCAAATTCGACCCAATAGATTGCTTCTTCTTGTGCAGTGTGTCTTCTGTCTCGGAACATCTGCGACTTCATCTTTACGACATTTCTGTAACTGATGCCACAAAAATTATTAAAATAATACAAAGTACATTAATTTAAAATTAAAAAAAAAATCTAATTTATATCATAAACAGCTACAATTTAGTTTCGTACTCACTTGTCGATTTCAGATTTTGATGACAAAAATAAATATGGACAGGAGCTAAACCAATTTAGCGACACTTTTACCGATAGATCTCCACCGTAGATGAGCGTTATCATAATCAACTATTAACAATAATTATGATTATAAGATTATAATTACACGATTACAATCTCAATTAGCTTTCAATTACGATTTTGATCAAATAATCAGGCAACCATGTAACATTTTTGCAATATTTATAGTCCTATTGAATAAAGTATAAAATTGGCTTGTAATTAAGTTTTATTTTCACTTGTTATCATTGATTCCGATTTCGCCCATCTCAGGTCTCTGAATACTAACTCACAAAAGGTTATCTTTTGGTATCAAGACTCTCAAATAGAATAGAATTAGAAGAGACTAACAAGCAATAGGATGAAGATCCTCCTGGACTCACAGGATGTCATAATACCATTACAAAAAGTACAGCAGAGTTCTATGTTCATTCAAGTATCTTTCTTTTATTATCCATTCCCATTCGCTTATTGGCTTTGCATACATTCTGTTATTTGTAAATAGGTAACTAAAAAAGAAAAAGACATGAAGAGAGATAGTCCTTTAAAATTCGGCACTGGTCTCATTAAAATATAAAAAATGAAACGTGCTACATAAACTATGTTGAAACGGCTTTCAAAGAAAGTTAATCAATACAAAGAAAGTAATGAAAGATGTATTTTCTCATTTAATGCAAATACAACTACCTATATCAATACACCAAAATTGATAAGAACCGTGTTATAAAGAAATGAATGGGAAAAAAAAAAACATTTGGAAAATACGTGTACCTTGGACTAAATTGTAATTCTACTGTCAAGATCGGTTTAAAAAATTACATCGTATTATCAAAACATAACAAACAAAACTTTATTTTGAACTTTTAAAAATCATTATTATTTAGAAGTTATATAGCATTGAAAAAAAGTAACCTAAGGTACACGTATTTCCTCTACATATAGACATATGTACCATGTATGAACTCATTTTGATTTAATATAAACTATTTCATGAGAGACTATACCAAAAAAAGAATAAAATTATTTAGATGTTCACGTCATAGATGGCAGAGAAAGCCCAAGGATTTGACCAATTACTGTCGGTTACTGACTGATTACGAAGACTGGTATTCTATTAACCTTCATATCCAGATGTTATCAGATAAATAAAATAAATAAGTTAGGGTATGTTGAAAAGAATTTTTTATTTTTTTATTCATTGATATTTACAATTGTATTATAAAAAAAAAAAAAAGATCTAGCATATGTGCACTTAGCTATATAATAACATGAAATCGCTTGTTGAGAAACTACCTACTGGTATCACTCAAATAATAAATTTACTCAAGAAGATCACGAGGCCACCTTCATTTCAGACGCCTCCGAGGGTTATCAGAGATCGAGGAGGAAGCAAGGTTCGAAACGAGAGGGTTCGGGTGGTTTTGAAGTTTGTTATGGAAGGATATGTATCTGGATTGGACCAAATCGGAAGCATATGGAACATTTAGATCATTATAGATGATTTTATTTGTGGCAAATTAAGGAGCGTTGAGGATTTTACGAAGGATTTTGGATTACAAGGATTGGATAAGAGAGGAATTCGATGGTTTAGTGAATCCCCAAAGCTCAATTCCGTAAGTCCAAATAGGCCTTACTATTGTCATATTTAAATTTTCTAATTTCTGACGTTAGCTTGTTAGTCAATTGGTGAGTTTTAGTTAGTGAGTTTTAGTCACTAGAACGATATCAATATTGTCATGAAGAAATATGTCAAGTTCATCACGGTGGTAATGTAATCCATTAGCATTCCATAAAAGAAAAGCTAGGGTCTTTGCACTCATCGTGGAAAATTAAAAGGGATTTTGGTCAAGATTCTGGTGAGCAGAGTGATAGGAGGTTTCATGGTCTCTTTTAGATCTAATAGAAAGAATGAAATAATAGTAGTTATGTTAGTTGGATGTTGATTGACAGTGTGGTGGATGGTGGATGGAAGTTGTGGTGGGTGGTCAATTTGCTTTGGAGTGTTAACTGAGCGCATGATACCTCGTTTTGCACGAAGTAAGACTGCATTCGAAGGTACTTGTGAAGGAGGTTTTGTCTGAATATGAGGTTGGGATAGAGGAGGGTTCTGTGGCGGTAGTTTAACCCATAATGTTAGACGATGGGGAGGAATCGGTTGACGCGGATGTTGGAACTGAGGATCGGGAGTGTGGATAGGCTTGGATTAGGAAGTCTGAAACGTCTGTTGATGTCGAGGCTGCTGATACCTGCTATTGGAACGTGAGCCCGATTTTCCGTAGTTCTGGTTTTCGATGGGTGTTGAAGTTGAAGGCTATGGTTGTTGATTAGTTTTGGGTAGTTCAGGGAATTGTGATGAATTTTCAATTTCAGATGGCTCCGCAGTACTTTTCTTACTCAGGTTTTGGCTTTTTAAGGCAACATTTTGTGATCGAAGTTTAACCTAATGTTTGTAAACTTTGCATCCTTTGTAGCTTGCAAGGTGTTAGTCGCCATAAAGAGCACATTTTCTAGGCTGATCACGAAGTTGCCAAGCCTGAGAAGCGTGTGGACCGCCACATCTGACGTACCTGGCCTTATGATGGTGGTACGTATCCGTATGTCCAAAGTCTTGGCACTTAGTGCATTGCACTATCACAGGTCTTTGCCTGGGCTCCTCAAATTTCACCGTTGAATATACAAGCCTTTTTACTTAAATAATTCCAGTGTTTTTACTGGCAGGCTCTAAATCAATAATCTGTTTGGATAACTGAGATAGGAGCGGTTGAGTATAAACCTCTCAAAACCAGGGGCAGGATTTCCGTACGCTTTGGAAGTATTATATATATATATATATATATATATATATATATATATATATATATATATATATATATATATATATATATATATATATATTATTATATATATATATATATTATATATATATTATATATATATTATATATAATATTATATACCAAAATAAAACAATCAGATAGAAAGGAATTTATAAAATAAATTGTTTTAAAAAAATGAACTATATATCTTTCTACAAAAAGAAATAAAATAAATCATTTCTAGAAATACACAAACAATTAAAGATAAAAATAATGGAGCTTCTGAAAAAAAAATAATTTTGGATTCGAACTCGAACTCGTGGATGATGTAAATTAGCTGATGTAAGGATGTAAATAAAGGACTGGCCGTGACCTTAACGCAAGTAAGATAAGACCCGCTAATATTATTAGCGATAAATAATAAATATAAATATTATTAAAGATAAATTACCTTAGTCACTTCAGCTAACTAAATGAGCACCAATTTATAAATCGTTCATTGTTAATAAATAGCAACACACCTGAATATCCATGAACAAGCAAATGTACAATTGTTTATAGAATCACCATTGATCAAGTCTTACTCAAGAATTTTAAATATTAAGCACATTACAAAGTAACAAACTTAGAGCGACATGATAGCTAAATTTTTTCTAGTAATATCTTTTAGTTTCGGTGCCATTTTTAAATGTTTTCTATAAAATATTATTCCAAAGGTCACCAAATGTACACAGTTTTTATATATCAAAGTACACCATTTTTTTTTTACATAGCATTTTGGTTAAAATTAATGTAAAATTTATTATTTACCTACCATGCACCGCTTCATAAAATTTCCTAAAGTGTATCACTATAATATAATTCGTCGGTTTGTCATTCTTTAATTTCATTGAATGTCGTTTTTTCACTTCTAAAAGTTATAATAAATAAATGAATGAATGAATAATATATATGAATAGAATATATGAACAAAATTTGACGAAAATATTTCCTCAAAATTAAATTACATAATTATCTTAATTATATATACAATAAGTAAGCATGGACATTGTCCGTCTGCTTGTTATAATAAATAAATAAATAATTAAAATAGAATGTTAAAATTCTTAAGAAAAGAAAAGAAAACAAAGATGATATTATTTGTTCTCAATTTATGTACCTTTTTCCTAGAGGATATTAAAAGTGTTCATCCTCACTAACGTATTTATACAGGACTGGATTTATTTTAAAAAGGAGTGGGGTGGAGGGTTTAGGGATCAACTGTTTTGTCTGCTATATTTCAGTATATTATATTTTAATTTTATCAGTTGCGCTACCATAAAGGTATTTAGATTATCTACATCTGTATGTTAATTTACCGATTGTTTGATGTTTTTAGTAATAAATGTTGATTCTATTATTCTTCGTTTGTTAATATTCTGTTCTGTATATAAGAAAATTAAACAAATGAAGTAAAATAAAACATTAAAATTAGATTCTTGGACATGAATATAAATAGGAATGAAACGTGGATACTAAAAACATCGTGGTGTAAAAAAGTTATAACGAGCACCAAAACACTAAATAGTAACCATAATACACAACAGCAAATCTTCTCCTTCTTCTTCTTTCTCTTCCACCCATTTGACTCTTAGCGTGGGAGTGCTTCCAGCCATCGGTTCCATGCAGCCCTGTTCCCGACAAGGTTCCTCATTTCTTCCAGTGTCTTTGAGGGTATTCCCTCTTCCAATTCGTTCCAAATGACTAACGTATGAGGTTCCTTGTCGCCCTCTCGGACTACTCCCCATCGGCCTCGCCTCTAAGTTTTTAACTGGGTATCTGTGGTGCTCCATCCGGCAGACATACCTGTACCACTTCAGCTGTCTCCTCTCCAGAGTTTCAAGCACGGGGCGTATCTTTAGCTCCTCCCTGATCTTGTCATTCTGGACAGTCTCTCCGCGTTTTCCCCACAATTCTTCTAAGAAACTTCATCTTAGTGGCAGTAATACATCTATGTTTCTTGCCTTCAAGGGTTCTCAAATTCTCAGATTTTTAAACAGAAAATCAAAACAGCTAAATATTTAATGGACAGAGACAAACTAATCACAGATGAAATACATATAAAAGAAGTAAAAACACAAATATATGAAATTCTTCTACGAAATTGGCACCCTATTAGACTGATAAATAAATAATGGCATAAAGATAAAATGGAAAAAAAACAAAGATAATAATAAAAAACTAAAGGGTCCAAACATCAATAACAATATAAAAACTAATCGAAACAAGACCAGAAATAAAATAACAAATTTAATCACAAGTTATTTTAAAGTAGGTAATACTAAAAAAACAAAAGCATAATAAAGAAAATCTTTATCTACAATTTCAGAATGAGAAAAATAAGAATACTAACTCAGACCCTAACCTCCAACAATATTTTACGGTCATTATATTGAGGTTTAACTAATAAAATAGAAAAAAATTGGGAAATACCAATTAATAAATTATAAGATCTATACGGTCGAACTAAGGATATTATTCCGAATTAACTAATTAACTAATATTATATATAAAATACAACGCGAGGATTGTAAAAACAAAGTATATTGTGGACAAACCTCACAATGGTTTGAACGTAGGATACAACCGCATAAACAAAATTGCAGGTCTAAAATGACAAAATCAAAATTAGCCTGAGGATTATTTCAGCATACCACAAAAAAATGGACATAAATTTGATTTCGGTACTACGTCGGTCTTACTTAGAGAACAGAATATTTTACAAACGAAGAATAATAGAATCAATATTTACAGCTAAAAACCTCAAGCTATTGGCAAATTAACAAACAGATGTAGATAATCTAAATACTTTTTATGCTAGCGCAACAGATAAAATTAAAATACAATATAGTGAAATATAGCAGATAAAACAGCTGATCCCTAAACCGTCCACCCTACTCCTTTTTAAAATAAATCCAATCCTGTATGAATGCGTTAGTGAGGAGGAACAATTTTAATATCGTCTATGTAAAAGGCACATAAATTGAGAACAAATAATATTCTTTTTGCTTTCTTTTATTTTCTTAAAAATTCTAACATTCTAATGTGATTATTTATTTATTTATTATAACTTTTAGAAGTGAAAAAACTCGAAGAAATAAAAGAATGACAAACCGACGAATTATATCATAATGATACATTTTAGAAAATTTTATGAAGCGGTGCATGGTACGTAGATGATAAATTTTTCATTAATTTTAACCAAAATGCTATGTTAATTTTTTTTTATTAGAAAATAGAATTATTACTATTCATGTAAGTGATTTTTGTTGAATTAATATGCGTTTCATAATGATATAGTTTAAGTATAACAGCTAAATTAAAATTAATTTCCAGAATCTTGAAAATGGCCCCTGAAGCCGAAACGTCGAATAAATAATATATGATGTAAAAAATGTGTACATTTGGTGACCTTTATACTAATATTTTATAAAAAAGCTAAACTTCAGTTGCGGCCACGACACTCGAATGAAATTAAATATTATTATTGAATTCTTACCTTGGATTATTGGTGATTTCATTTAGTGCCCATGACACTGACTCTTCCGTGATGTTATTATACTTCATTATCAACCCGTATCCCATAGTTTGAGCTTGCAGCATGTTTTTAAACTGGTCGGTAAAAAAAGGTATACCGATGATGGGTACGCCAAAGTAAACCGTTTCTGTCAGACTGAGAAGACCTCCATGTGTTATAAATAACATACAATTTTTGTGCGCTGAAATAATAATAAATATGTACATTGAAGAGTATGGAACAATGGTTTCCATTATTTAATAAATATAAAAATGAAATTTAAAAATTACTTATTCTAGGTAATCTAGTGTATTTTATATTTCATAGGTGATGAACATTCAGAACTCGTTCATTTTCGATAATCTTTACTATCAACATTTTAATATATTTGTTAGGAGTTATAAAAGTTCATAATTGTCCTGAGGATAGTTCATATGAATGGGTTGAAACATAGGTAACAAACATTATCCAAAATGGCTGAGTTTTAATTATTAATTGCCCATTTAATACAACATTAATCAGAGTAAAAAAATAGATAAACCAATTCATCTTCCTTGGGTTTTCAAATTTATAGGACGGGGTAGCTCTTTGAGTAAGACACTGGGCTCTTATTATCCAGACTCCAGGTTTGAATCCAACTGTGGCTGGTAATTATTTATTCTTTTCCATGGGACGATCGTTTTGTACTTCCTTGGGACACATTCCCATTTATACAAAGAAGGCAATCTTATTTGATTAATAGAAAACTGGAAAAATGGTCAGGAATCGGATGATTTAAACAAAATGAGAACAGAGAAAAATTCTAATATTGCATAAATGTCGAATGGAGATAGCCAATTCGGTATCAAGATTCGAAAAAAAAAAACTAACTAAATAATGTTATTCTAAGACACCTATCGTTTCTACTCTCCATAAATACACACCACTCATTTGCTGTTATGTCAAAACAATAAATCATACCTTAATATAAAATTGTTTATACGTTTAAATGTACTTTTACACCAGTAAAAGTACTCGTCCCATAATAAAACTGAATCCATGATTATGACAGATGAGACTGACTACTGATTTATAAGACTACTGAGATCCCTTTGTTACTGTAGCCAGACAAAGAACTATCGAGGTTATTGTCTTAAGGATTGGGCAGTGTTATCAATACCTAAATTAAGTAAAGCGCTTTTTTTCCCCCTTCTTTGCGTTTTAAGCTATACGGGGGTTTTACCGTACCAGAGGGTCAAGGTGGGGGATAAATGCCACAGTTAGAATCCCCCCGAGCACCCGGACGAGAACTCTTTTATTTTATCAATTTATCTTTGATCCGGTTACACGCAATAGCCCGCTCGGCCATCTCGATCTTAAGTGTCTTAATTCAGCTGTAGTTGTAAAATTTTAATTTTTCTCTATCTACAAACTTGTAACTAGTCAGTATCCGCGCTAAGTCATCAGTATTTTCTCCCAATCCAAGGAAGGGTTATTTACGTATTCCATAGTGGCATCTCCTATAGTTGAAAAATGCGAATTATGATTATAATTTAGTAAAAAAAAAAACATTATGAATGGGTCTAGTAACCTCAGAGTCGATTCACAGTTGAAATCACAGACTGGATAAATTAGATGTCACATCCAGACTCTAAAGTAAAGTGTTAGTTAATAATCGAGTGCCTTAACCACTGAGCAAACTAATTCCAAGATATTGCGGGTATTAACCACGAAACATTAAATAACTATTATTTACCTAGGACATCCGTCTGAGGAAACCATTTTGCCGTCATTACGTTAGAAGGAATTTTTAGTTCTCGGTTGTCTGTTTCCCACTTCATAAGGACTCGCTGTGGCATCCTTTCCAAGACCGCCATGAAAGCTCTGCCTACAGCACCTCTTAGCATCTCAGAAGTTTTGAGATTCGATCCGAAAGAAAAGTATATCACTCCGTGCTTTGCCTCGTCCATAAACTTCTTCAAATCCTGTTTGGAATGTGATAATTTCATCATTTATTTAATTAAATACATATATTGTGGTTAATTTATGAACAATACACATATTCCGCCTACTAATTATTTTTATGCGTTAAAATACCTGCCAATTTTTAATATTTAAATATTTAAAAAAAATATTTTTTTTTATCTGGTTTCCACAACTTAAGGTGTCATATCCCCAATACCAAAAGAATATACATGACTTATAAAAAATAAAAATATATATGTTATTTTGATTTACATAGATTGTTCCGGATTTCATTACATTTGAAAGAGGGATCAACCTATATTTTCACTTACTTTATTTTATTTATAAAAATCACGGTGGAGAGAAAGCATTTATTTATTTTTAACTAGAAAAGTTTGCCACTCAATGGATATCACTTTGCTATGGTATCACTTTATGGAAAATCTTCCCACTAAGATTCGATTATGGCATCGTGATTCGTTTTACTTACGAATTTAAATATATCTATACGTTTTTATTGTTAATAAGAATATCTAAAAATATCATTTGAAAGTATAAGAAATTATTTTTTAGCATTACTAGACATTGAAAGAAATTATATTTAAGGAGAGATTTGTCAGGTATTGTGGACTATTAACACAGTTTCGTGAACTAATATCTTCAAACAGCACTCATGAATTTTATGATAGAAGACAGAAACTTTGGAAAACAATAAATTAAAATTTAAATCTAGTTGTTATAGTATTTGACTATTGACCGCATCACTAGATCAACTTCTCCTGAAATTAATTATATCCAAATAGTATGATTTATGTGGCACATGTCCTACTAACCTTGGGCAAAGGCTGATTTGGTTTTATATTCAGACCAGCAATCTCTTTTACATGAGGTGCAGTCGGATATGGGTAGCTGAGGACTGGATCGGAGTTCACCAATATGAGACTCCTGTTGGCCATTAAGTTATGCAAGGAAGGCCTCGTCTCCCAACCTGTGTAGTTGAAGTACTTGTCCATTATGCTCTGCATCGGGTACATGTGGTAGTAGCTGACAAAGAGGGTGGAAGCGATCACGTATACGTTGTAAATCCTCTGCAGGAAGGTCATTTCATGACTCAGTTCCGACTTAAAATCAACTTGATAAGCAGGATTATGTGGAATGCCTGTGAACATATTTCCTATTATGGATAAAATAAGGCTCATTTAAAAGTTATTTTGATTATCTTCAATTTAACTTGAATAGTTTTATAAGAATAAGAATTAAAAACATTTTTCCTTTCAGGAACTTCATATGAAACCCATGTGTGGGTATTTTTACGATTAGCGCCCCAGGTCAATAATGTCCCTATATTCGTCTTAAAATTTAATTTTATATTAGAGTAGAATAAAAAAAATAACTTGTGGGTTGATAGTTGACTGTAGTGAATAATGAAGAGAAGGGTGATCAGTCAAAATAAAAATGGCAAAAATAAATAATAATATTTATTTTAGCATTTGCCGACGTTTCGACACAAAGTTCAGCCCTTCATTAGGGCTGAGAAAAAAATTAATTTCATATTTCTCTTCAATAAAAAAGAATATTACATTTTAAATTTTATAAGAAGAGTAGCTAGAGAAATATTACCGTGGTTTGAGATGTGGACAGTACTTCTCAAAAAACTTTTTGTTACCTAAGTGGGGTCCATTTAATTTTTTTAAAATATTATTTATGGAATTTACAACTGTACATTTAATATTCATTCAGCAAATGTGATACAGATAAATACATGACTTGACAAAGCTTGTAGAGAATCTACCCACTGGTATCACTATACCATTTAAAATACAAAAAAAAAAAACTGTATAAATAAATAAATGATGCACGTTTTAAAGGGGGTTCGTTATCTGTGACATCAGATACATGTACAAATATTTTCTTTAATGGTCTAAACTAGCCATGTGGACTGAAGTAGAATTATACTTTTTTAAAATTAGTTATATCTAACCATCTGGTTTTAGGCCTCTGTCGTGTAATTTTGTCGACTACTGTTGCATTTATTGCAGTCTACAAGCCTCGCCCATCTTAAACTCTTTCTTTTCATACCATGAGATCTTTCATACCATTGATGGACCAGTTTTTATTATCAGTCCTTTATTGTTCTACTCCTCCATGCATTAAGGCTCTGATCTCATGTAACCCTGATTGTCGTGTTTAGAATTGCCTTTTAATGCTTTCTACTTGAAACTATTGTTTTTATACTACTTGCTTTGTTTTATATTAAAAATAAAATATAGCAAAAAATAATAATCATATGAAAAAAAATTTACCAAAGTTAATGCCAAAGAATATGTTAAATACAATTCCATGCTTATTCATCATGAAATAAAGTTATGCCTCTTAACCTGCAAATTCGTTGATCCAGGCCGAGTCTCCCAATGTGGATATTTCAATGCCCACGCAACCGAATTTGTGAACCAGTGCTGAGACAGGTTCTTGGACAAAAAATGACTCCATTAGGACTGCGTCGTACTTCTCTGTTGAATGAATGATTTCTTGAGCTACTGGATTTCCGTAGAATTCATCGGACAGTTGTTCTGTGCTAACGGATATGGCGTGTGATACTCCAGCAATAGACTTCTGACCTAACTTAAATATATCTAGATCTTCTGTAAAAAAAGAAAGAAAGAAAATTAATATAATTAAATGATATAATAATAAAAATTATTTTATAAATATAATAAATTAAACAAATAAAATAAGTAAATAAAAAATCAAGAAATAAATAAAAACATAGTAAAAAATGAAAGATATGAAAGATACATGAGCCTTTCAGTTGACAAAGCGACGTTTCTGTTTAAGTCAATTTCAACATTTCTGAGTGAAGTCATTTTAGTCATATTTCTAGTTGGAAAATTTATATTATCTGTATAGACAATGAGTACGTTGATTCCAGACTAGGATTGCACTGTTGACATATAGAACTGTGGATAAAGGTATACATTTTTCCACCAGAAATATCACTAAAATTTCAATTCTTTCTAACCTCTCAATGTCTCTTGAAAGACTGGTGCAATCCCAAGTCTCCAAGTTCCTCGAAAAGTCAAACTAATTTGATCCTCTCCAATCTGGTTTCCGTCCCAATTATTCCACACAATCTGCCTTAATTAAAATTACCAACGACATTCAATCTGCAGTAGATGATAGAAAATTGACTGTCCTTATACTTCTCGACTTCTCCAAAGCCTTCGATTCCATCAACCATTCCATCCTCTTCAACAAACTAAAATCATTATTTTTCTCCAATAGTTACATCTCTTGGTTCCAATCTTTCCTCTCCCAACGCACCCAAGCAGTCTCCATACCCAATCAACAACTGTCTGCTTATCTTCCTTTATCCGCCGGAGTTGCCCAGGGTTCAAGCATATCTTCTCTCCTTTTCAGCTCCTACATTAACGACCTTCATAATTCAATTCTCCATTGTTCCTACCACCTTTATGCAGATGATTCCCAGATCTACCTATCCTTTTATCCCTCTGAGTGATTGGTAGCATTTGCCAAGATTCAAGAAGACCTTGATCGAATCAGTGCCTGGGTAAATGTAAATGGATTAAAGTTAAATGCTGCCAAAAATCAGGCCATTGTCATTGGTTACAAGCTCCTTATTAGATCCCATACTGACTTTCCCATATTACACCTTAATGACCATGTAACGAAAAACAAAATAAAAAAAAAGTTAGTTCGTAAAGTAATTTTTAGTTTTTATAAATAATAATATGTTTTTTTATTAACACGATGGTGGTTTAATATATAATTAAGTATTAGTTACTTAAGTATTTAGTATTAGTTTTAATAATAAGCAATTGTTTATAATAAGTCTAGTTTTAAGTATTAATTGTATATATTATTTTTAAGTCAGTGTAACAGAAAACAGCTGATTGGGAGAACAAAAAAAAAAAGACAGTTAAGTTGAGGGAGAGATGGCGGAAACTCGCGAGTGTTGAGGCGCGCTAAAGATTTGGTTGTGTGAAATACGTTAGTTTTACGGTGTCCACCGGATTTTCTTGACTATTCATGGACCTATAATTATCAGCGACGAGTGCTGCTTGATCTTACAAGTTGGCGAATGAACATTTTTACAACTTGGGAAGATAAATTGGGGAGACACTGACGACGCTAGTTGGAATAAGCTCTCGCTTCCTCAAATAATTCAATGTTCAATAATTGGACAAAGTTCGGCATTGCGATTTTGTAAATATATACATATAAGTTTTTATTTCCTATCTATTTTTTTCATCTTAAATGTTCGTAATTGGTATATTGTATAGTTGTAAGTTAATGTTTAGTCCTATAAATAATTTTATAATCTTTTCTTTGATAATTAAAGTTAATTATAATTTCTTTGTTTTCTTGTGAATCTAATTTCTTGTTCATAATTTTCATTTCCCTAACAGTTATTAAATTAGAAAAAAGTAAATTCATCATTAGTATTAATAATAGCCAGTTTTATTTTCTTATTTTTCTTCTCTTTGTTTTCATGTTTTATGTATATTTTTTTTTTTTATGTTTAATAAGGAATTGTAAAACCCTGTTCGAGGGATTAGGGAAAGTCATTATTAACGAAGTAAGAAGGTTCGATAGGTTATGAGGTTAATTAACAAATGATTTTAAAGCCAAACATTCCGAGTTCTTAGCTCACTCCGCGTCCTAATCTTTTTTTTTTAATTAAATTTATTTATTTTTTAAAAATTATTTTCTTTTACGGTTTTCGCTATTTTCTAAATACAACCAATTAAATAGCTTGACGCTCGTTAGAAAGTTATAAATAATTAATTGACACTTCGAACCTTTCGAACCCTGCCGTCTCCACTGAGCACCCGGCAAGTTTGTTGCGGAGACGACCTTTCTAAATTAAATACCGTAACAACCAGCCAATTTCCTTCTACTCCTCTGTTAAAAATTTAGGATTTTTCATAGATCAAACCCTCTCCTGGAACTACCATATTTCTCACATTTCCCGTCGGATAATTTCTACCCTTAAATTATTTCATCGCTTCCGCCATCTCCTACCTCAACACACCCGTAGACTCCTAATTTCCTCTCTCATCTTCCCCCACTTTGACTACAGCTGTGTGGTGTATGATGGCCTCTCGGTGGAGCTCCGTTATAGACTGAAAAGATTAATGAATAGGTGCGAAAGATTTGCTATTGGTGCCCCAAGGTACTCCCATGTCTCTCACCACTACACTGAGTTAAAGTAGCTCTTCCCCTCCTTTAGAAGACAATATTACCTAGGTACGTTCCTCTATCAAATCATCAACAACCATCGTCCTTCTTACGCCTACATCCTTCTCCAATTCAAGTCCTCAGTCCATTCCCTTTCAACAAGATCTTGACCTTTTGACCTCTACATCCCTTCTCACAGATCTGTCTCATTTCAGGAATTCTCTACCTATCAAAATTCGGCATTCTTCCTCCATATCCACATTAAAATCCCTCCTATTCCAATTCTTATCCCAAAAACATTCAGATACTTGCTAAACTTTCGATATTATACATTTCTAGTCATCATCAAACGATAGTACTATTCTATACTGTGAACTTCACTAGGGATATTATAATATCTTCCTGATCTTAATGCAACTGACCACATCTATTGTTTGTTTTTGTTTTTTTATTGGTATATAATTAAATCTGTACCTATAGCTAGCATTTGACAATGATGAGTCTACATATTAATCATTATTTAAATACAGTGATATTTTATATTGTCAGCTTTGTCTTTTCTTTGTTAGCAGAAACACACCTCATTTTAAAGAAGAACTCAATGTATTTTTTATTATTTTATTTTCCAAAAGAGTATAATTATATTTTTTCCTACTGTGCATAGTCTTAAGTGTTTTATCATAGTTTTAAGTGTTTTGTATATAGATTTTTTTTTTTTTTTGTATATAGCTTGTTTAACTAATATATTCTTTACTTTCTCTTTTTTATTATTGCTTTATTTTGGCCAGATGTAGTATTTTAATTATGTTCTATTTTGTTATTCTAAAGAGACTTTTTCCCAGAATAAAGTTATTTTCTATTTCTATTTCTATTTCTAAAATTATTAATATTAATGTTGAATTTGGAGTTAGTCAGTCTGTCAACTGAAAGGCTCATATAATAAACCAAAATAAAAAAATAATAAAGAAATATGATAAATAAATAAAAATAAAATTAATAAATATAATAAATAAATTGTCTAGACATTAGGAATGTGTTAATCAAATTCGATCGAAATCTTACTACACACGGTATCATATAAAAACAATTGAAATTTGAGAATACTTGAAATATGGTAATACATTTTTTTCAGTATTTTGAGCTCAATTTTTTTTAGTCCGTCAAACTTAACAATCGAACTTGCCGGTCGTTTAAAAATTCGTTATATAGCTTTTAATGGACAACTTAAACATATGTAGCGCGTGTCACTTCCCTTAGTCGGGTAAAACAAAAACCATTTGCCATTATAACTCCTGCAAGGAATTGATATAATGTGATTGCACTTTGCAATACCAAGACGAAGACCGCCTAACTGTTGCAAGACCAGGAACTGGGCAAAAATAGATTTTAAAAATAAAAATTAAGGCAAAATAGTTACTATTACTTGACAATCATAGTAACTATATGTAAATAATTGATATAACCAATAAACTTTTGCATTTTAATCTTCTTATGTTTCATTCGGGCTTAGTTAAGTTTCTCCAATCTAAAAAAATACAGAAATAAGCTAATAAGTAACTGCAAGACCAAGACCAAGACCATGGCCAAGACTGAGTTTGCAAGACCATGATTCGTTTCGGTCACACATTTGGAAAATACTAGTTATTATACTATTATATTTATTATTATATCTACTATATACCTCTGTTATATTTTTTACAGTTTAAAACTCTAAATTATTATGATTAAGATATATTATACTAACTTAAGTATTTATCTTTGTAGTTTTTTGTCAGCTTGAGCTTGATGTTGGGATGGGTTATCGCCGGTTCTGTTGGAGTGTAATAAACGATCTCGTGTCCACGATCAGCTAAAACTTTTATGAGTCCGAAAAAAACGTTTTGGTGGCTGGTTGTGGGAAACGGCAAAAATGCTAAAATCTTGTAGCCTTTGGTCTGTGTTGATAAACACAGGAAGAACAGTACTACTCCTCTCCAAGTCATAATTTATTTTTGAACTATTTTCGTTTAAAAATCTGTAATTAGTGAAGAATCTCAACCAGCGCTGAAATATGTGATAGCGCTGAAAACAAAACAATGATTATTGTGATTAGAAAAATACCATAAAATATTAAAGACTACTAATAAATATATTAGCTTATTTTACTTGCAAACATGTGGGCCATTCTTAGATTACTTTATCAATTGATACCCATAGGATTCACATTCGTTTTTAACTCTTTTTTTCAAAAAAGAAAGTAATTGCATTATATTTTGTCTTATATCTAAGAAATTCAATGATGACAATAAAATAAATATACCTCAACTACAAAAACAAATTTCTAAATAAGAATGTAAAAAACGTTAAGATTGTTTTTTGTCTTCTGGTGTCCCCAAGATGCTGTATGCTTTGATATGAAACTCAATAAATCTAGATTCATTTTTAACCATGAAAAGTTTCAATA